TTTTGGTGCATCTCTTACTTCTGATTTTATGCAGGAAAGAACTGGTTTGGTGTGTTTTCAGAATAGCTGAAGGAAGAGGTTTATTTGGCAGATTGCATCAAATGCTCACAACCTCTCCATACCTGAATCCACCACTTACTGGACAGATACTGTAGTTTTTTTCATTTTCCTTGTGATTTGCTTGCGGTTTTCTGCTAAGAGAGAGTAGTATTTGTTTGTTTTCATCAAGAAATTAGTGCAGCTGTATTTATGGTAAAAATAACGCGTTATGTGTACAAAGATGAGCAATTATTTCAATATGCACTTTACCCAGATTTGATGTTTTGATCTGACCAAACTTTAATGTTTAATGTCCATGCATACTTTCTGTGCAGAGAATAACCTTGAGGAATAGACAGCCGGGAGATGGAACTCCTTCAAAGGAAGTAGGTCTTAAAATAAGAAATACATTGATTGAATTCCTGCTAGGTTTCTTGACCTTAAATGTGTGTGCCCTTCCTTTACCTAAAGAAGGAATTGAAGCTGAAGGTGGTGGGTCTTCAGATGAGTTGGAAACAGAGTGATTATTCCTGGTTTCTTTCTATATAGAAATAAATTTGCAGCAGTGAAACGGGGACTAACGGGGAAAACGAGTCAACAATGTCATGTTGTGAAAGGTTTGCCAGGATGTACTCACATTGTTATCAGCAATAGGGAGACCTTTGTGGGATATTTTGACTGGTTTCCAAAAGCTGTTCCTAAACAGGAGTATCAAAGATGAGAGAAATCCTGGAGCTGAAAAACAAAAATGCAGGTTAGGAGAAATGGCTCTTGAACTAGATTAGGTTTTTAAGATTGCTTGTTAGCACTGCTGTCTTTCTGCTTGTCTTGTCTTGTCTTGCAGTGGGATCTCCTCCCAGTATGATACATCCTCGTGTTCCACAGAGTTCAAGTGCTGTTTGCCTCAAAGTCCCCTTAGTCATTCAGTGATGAGAGATCAGAAGGGCTCTGGGGAGTACTGGGAATTAAAAGAAGGAATTTAAAGGTTGTTACTGGGTAGTGCTGGAATGAGGGGATGATAGATGATTGGGTGGAAAGAATGGCAGTCAGCTTCATTTGCTGAAAAGCACTAGCATATGGGGACAGCAACCCAACTATTCTCTGTGGCTGTAAGAAGAAAAAGGGAAATCTGAAACATTTCCATTTGTTAGTAGAGAAAAACTTTGCAATAGATTATCAAATGAGCCTCCAGAGTATACCTTTCAATGTTTTGAAAGCAGGCCAAGCAATACAACTTCTGGTAATGAATCAGGCATAAATAGATGACGATTCTGTGAAAACCAGACCATCTCAGCTCCCAGACATGGGAGTCCCTCAGTCCCTCACTCTGCCTTGTCAGAGGGGCAGCACGCACAGGGTTCTGAGCTTACAATGTTGTTTTCAACTTCAGGTAGGAAAATGAAATGGTTGCTAGTGCTGAATTATTTTTTTCAAAGAAAACCTTTGTTGAAAGTTCAAAAATATGAACTGGCTGGAGATGTAAAATATGAGCATTTTCATTATTGAGATCAGTGAAACTAAAAGAGCATTTACATTGTTATTTCTCAAATAATTTCAGTTTAATGAGTTCTTAAGTGATGGTATAGAATGTACGCGTGTGCATTTTTTGATGTGTAGGTAAAAATTGACCTTCATTGTCTGCATAGTAACTCTTTAAATGGTTTCTCGGATCTTTTAAGCATAACAACCTGAACACTTTCCTGGGCTCACTTTATCCAGAGCTGTTAGAGATGCTGCTGTGATTCTCAAACTTGTTTACCTTATTCTTCTGTTCTTTCCCTAGCTGTCCGCTACTGAACATCACTGAGTGCTAGGATAAGGTGGACCTTCGATATGGAGAGTTACTGTTACAATTTATCTGGTTTTGACTTAAGCTCATATTAACTTTATTTGGGAATCAGCATTTTTTGCTATGTAATGTGGAACAGTAGTATGAATTTTCAGTGTTTTCATCCTAGAATTTGAAGGTACTCTTAGTCATGGCTACTTCATCAAATTTCCATTTTCCCTTTCCATTATTAATTCTTCGTCTCACAGAAGAGCTCGGTGCTCTGCTAGTGCTTTGGTTTCCCTTCCAAACTTCAGCCACACTTTCAAATAAGAAAAGAGTGCTGCTGTGACCACCACAGTGAAGTGACTGCATTCCAGGCGTGGCCTCCCCAAGGCACACGTAGGGGATAATAACTTCCAGGGCTTTGCAGTCAAATCTGAGTGAGCCAGCCTTGATTGATACTTCAATGTTGGACAAACATCTCCACCTGTGAGCACGTTTTCCCTGCAGATGTGATTCCTGTTGCTCCATTCACTGGTAGGCTGATTGTTGTCTGCCTTCTTCCTGCTGCCTGCATAGGCTTTGCATTCTGCTGCGCCCCAGGCTGAGGGCTGGATTACATTCCTAGCAGCAGCAGTGACAGAGCAGTTTGCCAGAGATCTTGTTTGTTTAACACTGATGCGTTTTGTGCTCTAATCCTTAAAAGTGGGACACGGTTAACATGCATGGGGCATAGTAATTGCTCTCTGACCTAGTAGAATGTGGCAGATTTGGATTTAATATGTAAACTGCAGTCAGGTGCTGTTTCAAGTTCGGGTTTAAAGAGGAGCAATGTTTATTTTATCACAGTAACTTTTGGAGCTCTGAAAATCGTGATTGTTGTTTTGTAAGGAATTGCACTTTTCTTTATGAAGGGTATATGCTGTACTAATTGTAGTTATGGCAGAAAAGAAACATATGCTGCCTCCCAAAATTTCTAGGTGAAAGGAAGTACAATTAAACCTACTCAAAGATGAAAACTAAGTGAATTAGTTGAAATTAAAGTCTCCTTGAGCTTTGGTTTTCAGACCGTTGGAAATACTAACACTTGTTGCAGCAGATTGGAAAGAGAAAGGCTATGATTTAACTTCTCTTAAACTGACTTCATATTTTAGTGACATAAAGCCTGGTTCCCATTTAGAAATTGTCAGCATTAAGTGTGCCCTCCTGTTGTATTTCCCCCATTTGTCAGTGGGCATGACTATTCTGTCCTCTGCTTTCTTGAAATCCATCGCATCAAGCAGAGCTGGATGCCAGGAACTGCAGGTGCTGCAAAGACAACACCCATATTGGTGTGTGTTATTATAATTAAGGTGTTTTTCTTGGAAACAGGTCTCACTTTGAAAATTCTGATTTCATTCTTTGTGATTATGTGCTCAGTAGCTAGAGGTAAATATGAAGGCATAATATTGTTACTGTAATGCAGCTGTTACCGTAATGTACCAAAGATGTAAAAATGTAATAGTGTACTGCACTTAACACATCACAAAATTTATTAAAATGTTAGATTTACTGTGTCACTAAAGCATTTGTTAAAACATTAACTTACTAAATGATGTCTCTGAAGGTCATTGGTGGTGAGGAATCATCAAATATCTGTCTTATGGGTTTCTTCAGGGTATTTTAGCAACCTCAGAGTTTATAAGCATCTACAGCAAATGAATTGAAATTCTTGTTGGAAGAAGTCGTGGAATTCATAGAGATTAGGGGAGCAGACAGAGCATGGTCTGGATTTCTTAGCAAGGGAAGTACATAAACAAGCAAAAATGGCAAGCAAGATATGTGAGCCATGCCTAAAGCGTTAGGCACCGTTTCTGCAGAAGCAGCAACTTGAAAAAATGTCAGCATTTATTCACTTTATTCCAAATGAACTCACAGTATAATGCTGTGGTAAAAAAAGGCTAATATGTGAGGCTTGAATTGCAGAGCTGGGATTGGTTTGGAATTCAGATGCATCAGGCTCATGACATAGGTGGTACCAGTATGAGTGTGTTGCACACTGCTAGAAATGTTTGTGAATCTGTGCTGAAAAATAATACCCTGGATAAGTTCTGTGAAGTTATCCCACCGCTTTCAAATGAGTTTCTTAACAGTGATAAGTTGTTTATGTGCTTCTAGAGAGATGTTTGATCACACAGTGTAACCAGTGACTGATATCAGTGCCCTGTGAGAAGATGCCTTTTACAGAGGGATCTTTACAAAAGAAAAGTTAACACAAATCAGTAGCTGAACACTGAAACCAGATGTTTCCATGTTGGTGATAACCCATGCATTTTGACAGTTGGGAAAAATAACTTTGGAGCAAGCTGCCAAAGAACATCGTTTGTGCTCCGTGCTTCTTCAGGCCAGCTATGCTGGAAAATGTGTTCAGTCCAATAAAGGCTGCTAGAGCATAGAGCCTATGGCCAAAAGGATCTGTGTTATGATGAAAAAGTAATTAGAAGTCTTTGTGATGTGCTGTGCTCATGCTTTATTTCTATGAACCTGTAGAAAAAAAATACCTAGTTGATACTTTGTTGTACATTAGTGAATAACTGCTCATCTGATTTATTTGTATATGTAAATTCTCTGTTCTGCTAAAAAACAGTATCTTTGTCCATGTCCTACCATCAGTAGCAAGGACTATGTATTCTGCAGTCACTTTTTTGCTGGTAGAAGTCATGTAATTTGATGAACAGTTTCAGTCAATTGCATCACTATGTGTTTGATTTAACGTATTTCTTCTAAAAATACTGTGTGGGTAGAGATTGTCCAATAGATATTACTTCTACTATTGATTGGATTTTAATGAGCTTTTCTGTACCAAAAGCAGTACATGCTTCAGCAAGTGTGCCCTACCCTCGCCTGAAGTACTTGTAACATGTACAAATCCCATGCTTCATATATATTCACATTGTTTTAATGTCATCGTATCATTGACATGCATTGTGTTTCCATATCACAGTATTGACTTGTAAGTTCTCTGTGGTATTTCATGTAATTTTATCTTTATTAATGACTGTTGTTTCATATGCTTTAGGAGTTAAAAAAAAAAAAAACAAAAAAAACAAAGCCTCCTGCATCCTTTATTAAAAATATATCTGGCTGTATTTTTATGCTAAAGTGTGTATGTGAAACTCATTTATTTTTTTTAATACTGTTTGCTTTGTAGTGAGAGATTTATGGTGAGGTTAAATAAGAACGGAGGCCCCAGGAATCCAGAGAAGATAGATCGAATGTGTGCGCTTTTCACAGTATGTATCTGTTCCTTTTCTTCTTCCCTTACAGTAGTGTGATTATAGATGTGCTGAGAGGGAGAGCATGGCTCTTTCTTTCCCATATATTAAGTAGAAGTGGATGCTGTTTCTAAGTTTTGTTACCGTTACAATTAAATGTTAACAGAAAAAAAAAAGAGAAATGCTTCTAAATTATTTTTACAGCTAACCAAATATTCTGGAATGCTGCCTTGTAACTGTGTTCGAATTGCAGTCATGAATTTCACATCTTCGGTGTGATAAACGCTTTCCATCGTGATTCACCTTGAGTTCACACACATGCTAGAAGCAATTTGGGAAAAGCATTTTTGTTTCCAGTGAAAAAAAAAGATGGAAGACAACTTTGGTATGAACTGTTGTCCTGGCAATTAAATCCTCTAGGGTCAGACAGTGTGGAACACTGAAATAGATGTGGTTTTCAGTACCATCCCTTTTTATCCTTCACAAAGATACCCAAATTTGTGCTCTTACTGAATGGTCTAGATCTAGCCAGGAAGAGAAGGGTGTTCAATTCTGCCTCCATCTGGACAGAAAAGATGTGAACCTTTAAAAAATAGCACTAGCAGTGATGCTAACGTCAGTATTAGTATGGGTTTGGGCATGATAAGTGAACTGCTGTTGGCTGATTCAATGTTAACAAAGGTAACAGTGTCTTAATTTTGGCACCATTGTCCTGAACTTGAAAACTAATGTGTTTCTGTTCTAAGAGAAAGACAGGGAAAGCAAGCTTTAGTACTCCTCCATGGATAACTCAGAAAGCTTGAGTTCAGGATTAGTAATTGCTCTAAGGGTCATTCCCAAAAGGCAACATTGACTGGTTTGTATCAGTTTTGGCACCTAATGGCATTTCAGCATCGTTAAAGCTTTTCACCATCAAACTTTACCATCTACACTGAGGCCACCCTACTTAGTCACGCTACAGCTTTCATGTTTCAAACTGTGAAAGTGTTGCTCTGCTGTCCTGCAGAACAGTCTTTGCATGGTTTCAAAAGCGCAGAGAGAATACCAGTAATACAACGTGGCCCAGGGGCATAACAGTTCCAGAAGAGACTTGTTGCATGTCACAAATGAGGCCAACCTATTAAGGAGGCCAGCTGCAATTATTGCCACTCTGTACTCAAGTACAGGTACTCAGAGATCACTCCCAAGCAACCTTGTTACTTAAACTATATGAAAATACTGAGGTTCTTTCAGTGTCCATTCTCAGAGGTGCTTAGACGTGTTGCCTGTCACTGTTGTCTGGTCACAGGAACTAGGATAATTGGGAAAATTACCTGTGCAAAAAAATGCCCAATGCTATTTCATCAGTCCATTCAAAGCATTGGCTGAGGTATGTAGTAGCAACAGAGAATAATTTTCAGACTAACTTTTTATTTGCTGCGCTTCGATCTCGATGTGCTGAAATTCTCTTTCCGTCTCCTGTAAACAGACAGTTACCGTTCTGTAGAAATCCAGGCACAGCATTCTAGTCTACTCGTGCAGACTCTAGCTGCATAGCTGCAGTTCATAACAGTAAGGAAGTTCTGCATGCATCACTTCCTCTACATAGGAGCCAGAATAAAATTATGGACAATGCATCAGTGGTACGGGGTAGCTTTCATAGCTCTGTGCCTTCTAGGAGCAAGCACTGGCACTAAATAGATGCAGTCTGGAATTGCCTCTGAAGATTTCTGTCCTACAACAGAGTTTTATTTCCCAATTCTGACAGTTACCAAAACAGATACGGGGTGGCCAGCACAGTACCATTTTGAGTTTGTTGTGAGGCACCTTTCTCCTATAAGCTTTGTTTACATATTTTCAATAAGAACACTGATTCATGTTGTGAAGTGCAGGGTCAGGCAGGATGTGCTCTGTGCTCATAATGCTGGCTCTGTGTTGGCTGGGACCTGCTGAGCACATCCGTAACTCAGGGCTGTTGAGTCAGAGACTTTGAAGAAGCATCCCCGAATGCCTTTCTGCTCAAAAGCTAAGTTTTCTTTGATCATAACTAAAAGCCCAGTCTTCTCTTGTACAGGAAGTTTCAAAATGCCTGAGCATTAATCAGAGGGAATTCAGAACGTTCACCTGTCCATCATATTCTGATGTCATGCTTCTCTCCCAGCTCTGGCTTCAGCCTTTCCCAGAGCCTCTTGGGCTGTCTCAGCCTACGGTCCTCCTCCAGGAAATGTCTCTCTCAATAACCCAGGAGCCCCAGTGTCCCAGCTCCCTGCTGCTGTGAACATTTCTCGGCCTCTTCTGTGCTCAGTGCATTCTCACTACCTGCCCTGGTCAACCATTGTTCTGATTACTGATTTTAGAATGAATACAGTTTGGGAAAAGACAAGACAGACTGTCTGTCACTGTGGCTGTGTATTGGCTTATCAGAGGGAAAATCTTCCAGTATAGGACATTGCTGCTGTGTTCTGTAAACCTCATTGGGATTTCCTGGAGCATTGCTTTCTATGCTTCTTTTACCATTTGACACCCAAGGTAATCTTGCAGTCAGTGTTCATTACTTAAAAGGAACTTGGGGTCTTCTGGATGCTTCCAAAGTAAGGTAGTGCTATGATTTCAGTGCTGTTTTGTTCCTAGTGTTATCGTACTCTTGTATTTAAATCAATTCATTGATTTCCTAATCAAATTCCTTGGCTCCCAATGTCTTTCTAACACTCTCATCCCTTCCAGAGAGAAGAATCCCCAGTACCTTAGGTAATTCAAGGTATTTCTGTCTTTTCCTGCTGTTGTATCGAGTTGTTCATCCATCTCCCTGGGTAACATTTCACCTTATGTCCTTTATCTGTTGTCACATCGCATCAAGGGTGAGAAACTGCTTCCTCGAAGGAACAACCTTGCTCAACTAAACTTCAGGCTTGTCACACTTCAGAAGCTTTTTGGGATCAGAATTAGGGTGTAACTATGCGGCATGAGTTTTCTCTTTTAGTTAAATACCTTACTCTCTGTGGCAGCTCAGTTTGGTGGAGCTATTTAAATCTCTATTTAATTAATTAGTCAGATATCCTTGATAGCACTGCGTTGGGCTTACTGTTGTTGTTTTGGCTTTTTTTGTTTGCTTGTTGGTTGTTGTTTGAGCACACAGACAGATCTTCTTAGTAACTGACACTGCGAAGAATCATTGTTAGAAGGTGACTCTTCTCCAACCCTGATGTGGAAAACTTTCCTTGTAGTGATTTTCTAAAAAGCCTTGCAGTTAGAGTTATTATGAGATTACTTTGATTATCAACCAAAGTCATTTTAAATGGTCAGGAGGATGTGGGAAATAAACTCCTTGTGAAGGCTGTGCTCAGAGCACAGTGCTAGAATTAGATTTAATTATACTGCCCGTAACAAAAATAAATGTAGCTGCTCCTCTTCTGAGTCCTGAGCTGTGTACGTGGATTCTTTCCTGAGAAATTATGTGAGGATTCTCAGAGGGGTGGAGGGGTTTGGATTGTGGGCTCTGTGTCACAGTAACAATTTCTTCCTTTGCAAAAAGCCTCTGCTGTACTGAAATGGAAGGCAGGGCCATCTGTGCCCACAGTTTCTGTCTCTGACTGTGATACAGTGTAGTTTTTCCAATGTGTGAACCCACCAATATGCACATGCCCCACTGTTTTCTGGTATTTTGACAGCTACTTTTTGAAAAAACAGTTATCTAGGTTCTGTTAATTAGATCTGGTAATCTAATATTGTAACGGAAATCTTTGTGTTGAATCAAAGATATTTTCACAGGAAAGTCTACTGTTATCTAGCATTAACCATCACCTCCCTTTTTTATTTTATTTCTTTATTTTGAAGTATATTGCTGCTCAGGAACTGCTGAGATTAAAGCTATGTCAAATTCCTTCTTATCAAATAGCTTCAGTTTCTCCATGACACACAAGATAAAGCCTGCCATATGCTATGTTGGTGTGGTAGGTGGCAAAGAAAGCCTCGAAAGTGTGTTCTCTACTTGCAGCAGCAAAATGGACTTGAAGAGAAAATGGGAGATTTATTAGCTTGATTCTTTGGCTGCAGAGAAACACGAGCTGGTAGCTGAGGAGCACCAAGCAGTGTATTTGCAACTCAGTGCATATGCTGACCACTGAGTACTCCTTTTAAATGGAGTCGGAAGACACAGCCATGAATTCATTACATGCCCTCTGTAATTCAGCTTATATAGTGCTATTTGAAGGGAGCTGCAACTTCACTTTAAAGTACATTCTTCTCATGCCTGGTCCCTGTGCTTGGATTTTATTGTGCTGTATATAGGAATGTCACTAAAACCTAACATTCAGAGTTTATGTGCATTGCCATCATAATCTCAGTTGCTGAGGTTCAATTTCTTATGTCACAAAGGAAAGAAATGTAGTGTGTGAATTAAAGTTGATATGCTAGGGTCCTGCAAAGCATGATTTTTAATTCACCAAATTGGATCGGACTAAGAATGATGTCCACAATTTCAAAAACTGTGTCATTTCCTTTTATAGTGATCTTAATACTGCTTAGGTGTTTTTAAATTTTGTTTTGTTTTAAGAAAAAGGTTTTATTTGAATGCCATTGAGATTTTTCCCACTGATTCTTGCATTGTGCTTTCCAAAAAAATATACTATTAGAAGGGTGGGCTGTGTTTGAGCATAGCCAAATCTACCAGCCCTGTTCTGCCCACCAACCGAACAGCTTAGCAGGAGCCGTTAATGGCTGCGGTGGGTATCATTTGTCAGTGGAAAAGAAGGGAAAGGGAAAAGAAGAGAAACATGAGTATGTAGACATTAAAGTCATATCAGAAGCCCTAGAAGTGTCTTAAAAGCATTACGTTGAAATAATCACATAAAAGCTGTGTTTTGCCTTAAAACAATGTGAGGCGATGAGCGTTGCTCCAGCACAAGGAGAAGAATGAGCTGTGGCCGCCAAGCTTTGAAATTTCAAATTTTTCCTTCAGCATGCTCTGCTCCCTCTACCACCTTCTTAGAGTGCTTTTGTCAGTCTGAAGTTCCTGCTGACAGTTCCTCTGTCCTCAGAAGCGTCTGGAGTGGTGCCATTACATTTGGGGAGATCTGGATGATCCAGTGCAGAACAATGAGATGACAGCACGTAGTAGAGCGGAGAGGCGGCAGCTGTTGCTTTAGAGCATGAGGAGCCTCTTTGCATCAGAATGTAAAACATCTGTGAAGATTCTCACAGCTCACAGGATTTGTTTGAAATCTTCTCCTAGGATTTAGTCATATAAAAAAATGTTGAGTAGTGGTAATGCCTTTAGGAAGAGATGTTTGTTGGCTCCTTAGTGCAAAAAAAAAAAACAAACAACAATAAAACAAAACAGCACAGGCGAAAGCAGTGTGGTTGATCACTGTAAAATTATCAGAACAAATATAAAGCATTGAGGGCAGTTTCTAACTGCATTAATGCTGCATTAATGAATTATTAATTCATTAGACAAGTGCTCTATGCCTGTTTTCTTCATTTATTTTCTCTATCTGTAAGTATTTGCCAGGATCAGTAATGCTCTTTTTTCTTCTTTCTTGTCAGCTTCAGCTCTCCTTTTGCTCTTCCATAGGTTCTTCTGTTACCATTCACTGGATTTTCTTGAAGTTCATTATGAAAAGTTGAATGGAATTATCAAATTTCATATGTCTGTACAGTCACTTGCCTTAAAATTACATTGGGAACATTTGAAGGTGTCTTGTATTTCACTAAACAACTATATCATCTTAAAACTGAGTTCTCTTCTTAGTTATTCCAGTACCCTGCTGCTGTTCATAACACACTCAGTTTCAGAGTGGCCCTTGCCAACTACCACATCCCCCAGTAATCTCAGGGCACAGTTGGGGAATTGGAAGGGGCACAAAGCCTTTCCAGCTGACAGTCTGCGTGCGACTCACACTGCTTTTGAATTTTGAAGATTGTTATCTATGAACCTTGGCACCCATCAGCTTGTGTGGACAGAGCCTGTAGGTCCTAAGCACGACTGAGATGATTTTAATACAGCATCAAAATGCTAGATGCCAAGATTTTGATACAGTGTTTCTGGCCAGTGGAGTCAGAATATTTCATTTCTTTTCTTTTGTTGTAGAGAACATGCCAACCAAATATGATCTTCCTATGCTTTGTTATTTTTAAATTGGTATGTTGGAAATAATAATACTTCCAGATTTCTAAATACGAAGGGGCTAAATGAATGCAGGGTCCTTATGTGTAGTCCGTAGTATTGTCTGTGGGAGTTGTTCAGGCTTTGGAAGTGCAGTGTGTTCTGTATTTTATCATCTCTGTTTTTTCCAATCTTCTAGGATCTCAGCAGCAAGGACATGAAGAGAGATTTGTACATAGTTGCCCATGTAATTCGAATAGGTACAGTATGATGTATAATTCATTGAAATAGATACAAAAGTAACAATGTTTTTAAAAGTATTTAAAATATTTATTTTACTGAGCTGATGTTGTAATGATTTAATGAGTTAACAAACTCAGCTATAGGCCATGTGTGCCTGCCTAGACTAATGCTGATGTCACCTGTTGCTACATGTGAAAAAATTCCTGATGGCTCTGTAACAATGGTGCTGTTTTATGTTTGGTCCAGCATCATGCTTAGGAGGGGGGGGAACTGAAAATGCTTTTCGTTTAATATTCTGAAATTTCATATGAGGTCTTTTTACTTATCATGTATAGGTAGTTTAAGGGCACATCATACCTGGCCATTCACAACTAGTGAAACAGGAATTGTTAGATAAATAGATACAAAGACCTGTTTTCTGCTGTAGGAGTCTGTGGTGCTTCCAAGAACCCACACTTGTATTTAAGGAGATGCCTAACAAAAATATCAGGAGGTCTCACACCTGTCAGTTGTTCTTTCTGCCAGCTAGCACCAAAAAGGAACATTTGCAGTAATATCTGCCTGCTTGCAGCCCAACATGCAATAGCATACACTGCTTCTTTCTAATTTCCCCTGCCTGCTCATGTAGAACTTCCACAAAAAGAGATGTGGATGCTTAGCAATATGAGCTGACCCTACCCAAGGAAGAAAGTCCTTCCTCGCTAAATCTTTTTGAGCAGTCACTGCTTTTAGAGGTTTCGTCTCTGACTTCTTGGCGAAGCAAGGCTTTGTCTTCTATTTTTGAAAACAGTAGTAGCAAGAATAGAAAGGGTTCGAGATGGAAGTTTTAATTTAGAATGTTTCTTATATGGTATAGAGAATGCTTAAAGTAACTCATAGACAGTGAATGAATGCATTAGCCCAGCAGGGTGCTCAGGTGAAGTGCCTGTATGATTTCTGGTATATAAATTACTTTGGCAGAAAGACTTTTAGACAGGATAGGGTTGATAGGAAAAAACTCCAGTTAAGAAGGATATAATTAGCGAACAGCAGGAATTTAAATAGTTCTAAATTATGAATGCGTACTTCCACTGAGAAATAAGCAAGTAAATATTTACCTGCATCATGTAACTCATTACAGACATTTAGACCTAAAATGTTAATAGCACATAGGTAGGAATATCGCAGCCTCTTCAGTTGCTAAACAGCTTTTTAGCTGAGAAATGGTTTGATAGTGTTTGCAATGAGATGGTATTCAACCTTCTTTCCAGTCAGTTCACCACAAGTATGCTTTAGCAGCCACGGGTATCTTTTCTGAAGCACAGAATCTCTAAATGTCTTAAGGAAACTGTAGCTTTGTTGGGCTTCCTTCTGGATGACAGTACAAGCCTTCAAAGTCACAAACATGTTAGAAGGGTCTGTTTTTCATTGTCTGACTTTAGTGTGTTATGAAATGTTTGAAAGCTCTAATTACTCCACCTCACCTGAGCTATTTGTTGAAGGAAGCTTGGAGAACTTTTTAAAGCTACGTTGAAGTCTAAGTTCAGATTCTTACCATTGATGCAAGATATGCTGAACAGATTATGATGTGTAGTTCAAGTTGACTCAGATGATCACAGTGATTTTTTTCTGGCCTACACATTTTTGGCTCTGTTAGAAAACTGCCAGTAGGAAGTTAATCACTGCACAGCTCATCTCTGAATTCTACTTTCATGCTCCAAGACAAACGTGATAAATGACAGTATGTGAAATACATTCCCTTAAAACACCTGCATGAAGTGAAAATTTGTGTAAATTTGTGTAAAATGGAAGGACCACATGAATCACTGTGTAGTTGCAGAGAGATGAGTGCAAGATGTATTCTTGTCTCGTTTGAGAAATGATTTGTAGTCAGCTGGGCTGGATGCAGATACATGTTGTGAGGCTGTACATCAACAGTGGCCAGACTTTGCAGCGTTTGCTTTGTCCTTGAGTGTTTTGTTAGCTAATAAGCTGGCATTCCTGAATTGAAGTAACCCAGTGAGTCAGCTAGTTCAAGTGAACCTCTGAAATAAAAATGGTATAAGGAGAAAAGGAAGCTACAAATGTAGGGAAGATCACAATTTAGTTGACATTTACTGTGGGAATACATTCTGAGGGGGATTACAGAGCACAATTGATGGAATTGCCGCATTTGAGGATCTAATATCCTGAATTTCTGTTGGTTTTAGGTCGCATGTTGCTAAATGACTCAAAAAAGGGGCCCCCACATTTACACTATCGCCGCCCCTATGGCTGCGCAGTGTTGAGCATCATGGATGTACTTCAGTCGATCTCTGAAATAAAAGAGGAGAAGGATTTTGTTCTCAAAGTTTACACGTGAGTAACTCTTAGAAGTAAAAGAATTGAGAAAAAAAAATTCAATATATTGATGCATAAGAGATGCTAAATATTAAGGTGCCATAAGCTGCATTTACTGATTTATGTTGACAAGTTATACTAGTTCTATTGGCAGTTACTGTTTCAGAAGCTCATAGAAAGCAATGAATATTATTACAGATGCTTTGGGTATGTTAAATGCTTCAGAAATTATTGAATATTGCTCATATCTCAAATGATATACAAAGCCGTGCTTTTGTTAATGGGCCTTATTTAAAATCTGCTAAGCTCAAGATCGTTGAAATATTCCCTGTTACCCTTGATGAAGGGAAGCAGCATCTCCAATTCTTTTTCAGTCATGATGACCAAGAAAACAACTAGGGAACAACTGAAATCAACAGCATGTGACCAGAAAAATCAAAACAAGTCAACATTTTCTGAGCAATAATCTATCTTCTGTTTGTGATTTTGAACTTTGAATTACCAATTCTTACTGTGCACTGTGGTCTCGTAATCATAATAAAGAGAGCACAGACAAATTGTTGGGACACTGCGGAGAGTATTTAGATACCTTGTCATTGAGAAGGAACACTGACAATATTTGCAGATGGGCTCAGATACAGATAATATTATTTTGTCTGTGGCCACCATCTGAGTAATAAGATAATTTGAGGGGTAATGGAACTCTTGTGAGAAGTGCATTCAGCAGCAGAAAATGTGCCATTCATGGGAAGCTGTAAATGAAAAGAAATGACTTTCGTTGTTCAGGAAAAGATTCTTGAATAATTCTTCCTACGTTAGAAATCAGTTTGTCCAAAGCAAGTCTCTCAGAGTCAGCTCTTCCATTCTTGTTTTGCCAGCAGTTACGAAAATTTGCAGGGAAGAGAATGGACTTCTTTCATCTTTTTGTCGATAGGATCTGGGCAATTCGGCATTTTATCACCATTCAGTTTCAGCTTATCTCAAGCTGATGGTTTCTGGTTATGTAATTTGTTGATGTTGGTCTTGCAGAAATATGTTAATGCATTGGAACTGCGACATTTCGAATGTTTACAGTAATGAAGCTGTTGTAACCTTCACCCGTTCATTTTTCCTGGGAGACCGCAGCTTGGCCAATTACCGAGGTGACACCAATATGGTGAACAGCAAAATGGCGCTTTTATGGAACAAACACATGCTTATATATGGAGGGGGAGGTCCTAACGCGTTACAACCCGAAGATGGCGCAAGCGCCTAGTACAACATGAAGCATTCTGAATCTGATTTCTGTTTTGATGCCCTTTTAGTGCATCTTTAGCTTCTTCTTTGCTGAAAAATGGGAGAGTAAAAATCTGTTAAATACTGCACTTGTACATTTGTCAGTGATAAATTAATTTCTTAATACTGCCATGAAAAAAAATCACTGGGTAGAGAAGTGTTCCTTTTCTTCTACTCACCCTGAACTGTCCCGTTAGTATGGATTCCCTGCAGACCACCCAAAATAGCAACTGTATCGGCCGAAAGGCTGAAGTAGGTTTATACCAGCTGTTCTTCTCTTCTGCTTCCCCAAACTCTTTGTTTTTAACATCCATAGTCAGCCTCAGAGAAGATGCAGAGCACATAACAAAATTCAACACCATAATCAGATGCTTCTAATCTTTTATTTTCATTATCATGCACTGGAGTGTTGTACATTGTTCTTTTATGCCGCTGCTCTTTGGCATCTTCTTTGTAAACCTCCAACAGAAATCTTCAGAAGAGAGAATAAATTGATCTAGCTAAAAAGTGCCAGCTTATCCCTTTTGCAGCTTTAATAGCTGTTAGTGTTCACGACAGAATGTTTTCACATCTTTGTCTGCTTACATCTTCTCTTTGCACATTCATTTGGCTAAGCTAACTTTTCTTGCTTTGTAGATAAGAATTGAAATAACAAATTTTTGTCTTCTATGATCTGGAAATTGTGCATGAATACTTAAAACAGCGCTGAGCTACTTTTCTTACCTGCTGCACTCACTTTTATTGCTGTTAACATGCCTCAAGCCAGCCCAAAAACATCATGCGATGAAATAAGGAGGGAGGTCTATTTGTATTTTTGAAAGAGAAGTAAGAAGCATTATTTTTGCGCACTATCAGTGTAAAACTTAGAGACAGAAAAGCCTTTCATAGAGAGCAGCTGGAAAGAAGTTGAAAGCCTAACATTGGTTGAAAGAAATACACGGCATTTAAATTGAGACTGTTGCTGGATCCACAAGAGAGAACATGCACAGGAAGAAAAAATCAATTTACTTCACCAGTCTGCCTTATTATTGCTAAAGATTTATGTCTGAAAAGGTCTTTTTGCTCACAATCTGCTGTTGGTTAATCCTGCAGTCATGTTATAATCTTACTAAGAGGATAGAGTACCACAGCTCTTGCTGTAAGCTCATTATGTAAAAGCATGAAGGTTTACTTCTGTAATTCTTTTTAATAATGTACATTTAAAAGTGAGATAAAAACTGAAATCTCAATTCGTATATTTTTAAGATATTTTGATTTCATGCTTTTATGTGAATATTTATCTTCAATTCTTTGGTTTTGATCGCTGCACCTTATTCTTCGTGTTGATGCTTCCACTGCCCTAAAACCTTCATGTATTTCTCTTTCATTTTATCTTCGTATGGATTTGGGGTCTTTCTGTCCTATTTTCCCTCAGTCCTTTGTGCGTTTCCCTCTTTCGCCAGCACTAGATTTTAAGTTTCTTTCATCTTAATGCTACGTTGTCTTTTCCATGTTGAAATTCAGTTGTTGCTATTTGCCCAGCTGGACAGACATTCATTGCATTTCTGTCCCTGTCTGTTTGACATCAGGGTCTGTGTAGTATGGCAAACATTCCACTCAATAGATTTACTGCAGAACTAGCCAACCTGCAGAGATGATGGATGGCTCAGGACAAAATTCTTGTTGAAACTAGAAATATGTCTGGTAATACACGTGGTATTTAGACAAAACGCAATAAACTGCATTATTGGTAAGTGTTCTCAGGCCAACATTTCAGACTTGGGGGGTATTCTTCTTTGTGTTCAAGAAATGTGAAGTACAGCTTACTTTGGTATTTGGTACAAAACTAGCTTTAAGCTAACTTGACCCTCCATTGATTTTTGGGACAACTTTGTTCCCGCTTAATTTACAGGCATAAGTCTTTGGAGACTGAAATCTATTTTAAATTCAACTCCAGAGGCTGATACAACAACTAAAAAGTTAAAAGTTAGACATTTTCAGTAACCTCAGCTCTGAGGGTGAAGAATGGTATAGACTTTGTTCTGTTGGTTCCCTTTTTAAGGAAAACATTATTTGCAGTGGAATAAATGATTTCAATTGTCTTGCCAAGGGAAGTGCAGTAAGGAGTGTGGGTAGAATTTTTTTTTCCCTGATGAATAAGCTGAATAGAAGATAAGTTTACAAACAGGTCTATAGATGGAGGAATAGGAATAGACAGGGACATGTATCCTTACATCCCTGATCCCAAAGGGTGAGGGGAGTGCACTGCAGGAAGCAGGCAGGCTCATGCACCCTGCTCCTGTGTCACTGTGGAAAGGTTTCGTATCTTCCTGTGGTCAGCTGAGATGTCCACTGCCCAAACCCAGCAGTGAAGGAGGGATGAGGAGATGGTTGGAGAGCTAAGATTTCATGTGGGATAGCCCCAGCCTAACCTCACCTGCCAGGCCGAAAATGCAGCCTTAACAGTGTTTTGGATAGCAGGTAGAGAGGACACAACTTTTCTCCATTTCTCCTGCATTAGTGTTTGTACATCATGCTTAATTTGTTCCAAATTGTCTTTTGTTTGTGTGATAATCAGTGTTTGTTGAGTATTGGTAAGTGTACTGTAACAGGCTGCAGCTTATCTCACTGTTCTTGACGGTATGTGGTGTGCTAATACTGACACAACCAAAAATTATTAGCTACCCCTTTTTCTAGATGGCTTTAATTCCTTTTACCAGGTCACTATTCTTCAGTTCCATTATGGTGCAGCCAAAAAATCTCTGTTGTCTTCACAGTAGCAGCTTCATATCATGCCCCAATTTTGCCAACATTATGGAGGAAATCAGTGAACGTTTTAAAATTTTATAACACATGGAACAAGTTTTAGAAATATACACTTCTTTCTCAATACTGTTTTTAGGAGTCAAAAGCTTATAAACAGTTTTCTGAAGGACTTTTTGTTCATTTTTTGTTGTTGTTGTTGTTTAGGGTTTCCTTTAGGTAAAAGTCAATAGGAATGAAATTTAATTCAGCTGTTTAATTCAGTTGCACTTCACGAAGAATAAGATTCAGTATTACTGCTGAGTTAAATATTGCTGACTTTCATTTGTGCTTTAAATATTCTGAATAACAATCAAATTTAAAAGGCAGTTAGATGTGATCAAAACACTTCTTTTTCTTCTTCTTTAACCAATAGGACTGTTTGTGACAAAGGTCCCATTTTGAGTCTTCATTTAGATTATTACACCTGTAAAATTGTCATTTCATCTGTGCTTACACTAGTGTGAAGTACATTACAGCATTCTTAGTGCATCTCTTCATTATGTGATAACAAGCTGTTTGTGCTGATAGCACTTTTTTTCCTGGAAGCTTAGCATCTTTAACAGATTGGTTATACAGCTTTACTCGTTATTAGTGCAAACAAAGCTATTCAGCTTTAATGTTCAGCTAAATAAGAGTCATCATTCCAATTGAAAGGATCTGTGGTTTCTTACTGGAGTTCAAGCCTGTTGCTTTACACCATCTCACAAAGCCCCACTGAAGAACCTGGCTGTTGTCTTAATGAGGGCTTGTAGTTACGAAAAAGAATCATAGAATCATGAAGGTTGGAAAAGACCTCCAGGATCATCACCATTCACCTGTCACCAATATTTCCCCACTAAACCATGTCCCTCAGCACAACAACTAAATGTTTCTTGAACACAAAGCTGCCAATCGTGTTCTCCCCTTCCCTTGTCTTCTCCGGGCCAAAAAATCCCAATTTCCTCAGCCTTTGTTCATTCACTGGGCTCTCACAGGAGAGAGATGTTTTGTTTTTGTATTAGGGAGCCCAAAACTGGGCACAGTATTGTGGATCCAGACTGCCAGTGACGATTGAAACACAGACAGACCACTAATTTAGTATGTTTTGTAAACATTCAGTAACAAAATAGAGTTGTGAATGTATCTTCAACGTCCTGACAGCAGCACAATTATGTATGACCGAGCCCTTTTATACCCTCGGCCCTGTATTTCTCTACGGTTCATATCTTGAAGAATCCCCAAAAGCTCTTTCCCAGCATACCTTAACAAGACCTATATCCCCAAAGGCAGAAACCCACTGAAGACAGGAACCCTTTTCAGTCCATAAAGCAATCCAAAGAACCTTTCCTACTGACTCCTCGGAGCAGTTTTTTCCCCGGGACTGAGTGCTGAATGTTTCCTTCCTAATGCAGCAGCAGGAGGAGTGGGGTCAGCAGCTGTGTGCTCTGCTGAGGACAGCAGGGTTCCTCACTTCCTTTCTACTCCATTCTGGTCAGGAAGAAGAGCCTTTCATTGCATAACCTAGCAGGAAAGACAGAATTATCTGGAAATATTTACAAGGATTTTGTTTATAGACACTGTTTTTAGGTGGTGGACTTGGTAGATGTACATCCAGCTGTTTTGGATTTGATTGTCTAATGAAGGACCATGCAGCCAGCTACACTGCGTGGATATTGTTTGAAAAGAGAATAATTTGCACGCCAGATTTCAGTGCTTTATTGGAGCTGATGTTAACATTGATTTTTTAATAGTGAAATAATATTGAGTGGAAATATGACAAATGAGTTGACATATAGTTATATTGTAATTTCTATCCTGGAAGTGTGTCAAGGGCTTAGGTACATAAAGTAAATGAAAATGGGAAATAATAAGCATTTACTGTTAATGCTTATTGAAATTGCATATAGATGAGTGGACCATCAAAAAAACTCTTGCAGAGAGTGGAATTTGTACAGAAGCATGCATATTTTTTTCCTGCAGTTTGGGAGGTAGGGCTACGTCATGTTTCAGGCACCCTGTAAAGTGTGCATGTGAGCAGAAGACTTGCTGTTGATGCTGAGACACTCAAAAATCAGATCTTTATTTTATCTTCTGAATTCTACTTTTTATTTCTTGAATCTAGCTTTGTTGTTGTTGTTTGTGGTACACAGAACAGTAATATATGGCAGCAGTTACTTCCAACTCAAAACCAATTTTCTATGTGCAGAGAATTCAGCTAAAGATAAATAAATCTTCATTCCATTGTGATACAAAGAATGAAGCAATTGCTTTAATGATAGAAGAATCACTGAAGGCTCAAAAATGTCCATGAAAAGGAGATAACTATTGGGGAAAATGTTTTTTCTCCTTTCACTTTTAAAAACAAGACTTTTGCTCATGCATCAAAACCCCACAGTGTTATTTCTGCAACAAAGTTGACTTTCTTATCAAGCTTTTAGCTTGAACTGGTGTTATTTTGCTTTAGGTGTAACAATGAAAATGAATGGTGTCAGATCCATGAAAACATCATTCGCAAGTCCAGCACCAAATACACAGCACCCAGCTCCAACTATGGTAAGTGTTTACTTGTATACTTCTCTGGTAGAAGAGCTGAAGATTTCCTTTTGAAACTGCTGATTATTTAGAGTGCAGTATTTCAGTGACATGCGAGATTACACGTAGCTGGATTTCTGTACCTACTGTGATGATTTAAATGTTAACTAAAACTTGTGTTCTGTTTACAGATGTAAGCTGCCTTACCTTTGCCAATTTAACCAGGAATTATAATACGTACTTGTTATCTTTCCTTTTGAGATACAGTTGAAAATAATACGTTGTGATTTCAGTGTGCTTAATTTTCTTCACCTTTTTATCTATTTTGTTTAATTATTCCAGAAGATCTTACCTGTGGAGAGAGCTAATGGCCTGCTGTAGAACTAGCTTATGGTCTGTTGTATTTACAGTATATCTGTGGTTGTGAAAACTGCTAGCCCATGCTTGGATACGACGTTAGCAGCTATCAGCACTGGCAGAACTCCGCTGTGTCTTTGTGACACTGGCTGAGGTTGAGCAGACTTCACTGCACAGGAAGAGAAGGATTAAAATTTATTCATTGGAATTTCCCTGAGTAAAACAATCTTCCTGTTCAATTCCCTTGAAACTTCCAGGTATCACATGTATCTGTGGGCTGCTCTCCTGAGGATACAGTGCGTCTGTGTGAATGAGGGTAAAACCAGATATTAAGTTTGTCTGTGTTATGTAGAAAATTCTGTCTGACCCAAGATAAGCGGCATTTTCATACCTATAAATTCATTATCACAAAGACCCTGTGGTAGTTTCAGTACTGAGTGTTCCATTACGTAGTTGAGGAGAATTAGGTGCCTTAGGAGGGTGTTTACCACCTTTCACATCTATTTTTATTTTCCTGGTTAATGGCAGATAAACATGGAAAGAATACGTACATCTTTCACTTGTAACTTCATTAATACTTTACTAATTTAAGGACGAAGTTGCTATTCCATTCCAAAAGAAACTAGTGAATTAGATAGTGTTCTGCTTAGTTGCAGGTAGTTTTGCATTGCTAGGTGAGGGTATGGTTCAGACAGGCACACTGATATCCAAGTACTATTATTGCCTTAGTGCCACTTATTTGCTTATTCAGATGTTGTAGCAGAATATGCATTTCACAACCACGTAAAAGATGTTAAACAGAACCAAAAAGCAAATAAAAGAGGTTTGAGTTTGGGGATTTGTGACATTCAAAGCTGATCTCCTTCCACATTGTTCCTATTACAGTGAAGTTTGTCTACCACTTATCCTGAATTGTGAACAACTTGGAAAACTTGGTCTGTTTGCATTAATTGCAACTGCCAGGTGCCTGCTGAAACGTTCTTTTTTCGGTTATGAGCATTTTTGAAGAGCAGAAGAAAAGGAAATAGATTTTTACTTGTCTTCATCTCTTTAAGATAATCACTTGAAACATACTAAGATCTAATGTATCTCTGGATCGAGAGTTTGAGGCTTGGCAGAAGTGCTGTCACAGTGTGAGGGACAGTATTGCAGACTGAAGTGATTTTAGCATAAGTAGTGCAATTTGGGCTTCTCATAACCTATTGTTAGAGTATAGAAATTTTCAAATCACACTTGCAGTTTGTGTCCTGAAAGCAAGCTCTGGTTGGTTCTCTCCCTGTCTCAGCAGCTCTTACATAAGAGTAATCCTTCATATCTGCTGCAGGGAACGGAAAAACCTGGGAGGTTAGGCTGGAAAAGAAAAGACTGGAGAGCAGACTACCAACCTCTTGGGAGAAGCAGTAGGTAGGCAGAAGGTTGTTGGAGTGTAGCATGTGGGAGGGTGTCAGAGAAGTGCTATCTGTAATACTGTGCTGTAATATTACGTTCTCTATTATTTCTAGTGACTAACTTATACAGGTAATCGATCAACTCTGGTTCGATTTGCTAACTACTGGAGGTATTGCACGTGGACTGGATATTAGTGCTCTCAGTTTCCTAAAAGCATGTCTAACGAAATGATTACATATTGTTTGCAAAGCCAATATATTGAGCTTAGAAAATAGCAGAATTAAAGATAGTTCGTGCAAGAATATATATAAAAGGCAGTTTTTGCGTGTGTTGTTCCACACAGTGAGCAGAGAGGAAGAAAGAGCTACTGGCTGTCATTCACTGAATGAAATAAGGAAAAATTACTATATGAATGTGATTCTCATTGCTTTTTGTGCATGCTTGGCAGAGGATGAGACTAAGTCTCCATGGTTGGTCTTAATGCTGGTGTTTTCTGGCATCTTAGTGCTTAATTTTCTAACTTTACCAGTACATAATCCTCATTCTATGGGTGTGGTATATCCTTTAAATTAAAAGCTAATAGAGAAGTTAGACTAACTGTGCAGTTATTCCTAGTGATTGATATTCCTATTTGGTTGATATACTGAACAAAGGGTCACAGAAAGAGCTGGCTGCTGAGCATTTCTGGTGCTTGTTTTCCAGGTTCACTTTCACCTGTTGGTTCTCATGAAATATGTTGAGATACAGAATTTCTCTAAAGTCAACATTATTACATGAAGTAGGTCAAGAATAAAGTGAAACATTGCTATTAAAGACACTTCTGGGATGTCCTGCAGGATTGTGTAATATGGTAGTTCACATAGAAGTGATGTTGCTCGTATATATGTAGTAATTCACTGTATATGACGTATAGAAATAACGCTAAATACTTCAACTTGTGATGTGCCATTGGAATTGAGTATTCTGACTTGGAAAGCATTGTAGTTTATATAATATTATGCTCCTAACTGATCACTTGAAGCAGATCTGTTTCTTCTGTTCCACTTCTAAGCGATTCCAAGGCAAAAAATAACTTTATGTTTGGGTATTTGTATTAAATTTTATTAAATTAACCATAGATCAAAGCAGTTTTTTAGCCATCTAATTCTTAGGCCTAAAAAATGAATATTTCTGTGTTTTTTTTCAGGACTTATAATATCTCTTCAGCTTCTTCGTGGTGACATGGAGCAGGTTCGGAGGGAAAACCCCATGATCTTTAACAGAGGTGTTTCTGTTACCAGAAAGCTGGGTTTCCCCGATGTCATAATGCCAGGTAAACATAACAGCTCTAATCTTAAGACATTGGTCATGTTTTTTTTCATGTTCTCCTTAAAAAAACATCAGAAAATACTTTTCTGGAAGAAGGTTAAAAATACAAGGGTTGTATTATTTGTCAGTACATGCCAATTGCAGGTTCTGAGAGGCATGCTGAACAGTTTAATCAGTGGACACTCAATATTCATATGTATCAGAGGTGATCTTGGAAGTTTGCTTAATTTCCTTTTCCTCATTTAAAAATCCCCCATGTAGACTAAGCGTGGAAATGTTTATTTTAAAATTTTCTTAAAAGTTTCTTAATAGTAACCTAAAGCCTGACTGAAGAGTTTCTTCTACTTTGCCACCTTGATTTTTGGAGTTATTGTGATCCTTTTACCTTGGTGTACAGTACATGAGGCTGCAGGTCTGGTCTGATTTTCCAGCTGATCTTACAGAGTTCCTAGTCCCTGCAACAGCTGCCTTGGCTGAGGCTGTGCTGTACTCCTTGCTTCTGGAGCAGCAGCTTAAGACAGCTGTCTTTTTGGCACGAGTTGAGGTAGGCACAGCATAACCAAGAGTTCATTTAGGGAGGAAACTGGAACTTAGCCAGTCACACAATCATGGATACAAAACCTGGCGTTAAACAGCCTTAATTTTTACAGTGTAATAAGAAATGGGCTTTCTAATTATGTTGCATGTGTAGCATTTGAAATACTACCTTACTGCTTTGCAATATAACAGGACCAAGGATGACTTGCAGACATAAGAAATTTAATAAAAGCATAATGGGAAAACTATCAGATTTTATTATTGGAAAGACTGCAGTGACACATTGGCATCAAAAGCAATTGTTGTAGCTTTACTGTGGAGGCTCTTGAGGAAGTGCAATAAAAACTGAGAATATGTGGGAAGAATTCTAGAATCCAAGGTATAAGGGTTTAGAACAGTATGTTTTTATTTGCTAATACTCTTGAAAGCAGCTGTAATATGGTCTTTCTTCCCTGTTCCTGCTGAAATGCTGCTGTAACTATTTGTAAAGCTAGAACTAGAAATGTAGTTCACAGTCCACCATATTGAAATAACCTGAAATTGGTGTCAGTTCAGTACTGTGGGTTATAAAGCCAATTAAAAATTTTAGTTCCTAGTGACCTTAAAGCAGTTAAATAGAGAAAAGACTAAGTATTGTGTGCAGATATGTAGACACTGTGCCAGCATGATGGTCTGCTGCGATTGAGATGACATGTAGATGTCAGCTAGGAAATGTAGCTGTAGATCACAGCTAGAAAAGTCAGCGTCAGGAACAATTTAACAAAAATTTACTTACCCAATTCTCCTGCAAGAATTGCACTTCTGCATTTGTAGAACTGCCCCTCAGTTCCTTCAGACCATTTGATTTTAGCAAACTGAAAGAATGGCTTTGTGGCCTTGGTGTTCCCCCTCACCTGTTTCTGGAGCCTGCCATAGTGGGCCTGTTTTCCCTGTGCTTTTTCTGTTGTGTCCAGGGGTTGAGTAAGCAAGTTAGCAGTGTTATGGCAAAAGCTGTTCCTACCCTAAACTTTAGAGATCCTCTATCTAGTGAAGCTAATTACAATTTCCAAACCTAATTTCTCTTTGTAATTAAGAACACTAGAGAGAGTGCTGCTTCAGTGCAAAGGAGGTCAACCAAATTACAGATATGTTGTTATGATTTTGGTGATATTCAGCTGTGACACCTTGGACATTTTAGCTAAATGAAAACCATTTTCCAAAGTGAATGCCTGCAGTGCTTCCATCTGCATATGTATGGTAGTGACATTTCCAGCTGACCCAACAGCTTCTCAAGTTGCATCCCTCACAAAGACATTCTGTTAAGTCACTATTGCTAGCTAGTGTCCTTTTTTTCTTTTTCTTTCTTTCCTTTTTTTTTTTTTTTCTTTTTGTGGAAGTGACAGTTTCTGTTGGGGAAAACAGAGGGATTTTAAGATGATAATATGCTTGGAATTGGGTTCATAGTGGGGCAACTAGGACAGACAGATTGGTCTACTAAAATTACTGACCAATGCAACAAACATATGAAAGGACCACCATTCTGCTACTAAATGCTTACAGCCCCTCTAAGGTGCTGAATACTCAGAAATTCTCAATTCAGAGGGGTATGCAAGACGTCCACATATACAGTCTTGATGCCAAGCTTCCAGGCATTTCTGTTCGGAGAAAAAAAAAAAAAAGGCTCTAATTTGTAGACAAAAGGCAGTTTGTAAATGTGCTTGAGTAGCAGATAGAACAACCAAGGCAGTCGTGGTGTGTGGACAGACTGTCGCTGCAATGACAAATGAGGATACTGCTGGATGCAGAGTGAGATAGTCGTGAGCAGTGCTCTAAACAAAAAAAAATTCATTGTCCTGGATATTCTTCAACTGAAAAATTAGGAGATTAAAACACAACATCGCTGTGCTGATGCCATCAATATTATTCATTCTGTTAAGTGACAGCAGATATTTGCAGATTTTTATTTTTTAAAAACAATAGATGAAACTGGTTTGAGTTTACATGATGGCTATGACAGAGCACTTGGATAGAGGGAGTTATCCTTCAGATGTGTTAGCAAAGCTAGAGGAATAAGGAATGCCCATCAACTCGCCGTGCTTTGTGCCCACGTCATTACAGCCAGAATCAGACTGATTGGGTGTGCTACTGTGGTCTGGAATTAGAAAAGATATCATTTACAAAGCAACCAGATGAAATCTTTTAGCAGTTCTCAACCATGCCTGTTTCTTTAATTGTCTTTGTCAAACTTCCTTTTCCTTCCTTTGCTTCAGAACTGTTTCTTTCTCATGAAAGATGGGGTTTCCTCTCTGGGAAGAGCACAGAAAGTGCATGTAAAGATACGTATTTTGCAAGTGGATGCTGATTTTTAAAACAGTGTGATTGAAAAATTATTTTGATGAATCAATTAATGAAGGCTAATATATCACCTAATATTGTCAAAATTTGCAACGGTCATTCTGCTGACCCAAGAAATGTATTTTCTTTAAAGCAAACAGAGCTGACATTTCAAATGAATCTTCCTGGTGATGGGTTTTAACATCTTCAATTTCTTTTTTAATAGGAATTCCTTTCAAATGTAGGTGTCTTAACCATTATAATTCTGTAGCTGTGTCTCTCCACACAATTCTCCTACCCCGTTTTTTTTTTACAGTAGCACTCGTTTCTGTATCAAGCTCATTTTTCCCTCACTCAGATAAGAGCATCATGAGTGGACGTCATTTAAGAAATTAAGTTAAACCAGTCTTGATGTGCTTGTATCTTGCATGGTTATGAAAACATATATATATATATATATATATGTTAATATATTTTGAAATAACCATGCCTGCCTTCAGTTTTAAGTGTAAATTTGTGTTCTTTGTTTCCTGTTGTGTTGTGACCTGAGAAGAGCATCGTGAAGACTAATGCTCTTTTTGCCCAAATCAGAAGGGAGTCAGTCAGCGCAGACTCACAAAGAGGTGGTGGGTTTTTGTTCCATTTTGGTTTTTGGTTTTTATTCTTTTCTGAATTGCTGTTGGGTTGAAGAACGTCCATCTGATCCTGACAATTTTACCTTTCCCCAGAGATAAAAGCAGTGCGGCATGTGCTGCTTGCCTTTTGGATTGCAACTTTATTTGTATACACAACTTGCTGATCAGAAATCTATTGCATAGGCATGGCGTTTGTCAGTTCCCTAAAGGACATCCCTTCCCTTCCCCATGTGCTGATAAGTATTCTGTCTTTTACTTTGATCCTCTGATGAAAAGTGCATGCTTCATCTTCTACTTGTGAGTGATGTTTCTTTCTCTTTTTTTTTTCTCTTTCCTTGTCTTAATTTCCTGGCTTCTCTCTCTTTCCTTTCCTTTTATTGTCTCCCCTTTCTTTCTGATGCAGAGATGAAGATAGTTGGGTGTAAGTTTCTGCTTTTCTGTGTAATGTCTGCTTATTGCTTGCTTTTTCCCATTTTCATATCTTTCATGGAATGTTGGGGATTGGTAAAGGTAACAAATCATAACATTTCAGAGAAATTTTAGTAACAGAGGCTTTGTCTTTCCCGTCTCTTCATATCACAGGCCAACTTAAAAGAGGTTAATCAGTAGGAAAGGTGAGGAATATGTCAGCATCTGCTCTCTCAGGTGGCAGAAATACACTGAGAATTGGACGTGGCAGCACTCATCAGCCATCCTCAGAATATTCAGGGTGACAGAATTGATGAGGCTGAAAGTTACAGTTATGTAATAATTACCCCCAAAAAAGCATTTACAAGGAGATTAAAGAACGTTTTTATCATTAATCAACTGTCAGAAAATGGAAAGTAAAAAATATTAATTTGGAGGAGATAACATTAAAAATTCAGCTTACAGCTACAGGAAACCTTTCCAGGCACATCACTGAATTTAAAAAAATCCTATTCTTTTCCAGGCACAGAAGTGCAACAATGGATATCAAATAGTCTACTAAACATCATTTGTTCAGTTTTTAATTACAGGAATTGAAACAATTTGATTGTTTTGTTCACAAAAAGCTAGAGGGTCACTTGGAGTTGAACTTGCACAATGTTCCATTTATAGAGGGGGGGAAAAAAGTTTCCTTTGGTAGGTAGGCAGTCAGTAAAACCTGTGTTTCCCTTTACCAATGCAGTGTTATTCCCAGTAATGTTAATAGTTGCATGCCATCAATACTTCAAGAATTTAGAAAGTTACTAAGTTACACTTATAAGTGTTAGATTAAATACAGGCTGTTTCTGTACATGGTTATTAATTTGCTATTTAAGTCCTTAATCTTCGAGTGAAAAACCTGCAAAACCAGTATAAATCATTCTTTGATTGATTTATCCTAACACAATTATTGTCCATTGGACTATTGAATGTTATCAAGCCTTGACAACTAATATTTGGAATGTGTACAATGTGTACTGTAAACACAAAACCAGTGTTATGAATCTTATATTCATTTCCACAACTTGCTTAAAATAAAATAGTTTTGGGTGATAGGAGAAAGGACTTCAGTGTAAGCAAAGCCCACGCAGTTAATATTTAATGACCTGGTAATTTGAATACAAATTGTATAATCAACATAGTTCGATTTTAAAGGAACAGTAATAGCCAAAACAAAACCCTCATAAAAGAGATGGGAGAATAAATGAAGGGCAGCACGAGACATCAGGAAATAATTCTTGCTATTGTGAGAAGTGCCGTATGTCAAGACATTTCATGAAGGTTTAATCTCAGGAACTGCATATATAAAAACTGCGTATATTTTGTGCTAAGGAGCCGTTTACATTTGGTTTTAAATAAAAAGCACTTGTTGAGGGATGGCCTTTAATACCATTCTGAAAACTCACTGGCTGCTTCATTTCATCCTGACATCGAGTGTCCTCAGTTCAAGTGCCGCGCACCGGTTGGAACCTACAAATGCTTTTGGCCCGCTGGCCTCCTAGCACTCTTTTTCCTGTGCTAACAATAGGAGGCCAACACTGACCCACTTTGATGAGCTGCACTGTTCTCCTGTGAGGATGGGAGAGGTTGCTGAGATGCACACTGGCACACATGCTGCTTTTCTCCCAGAGTGCAAGAGAAGTGTTGTCACTTCCAAGCCAGAACTACTTGCATGGAGGTGTGTCTGGTTTATTAATGAGTCCTTTATTCCTCTCTTTTTCTATTTTAAGACAGAATTAAGCAAGGGAAGAGCTCTCTCTGCCAGGGTTTTTGACTTGCTGTGTAGCTGTTTTTTGGTGTCAGAGCTGACAAGGATCTCTTGATTCTGCTGATCACACTTCTTGTTTTGTCACATGCGAGCAGCACGGTGCAATCTGCTCGGGCATTTCTGAGCTGCTGTGAAGGCCTCTATCCTTGCAATTTGCATACTCAGAACAAAATGTCTGACACACTGCTCTGTGTCCAAGCATTTACTCTGTTTCTGTGAAGCCCTTTACAGTATCTGAGCTCAGAAACATCGAGAGTGGCAGCAGCAGTCAGGAAAAAAAAGCTAGCAAGGATGCAGTAGTAGCTTAGGTTAAGTAACACGCTAGGAAGAGGGAATTCTTTTAGAAAGGATATTTTTATGATTACACACTAACAAACTGAAGTCTGTGACTTTCTGGCTTTAACTCCAGACTTTGAAGAAGCAGATGAGTGCAATGCCTGAGAGCAGCAGCCTTCAGTCTTTTCTTACTTTGCATTATGGCCTTTTCTGGTTATTTTTAAGATGCTATAAACTATTTTTACAAGAGAAGATGTTCCATTACACTTCACTGAAGTACTTTTTCCCTTTTTTTCCTTCATTTTGATGCAAATCCACTGTTATCTCGATTCCTCTGCCCCCCACCCCACAGGCATTTTTTCAATTAGTGAAGTAATATCCCTTCTAGTAAGCTTAATGGAAGATTGGATGCTGTACGTTCACCAAACTCTGCATTTAATTTAAACTAGGATTTGCAATCTGACATTGGGCTTCGTGTGGCCATACCCTGTTCTGGAGAAGAGGCCATAAATAAGAATCTCCCAAATGCTAATTTATGGGTACAACTAATTTCTATTAAGAATCACAGCATATAAATTGGATTCTTTCGTCCTCATCATGCATGCTGCTTAGAAAAAAAGCTGGAGGCTGTTAAGCAGAAGGAGTTTCAAAACAAAAGCCCTGACTTAAACTATCTTCAGCTGCGACTTTTACATTTCCTTGATATTCCTGTGGTCAACGTATAGATGGCTTGGCTGCATTTTAAACAGCAAGAAAAACACACAGATAATTTTCTCTGCACAGCGTTCCATGTGATGGCTGTTCTTTGATGAGAAAACCTGACTGAATACTGGAGGGCTTTCGTGACCCTCTCGCTGTTATCTTCCTCACAGCAGTGAAGCACTGCAGTCTCAGAGCCCTTGCTGTGATTCATGTGCTGCTGCCCACCCTGTGAGCCTGCCCTGCCAGCAGGGCTGACAGAAGGAAGGCATTTTGGAAACAGATTCCCATTCACAGGAGTGCTAGCAGGGAGCACCGAAAGGCAGCTACAGAGTGGTACTTCTGTGCCTGAAAAGTTGTACTGCTCTCCAGAATAAAAATGACCATAAAGGCAAGCTTCTGTTGTTTGTCCCTTCAGTAGAATCCGGGGTGAATTTGGTGGGGTGAGAGACTTCAAGAAAAATTTGAAGTGCATCTTTGACCAACAGAAGGATATCCCTCATTGCCTGAAAGCATATGCTGCTTGTTTCATAGTGCTTCTGGTTAATAAACAGATTTAATAGCATCAGCTTCTCCAAGTACTGGGTTGGAAGAAATCAGTCACTGAAGGAGTCTCTGCTTTGCTGTATAACCATTCCACCACTTCATTATTTGGTCTCTTGAGGCTGCTTAACAAAATCCCAACTTGAAAGTGTTTGATTTATAGTTGTTCAAAAATTGTGTTTTTTTTTTATACTGCCCTTTCATACATGTCTCTTTGGGAGAAATAAATAAGAAGTGATAGGTCACAGAATGGAAGCAGCAACTGAACCTGAGGGAGAAGCAAGTGCTACCTGCCATCCTCTTGGTGAATGCTTTAGAACTTACTGCATTCCTTTTGAAAGCAGCATTTCCCAAACCAGATTCTTAGAACAAAATAAGAAGTGAACAAGACTTTGTTAAATTCGGGATAATAACAAATCTGAGAGAGATGCCAGCATTTGTATTGCTGAGTGCAGTCATTTGCTCTGAAAGCTCTTGAAGGTGAGGTCATGATTAACTGGCAACTATCCATACTGCCTGCTCTATTACATTCTTGCATATGGACACCAGGGACTAGCCAGAAATCTAGCAGAAAAACCAATTAATAATTCCCTCTTAATCCGTCTCAACTGAATTACAGCCAAGTATCCAAAAAGGCTGCTTTTGTTTTCTTGTTACAATAAAAAGGAAATTCACAAATCTACAAAATACTCAGAGAAGATTTAACTGAAATTAATTTTCTACCAATCACCACAAAAATACGCATTTGTTTTTAAAATATATTGAAAATAGGAAGTCTGACACTATTGATGCTTTCAGTTTTCTCCTAATAGCTGCATCACATAACTAGGCAGAGTAGTGGAGGTTTTGTTTTCCCTTCTCTACTCACACACAATAAAGCAGGTGTTGATTCCAAGTTCACACTTAATGAAGGCATTACTAACAACGTTCTGATTTTATGCATTGATATCAAAATGTTCATCTTTATTAACAATTAACTTGCTGCTTGGAATGATTTGGCATCAGCCATAGTCTTGCAGAACACCGGGTGGTTTGCAGAATCAACATAGGCTTCACACAGGCGCTGTCTCCCATGGTGAGTGTAGCCATGTGCCTCCTGTCTTTCCCTGCAGGTGATATACGCAATGACTTGTACCTGACACTGGAGAAGGGAGACTTTGAAAGAGGTGGGAAAAGCGTGCAGAAGAACATTGAAGTGACCATGTATGTTCTGTACGCAGATGGAGAAATCTTGAAGGTAAGTGCTTGTTTCCTCTTCAAGTTTTGAGTGCCATCTGCTTGTTCCATGCACACATGCTGTTTGTTTGTTCTCTGATGCCAGGGAAACTACACTCAAACTAGTTCTTCCTATTTTTGGTTTTTGCTAAGGTTTTAACCTATTACAATGAAAGAAGTGGTCGCTTACATGTGGTCCTGTTTACGAGTGGTCCTGTTTAGCAGAGTGGATGGTGATAGGACAAGGGGAATGGTCTTAAACTGAGACGGGGGAGGTTTAGGTTGGATATTAGGAGGAAGTTTTTCAGCCAAAGGGCAGTGAGGCACTGGAACAGGTTGCCCAAGGAGGCTGTGGATGCCCCATCCCTGCAGGCACACAAGGCCAGGCTGGATGTGGCTCTGGTCAGCCTGGTCTGCTGGTTGGTGACCTGCACACAGCAGGGGGTTGGAACTGGATGAGCACTGTGCTCCTTTTCAACCCAGGCCATTCTGTGATTCCATGATACATATTTGAAAGAATTCGGAGCACTGCCCCATGTGGGAATAGGCGCTTAGGAGAAAATTTTTATAAACTGAAAAGCTTATATAATTTGCAGTGTGATGTCAGTGACTATAGTAAAATTTAAAGTCGCTGTAATCAAAGATCAAAGAAGCATATGACAAATTTCTTAAGTCAAATAGTGTATGTGATAAAACAGGAATACAGGCGAGGCTGTTGGAAGTGTGGTTTGTTGGTGTGTTGAGCACCGTTTTGAAGAAGTCCCTGGTTTCCAAGATCTTGGCTTTCACCATGGGGGGGCTTTATTCCTGTTGGGAATGTTGTTAATGTTTGTCTTTCTTTCTCTGTTCTTACTGTAGTGTTACTGAAGGGAAGAACAACAGGTAGATATGTCAGCTTTGTGTGAGGTGGGAAAGAGTGAGGAAAGAGAAGTAAAAGTATTTTGACATAAACTGCTATTGGGAATGGGGGAGAAGCTGCATTTAAAATCGTTGAATTAGAACTTCCCCTAGATCTTTTTTAACATCTGGTGCAAAAAAGTGGTCTTTGTAGCCATTCTCATAGAACAGGCTGAACCCCAAAGTCCTTGTGTGTCTAACTCGGTGCCGCAATCTGTTTTGGGAATTGGAAGAGGAACCTTTCCCTTATTAACATAATTTCTTGTGATTTGATTGAAAATTAAGTAAGGAACTCTCTTGTAAGGAACTGCTTTGTGCCCACAGCTGTTTCTGGAAGATCACAATCCTTTCCTGTTCAATTGCATTAGGCATACATTTCAAATTGAGCGTCGTACATTTTTAATCATTGCTGTGTTACAGAACAGTCTGCTGAAGACCACTGTAGATCTTGGTTGTCCCAAGCACAGGATCAGCATCTTCAAATGCCAACATAGTTTCTAGACGTTATCAACATAGTATCTAGACTTCTTTGTTTTCTGCTGGAGTTCTCACTGCAATACTTTTCCCTTTCCCTTACCCTTTGTATTGCTCCAGCAGTACTTCAGGGCTATGGGTGGAATTGGAGATGGGACATGGCACAGAGAAAAGAGGCAGTCAATCCAAATAAAAAAAAAATCAGGGGAACATACTTTTTGTAATAGAAAGACTTTACATAGAAAGGATCTCCTGTGGGTTCTCAATTTAAATAACTTATTTACAAGAGAACCTTTGTACCTATTTTTATATTGCTGCTCCTCAGTGTAGTGGCAGTCAAAGCAACTTTTTATGGTTATGTCAGGGAGATCCGTGGTTCGTGAAGCCTAATGATGCCTCAGATCAGTTGCATTTCAAACATGCAGTCATCAGAATTTTTTACATAGGAAATAATAAGCTGGCGAATGTCTACTGAAAAACCAGTGGAAGTGCTATCAAGAACGATAAAACCTGAGCTCCTCCCCTTTAATTTGAACTCCTCGCTGCATAGTTCTCTTATTGCAAAATAGACCTGGAAAAATAACATATGAAACCAAATATTGGTTGAATTGAATATGGAGACATAATTCAAAGTTCTAAATGGCAGTTTGAAGGAAAAGTCATATCTGCATGAGGCAAGGAAACAGCCACTTAGAACTGAGTTTGGAAACTAATCACGTATTATCTTTTTTCTTTGCTGCCATGGTTTCTACCTGATAGAAAAATTCTGTAAATTCATCTCCCAGAGGTAAAGCAAATGACACAGCCATCTGGAATTACTTTTGACTTAGTGGGTTATCTTACCTTAAGTGCTGATGTCCTTATGGAAGCCAACTGACCTTATTAAACGCATATGGCTTTTAATAGAATGTTCTAAATCTGTAGAAATGCCTTGAAGACCTTAAGAATTCTAGGTATCCACAGATACATAAAATGTAATATATATTTGTTAGTCTGGGTTATTTTAGTATTTCACCTTTTATATTAAGAATTTAGTTTTAAACTCTAGACAGCTTATTTTTTCATTGTGGATGCCTGGTTTGTGTTATCTGTGGTAGGGTAAGATCAATCAGTGTGTTGGAACCTGTCATTTCCATTAGAAGGAAGCTGGTTTCACTCAGAGGCAGAATATAACTGTTCCTAAGTGGGGGGAAAGAAGCAGCTGCAAAGAGAGTGCTGAATGGGGAGCTTTCATTTCAGTCAGTCAGCGTAATCTAGAAGGAAATATTAAGATTGCAACAAGAGGAGTGCCATTTGAGCTTTTTAATGTAAAAGATAAGAATAAAATTTGGTTGACTTAGCTCTCAGTGCAGTACTGATGAGTTGAACAGCTTTGTTTGGGTTGTCTGACCACTGAATGATCTCCTGCATGACCCAAGATGCATTCACAGTCTTGAGAGGCTGCTTTCTGCCTTCCGTTTCATTTTTCTAATCACAGGGTTAATTGAATAACTTTCAGTTGGTAGCGTGGTTGGGGAAGTAATAAAAAATCTCCAGTTGAAGATTACAAGTGCATGAGCAGTGCACTGAAGATGTGATCGTTGACCCCAGCACACCACTTTCCTTGGCTGAATGCTGTTCCTGACCTACAACATTTTCTAAACACTGCCAAAGAAGAAAGTTTGTGCTGAGTTACACCACACTGCGGGAATCATGGCTCTGTGAAGGCTTCAGCAGAACCATACAAAGTGTTAATAAGAATATTCTGTTTCAAATCCATATTGCTCTTGAGTGTATCTTGGTTCAGAAATAGTCCTATTGAGAGCAGTGGAAATAAGTCCCAAACAAGATGAGCGTTTTCTTTTCAGTGTTGTCTCACCCAATTATTAGTATCCTTTAGTATAGTCTGAAAACTAAGTCTTGACACATGTAGCACTTACTCTCTGTTCTAGTAGAAAGAATATCTTATTCATCGTAGGATGTAACTTAAATGATAACATCGTTATGCAGTCCTTTTTTTGGTTTAGCCTGTGCTCTCCAGTTCAGAAATTTCTTCAATTATTTCAGATTTTATTGTGTCTGATTTTCTGCTTCTGCTCTTCCTCTGTGTCTACAAAAAGAGATGAATTGTATAAAGATTATCACCGTGTAATAAAATGACTCATCTGTAGTGATGTGCTGTCTTTTAATCTTAAATTGTGTTCTTTTGTTCCAGGATTGCATCAGCCTGGGCTCAGGAGAGCCAAGCAGGAGTGCCTACCACTCTTTTGTCCTTTACCACAATAACAGCCCTCGATGGGGGGAAATCATCAAGCTGCCCATCCCCATTGACAGGTTTCGTGGGTCTCACCTCCGCTTTGAGTTCAGACATTGCTCCAGTGAGTGCAAAACGTAACCTAAAGAAATCTAAAATGGCTGAGGTCTTCCCATTGCCAGTTCATGCTTGAATGAGGCTGTTAATCCCTGGGAAGGAGGAAGAGGGTGCCAGCTTTGACAGTGCACCTTTACTGCAGTTTGTTAGCTTGTTGCAATGTTCATTGAACAGCACAATCCCTGCAGGGCAAAACGTTCTGTAGATATTCTCCCCTGCTGTTCTGTAACTGTGTTTTCCTGTATAATGTTTTCTTTATAGCATGTACATTTTTTATTTTACTGTGATCAGCATGTTTGTACTTGGCAAGGCAGTTGTGACTACACAACCTTTACAGATTTTTTCCAAGCCAAACCATTCTGTGATTCTCTGAGTGTTTGTTTTGAGGCTTGCTGATGACTTGCATAGAATTAAACTTAGTGGTTTGTTATATACTGATTCTTACATTACCTGCCTGCTTTTTGTTAGGAATGCGGTGGGTAACTTTGTAGAGTATATGGATAGAGTATGAACAAATGTGATTTCTTACTTATATCTTGTTACAGCAAAAGACAAGGGAGAAAAGAAGCTCTTTGGGTTTGCATTCACTCCATTGATGAGAGATGATGGCACTACCTTGTCGGATGATATCCATGAGCTTTATGTTTATAAGGTACCAGGTCTTCTCAACTGTTCACCACAGCTTCAATTTAAATCCAACTGTCATTGCGTTCTCATTTTTTCCCACATTAAAAAAATTAAAGAATTTGAATTTATGTGACTAGGTATGGAAACCTCCTGCTGTAGGTACAACTCGTTTTTCTCATCAGATACTGATGATTTATCTTTCATTAATTATGACTACTTGAAATTCAAACATACGAGTCTTCAAGCCGTCGGCAGTTTTACAGCCCATACTATTACTGTGTATTAAGAAATTGTTTCAGTGCCCAGAAGCTTCAAATGCATTGCTGCAGTGCTACATCTCAACAGTGCTGTAGCAAGAAACTTTGGAGAGTTTTTGGCGTTGGGTTTCTTCTGCAGTTGTTTTTTTGTATTTTTTCTTTCCACCATATTGATTTACTTCGGTTTATTTCTTCACTATGACTTTCAGACAGCAGCACTAAGTTGGAAGGTGCAGATAGGTTCAAAACAGTCAGTAGTTAGGAGGTGACATTTTTTTTTAAAACTGAGTCTCCTCTGTGTACACACAAGCCCTGAAGGTGGTAAGCACAGCTTTTCCTTACTAGTGTTTGTGTGCACCCAAAAGGTCAATAAAAGTACTGCCAAGCAATTGCTATCAGGACTTGTGTGTGAAATGAAATAAATAGACCGGGTAGCATTCCATCCCCTTTCCTGTGTTTGCAGTGTGATGAGAACAGCACGTTTAATAACCACGCGCTCTACCTGGGGCTGCCCTGCTGCAAAGAGGACTACAACGGCTGCCCCAATATTCCTTCCAGTCTCATTTTCCAGCGCAGCACCAAAGAGTCCTTTTCTGTCTCCACGCAGCTTTCTTCTACCAAACTGACCCAGAATGGTAAGTAGCTGGTACTTCAGAATTGCTTATGGGCTGATATGTGTGCTGTATTGACATGAGCAGAAACTGTTGCTCAGTTGTTGGTCTGGGGTTTTGTTTGGGTTGTTTTGGGGATTTTTTTGTTTGTTTTTTTTTGAAGAAATTGTTACTGAGTAAGGGCAGAGAAATGACTGGCATTTCTGTAAGTGCAAGACATGAGTAATCTGTTAAAACGAAGATAATTTTATTTAGGTGATTAAAGAACAAAAAAATGAGTTGTTGGCACTTTGACACAATCCTAGAATTTGTTTTTTCGGCTCTTGCAGAACTACTAAGGAAACCAAAACTTGTTATAGCAATGTTCCTGAGGCACAGGAAGACAAAAAAGTGTATTTTTCACAGTGCAGTGTGAGGTTGCCATAGGAAAGGTAGCAATATTTTTATTCGTTCTAAGACTTTTCAGTTCCTCCATCCTTTCTGTTAGTAATGTTGTTCTTACTGTTTGGTTTCCTTCTTGTTTTTCTTTCTTTTTTTTTATTCTAACATGTGTGAGCTGCAACAAGAGCAGAACTGTAGCATAATGAATCTCAGTTGGGTCTGCAGTTGCCCTTCTGCCCTTTGTATATGGACTCTGTCTCTTTCTCTCTTACTGTTCTGCAGTGGATTTGCTTGCCCTCCTGAAATGGAAAGCTTACCCCGATCGTGTGATGGATATTCTAGGAAGGCTGAGACATGTCAGTGGCGAGGAAATTGTTAAGGTACTACATGGAATTAAATGTATCCAGTGTCTTTGGATGTATCAGTGTTAGTAAGCTAATTGATATCTGCAGTGCACATCTGATTGTTGCTTCTTACTGTACTTTGTTTCGTGCTGTCTCAAAGTGTATGATAGGGATTTTTTTAATATGAAATTGAACACTCCAAAAATGAATGGTATTCAATCCTCAGGATCAAACCTGCTGTAGTCCAAAGACAAATAACCTCATCCACCTGTATGGTGAGCATCATCCTTAGCACTCACTGTTCTGCTCTGTAGACCTGCCCCCACTGAGCCATGCTGTTTCCTAATGAGTGCACAGCTCTGTTAGTGGTGTTTGGTGCAGGCTTTTCTGTTCCAGTCGTATTTTCAAAAAGGCATTCCCTGAAAACAGGGAACTGTGGTTGACCGTTTCTAGAGTGATGAAAACAGAGCTGACACAGAAGTCTTAGCTTTTGAAACAGCTGATGATGGAATGGAATTGATGGAATTGATGGAAACAGTGGAATTGATGTGTATTTCTGTTTTAAGAATATATTTGAAACCTCTGTGTAGAAGACAAACAAATCTGAAACCTTGAAAGTCAAGTGCACCATCCTGCACTTCACTGTCCCAGAGCAGTGAAGTCGTGCTGCTGCGCAGAGCACCAATGTCAAACGAAAGTCCCATTGTTTGATTAGGAGTTTATGCCACTTTGTTGTAACTCATTTAAGTGTTGCCATATCTTAATTTTAACTTTCATGATAGCACATGTAAAAATAACACGAGAAGAAGATACCCAGTGTGTACTGAAATTATTCAAGAAGGCCATATGTCATACATTTGTTTGCAAGGCAGTACAAGTATTTGCTTTTTATAGGGAAAATTAAAAAAAAAAAAAAAAAAAAAAAAAAAAGAAGAAAGTATTATTCCAAGAATTCCAAGAGGAAATGCAGTTGATTCCATCCCTTAGTTGGCTGCCATTTGGCATTGGGATATGAAGCACAGAATGCAGTAATTCAGAAAAAAGAAATTTTATCTTCTCAGAAACTTCATAAATTGTTGCATTTTGTTTCTTGTTCTCCACCTGATAAACGTAATTAGAATAGATTGCAAAATGACGAGGACGGAAGCAGCAGCTGGCTTCACCTTCAGCATTCCTCTTCACAGTCATCCCTTCTGAGAAAAGTAAAGAAAGTCACTGAATTATCAGCAGTGTTACAGATGGGAGAAACAATTGGCACTATGTAGCTTGAATCAATTAATGTTTGTTGTAAGAGCCATAGTTTCATTCCTATAACAAAAGTTTTCAATACTAAGCATAATTTGGAGCACCATTTAATGTGTTTCCATGTCTTAAATTTGATGACAATGGCATCCAATACACTATGATGTTATGATAGTTTAATTACTACATTGTTTTGCCACCTAGGTAGCACTTACGTCAGCTCAGCTGACAGAGAAAGGAGCACCCAGCTATATTTCTGTGTAGTACGTATTTCTTGTTTTTGTTCTCCTTTATCTGTTATTTTCATTTAGAAATATTCCTCGTGAAGGGAAAAATTCCTTGTGAAAGGAAAATCTGTCTTATGTGTGAACCTGAAATGATTTGTCCTTGGGTTTACAAAGGCATCAACATGTGTGACATAATTCAAGCAGGGCAAAGAGTTCTTATTTTGAATACAATTGAAACTTATTGTTCATTAATATCACTTTAGTTCCTTCAAGACATTCTGGACACACTGTTTGTAGTTTTGGATGACAACACCGAGAAGTATGGCTTGCTGGTCTTTCAGTCTTTGGTAAGCTGATGAACTGTTGCTTCTCTTTATCTCATGGTCAGTGATTTTGAATTCACGTAGTGATCCCGGATGGCTTCAACCCGCGGTTGGGAGGGGAGCGGTATTCGCTATCGCTTGGGAGAAGCATGCAGTGACATCTCATAATGAAAGTATTGACTGTTTGAAGAAAATCACGTGTTTTGTTGTTCCGTTGTCTTATTGCAGAACACTGTGTGCAGTTTCCTTCGGTGAGGGCTCACTGCTTCATCTCTTACAGGTATTCATCATAAATCTGCTGCGTGACAGCAAGTATTTTCATTTTCGACCTGTGATGGACACTTACATTCAGAAGCACTTTGCAGGAGCACTGGCTTATAAGTAAGTTTTGTTTATCCATCACTTCAGGGGATGGTCTTAGAAGCCTTTGAATGATGTCGCTAAGAATCATAATGTTTGTGTTAGCAGAGGTTTTCAAAAATAGAACTATCTGGACAAAATTTTTCCAGCACAGTTTCAGAGAAAAGCTGCTCATTGTATTGTTGCCAGAAACGAGCAGACGTTGATTTTTACTTTGCCTTTCTGAAGTGACAAATTCTGTTTTCATTGTTTTATAAATGTCACTCAGCAACACCTCCTTGTCAATCTGTCAGCTAATGAGCTGCAAGAGTATATACATTTCTTGTCCAAGGACATTGGGAGATAGGATGTGTGTGAAAGCTTGCAGAACTAATTGTTATTACTTCTTCCAAAATGGACAGGTGTTTATGTAAGCTAATGGTTTTCCATTTTATTAGAGTAAGTCTGTATTTCAGTGGATCAGAATCTTAATTTTCACTGTTACTTTGAAGATTCTGCTTTATTTTCTATTGTACTTTTTTGAGTTTTGCATCAAGCAACAAGACAGACATGATTAGGAAAGCAGTACGGCTTACCATTCAGGGTCTTAGTTTTACTTCCCAAAAATACTGACAATGACAGGCACTGCGGGTAGTACACAACACTGGAAGGCATTGTCATGTACAGAGGCTAAAAAGGTGTTCTGTCTTGTATGAATAATCACTTTTTTCACTCTGCTGCCTAGTGAATATGTTTTAAACACAGCTCTTTAAGGTAGTCCAAATGGTATCGTGCACTCCAGGAAGATGGTTCTTTGTGATCTTCGGTTTCTAAACACTGCTTACTTAGAGGAGGCCTGGCATTTGATGCCAAATGAGTAGAGTATGTCTTGATCTCAATTTTGATAAAGGCAAGCAATATAGTTCTATCTTTAATAGTATCGTTTGATGTTCTTATAGTTTGTCAATTACAGGGAAGAAATTATTTTTTGGTGTAGAAATTTAAATAAATGCATATGTTGTATAAAATTCAGTAGGTGATTCGAGTGGACTGAAATTAGACTTTTTTTTTAATAGATTTTTCCCTAGAACTAAAATGTTTGCTACCTGACTAATTTTTAAATGGTATTGAAACTACTGCTGCTGCCCCAGCAGCAACTTCACCTCCTTGGGCACCTTCTCACCATCCTCCCATAGGGTGATTAAGTAGGGATGAGAAAGAATGCTGCTAAAAACATGTGAAATGAGTTTAAGTACAAGAGACAGGCTGTACAGTCATATTTGCAAACACCTTAATATCTGCTGTTGCAGAAGGCTATGCAAAAAGGTTTGATCAAATTCTGAGTTGAAAGATAAAAAAGTTGAAGGGGGCAGCCTCTGAACACTGTGCACTGGTAAGATCTATCCTGAAGCAATTGTGATTGAATGTTATTTAAACTCGGCAGTGATGGCTAATCTTCATGTTACTGTTCTTTTTGCTGTTACATTCAGAGAACTGATCCGATGCTTGAAGTGGTACATGGACCGTTCAGCTGAGCTCGTACGCCAAGATCACATCCAGGAGGCAATGAGAGTATGTATGCATTAGAAATATTTATGTGCCTGTTTCATTTGTGAAGGGCTGAGGAAGCTGCAGATAAAATCAAGGGCTGTCTGTTGTTGGCATCTTAAATGTTTAACTAAAGTTATTTTTTTTATTGCCAAGAGTTAGGGGGAGATAGATTCATTCTTGTGCAGAAAACAATGAAACAACCACATCTTCTTAAGTCCTTTTGAAGCTTTAAGGAGATTTAAGTGGGACTTCAGTGGCACATATATGGATGTGTTACATATATTTATGTCTACACCTTGCACTTTAAGGAACAGTGATTTGAAGTGTATTAGGCAGAGGTGCCGTGGATCAGAGGTACAATTTCCATTTGTGGCTGTGACGTAGCTTCATTGTGTCACCAGTGGAAGTTCTCTCCTGTTTTAAGAAGCTGGAAATTCTACCATTTATCATTCGTTCCCTGGCAAGAGTATGATGCTGAAAGAAGGCCCAACTTTCTAACGTTGTGTGAAGTCAAGGAAATAATTTTTATACTAATTACAGAGAATTCAGAGAATAAATGAAGTATTTGTTTTACTGTAAGTAATTGTAAGAGAGAAAGAGAATGCACGTAAATACGATTCCAAATTTTGCAGGAAAGAGTCTTTGAGTGATTGTCTATCTGTACCTTCTTACTGTAGGCAGTACATCCAAACATTTTGAATCTGGGCGCTTTTAAAACTAGCATCAGTGGCAGAGATTTTTTCTTTTTTTTCACTTTTCTCACTTTTTCACATCACAAGTGAAGCATGTCACGGGTGAGAAGCACACATGCACACACACATTGCTGCTTTAAGTTCTGGGTAAAGCATGGGAAAGTTAGGGGTTGTTTCTTGTGAATGTCTTTGTGCTTGTGTTTTGGTATATGTTTCAGATTTTATCACTGTTTTCCATTCCCTTTTGTAGTATTTTTATGCTTTGCTTTGTCTCCTTTGGTCTAATTTATTCAACATTTTTGAGAAAGTAGTATTTGTTTTTTGAGAATTTGAATGGTACAGCATCCCTACGTTTAACTGGCTGTTGAGATCTCCTGATCTTGATACTTAGAAGATGGATGATTCAGCGGTTGGTTGTTAGAGTTTGGGTAGAATGGTGAGGTTGCAGTTGGACTTCATCTTCAAGGTTTTTTCCAACCTGAGCAATTCAATTATATGAGCACTATAGCAATTTGTGCTTTGTCTTTGTAGATATTTATGTATTTAGAAACTATTTGTAATATTTTTGAACCACAGTTCCATTGGGAATAGTAAAAGTGGGCCAAAGATGAATTTTCTTGAAATTCTATTGAAATTCTCAGCTTTCTCATTCAATTTGTTTCCATCCTCATTGCTCATTTTTTGGAATTGCAAAGGAACCTGTTAAAATAGTGAAACAGGAAGCAGATCCCTAACTGGAATGGCTGGGAGAAGGCTTTCTTCTCCATCAAACTATTTGCTGGTATGCAGTGCAGCAGACGCAGATGTATCATATTGTTCCTAAGTGGAATTTGTTGAACCTCATGTTAGTTCTCTTCAGCAACTGTGAAAGTGTGAGCGTTAGAATGTCTTTCAAAAGGTCAGTTATTCAGTGTGCTGTTTGAAAATAAGTAAATAAATTCTTTCAAGGATGCTAAAGCAGCCCTTTGCTTACTTGGAATCTGAAGTGTTTGCTTAGTCAGCAGGTGTCCTGTCAGTGAGTTGGGTTGCTTTGCAGATCTGACAGCCCCTTTCCTAGCAATGAGCAGCAGAGGTTCTTCAGACCTAACAGTACACCCTCTACCACTGTGGTAGCTGTTACATTTTAAGGTGAACAGTTGGCTTCACAAGTAGATCTTGGAGGCTCAAATTAAGATCTTCATTTTCTTTCTTGATTCCCCATGGACCTGATGGATATGCAGACACCTCATATGATTCTAATCCAGACCTTAGCATCAACAAGCACTGCTTTAGGCTGTTTCAGAAATGGTTTTCCTTGCTCAAGACTTTTTCTCAGAAAACTTCAGTGAAACCTGGAGTGTTCTGTGAAACATAGGGGCTTCCCTAGCTGTCTAGAACACGTGGCACCATTTTCCTTGCTATTGCCCATAACAAGCTTCATGTAAGCTGCATCCAAATACACCTGCCTGTGCCTATGTGGAGAATTCTTTAGCAGGAGTCTCCATGGTTAGCCTCACAGATGGTTTTACCTTTTCTGCTAGACATGGCAAAACTAGTGAAATGTCTCTAAGCAGTGCAGTTCCAGTTTCAGGCATTTCCTGGAGGTGTAATCACACATGGCTTTGCCTGTATCAAGACATCCACTTAAAAAGCAAGATCTCTTCTCAGGTCTCAGGAAGTCTCATCTTCATATCCATGTTCTGGAGCTGAACCATACCATTGCCACAAGGTTTTACATGAATCAGTGAAAAGAAAAAGGTCAGTGTTTGGCAGAGGCTCAAACAATATTGTACTTCCCAGCTGATTTCACGAAAACCCATATTTTCTGAGCAATGGCAGCCAGGGAGGTGAGGCATTCAGAATTATATTCTCAAACTGCCTTTTGAGACTGCAGAATTCTCCAGACTGTTTTCTTCACTCTGAATTTCAAAAAGAAATGTCAGTCTTTCTGGACTTACTCCTAATTATCTCGTTCAGAAGTAATTACCTCATTGGTGATTTGTATTTTCTACAGTCTTGCGTTTTCTAAGAACACTAGAAAATTGTTAGGGTGATTACAGTCATTCCACCCTGGACAGCCTGTTTCTAGGACTTGCTCCTTCTTTTATTGTTAATGCCTTTCCAAACTTTGCCTCAGGTCTCTTACCTGCTTTCACGAGACTCTAATTGGTACCTCCGTTTGAATCTCTGTGCTTTTTATCTTAGTAATGCAGAATAGATGCTTTCTGCACTTAAAGCAAGTACTCTGTTCGTTGCCAGGAGCAAGAAGAAATTTGCTGGCTGCTCTTGAACATGAAGTGGATTCCCATATAGACTGCTGTCTGTATTTTAGTGAATGTGTGATACTAAGTGTATTTTGGTGAATGAGCAGCATGCAAATATTCTTTAGTTTACTTGTAAGAAGGATGTTCATGTTTTCCACAAAAGCTTTCCACAAAATCCAATGAGTTTCCTTAAAGGCCAGCAAAACCAGAACATCCTTCAGCTAATAATCTAGTTAGTTACGAGATTTTAACTGGATGTTGGTGTCTTGTTTGGGGCTGTCCTTTGAGACTGCCTACGTATTTGTTTCCTTGTATTTTTAAGAAGGTGGCTTTTTGAAGATTACTTTTGTTCATTTTGGTTAGGACAGTGAAGACATTCAGAGCTAATAATCATCCTTATATATATTGTTTGTATGATAAGGTCACCTGTTCTACATAGTCCATGTTATTTCCTGGTTTGGGTGTCTTGACTTTGACTTAGGAAAGTAATCTGTGCTTTTTCTTCTAGCAAGTTTGGTTAAGGTTGATTCATCTGTGCATACTCTGAACATCAGCTATGTTTTGCCTTTGGAACTGAACAGGCTTTTCATCTCTATGGCAGATGAGTCCAGATGTGCTGTTACACTGTTTGTTGGAGTATGCTATATTAAGGTCATCCAGTGGTGTTTGAGCATAGTCCTTGAAAGCACAAGTGATTCTAATGATGTTTCTGAAGAGTATCTTAATCTACTACACCTGCTGAAATCTATCCAACACTTTACCTGCATAAATGTAGCAGCTTCCTACCGATGTTGGGTTTGTTAGAGTAGTCTTCTGCTTTTAGTTCTTCTGGAACATTGCAGCTGAGCACCAGCTAATTTATGCAAGTTGAGGTGTGCTCAGTTGCGTTCACAAGAGTGAACATGCATATGGACAGTCCCTCAGAGAAGAAAGGAAGGTTACTCATCAGTAAGTAGAAGTTGTTTGACATGTGTTATCTAAATGCGCATTTCTTTCCCCACTTCTCTTCTCTGCTGGAGCACCACTGATAAAACTAGAGGATTATTTGGTTGAGAGGAAATGAGGTTACAATTGTGTTTGTCATTTCAGTTTTTCATGGGATGGTACCATGAGATTTCAGACTGCTGATTGCAGGTAACGGATGCACACTCAGCTGCTCAAACCTCTTTTATCAGAGGAACTTCTTCTAATGTGGTACTATTCTCCTTTTGACATCTCTCTTTTTATATTATCCTGAACATATAGAAGGCTTGAATATCTTCAGTGTACTTCTACATCTTTAAGAGCCTGTGTGTGTCATATCTGGGATTTTGTAAGTAGTAAAATGCAAAGTTAGTCCAAGTGCTGATGTGTGCTAAGAGGGCTTGGTTTGTGCTTTTACCTCCTCAGCTGCCTGTGTGAATGGAGTGAACTCTTTGGTTGATTGTTTTGGATTCACTCTAAGGCAGCAGTTTAGGTGTCTCTGCCAAGGCTGAAAGCCTGCCACTGCACTTCCAACAAAGAATTACAGATTTGCAGACAGAAATCCTCTGATTTGTTGCAAAACATAGTCTTCGCATTAAAGTTATGAGCTTTCACATTGGAATTCTGGTTGTCTATACCAACCCATAAAGCCTGCCAGATCTTGACTTGCGTTATTTTGTGTTAGCAGCAGAATTGCTAACCTTGAAGAGCAGACTGCTGTGAACCAACTCAGCTTTGTCTGGAAACAGACAGAAGTGTAAAGTGTTATTTCCTGCTGGAGTTCTTTGGAGTAAGGAAGCTACACTGGGAGGTGCTCTAGTGCAGAGGTGTAAGAGTCCTGCCAGGTTACTGAAAAAATGGCTGTAATTATCACCAGGATTTTGAAATCTGTGATGGATTTATGAAAGCTTTCTCGTTCTCTGTCCTTAAAGCTGTAGCATTCTAAAGCTTAGAACATGACATTGCATATAGTACACAAATATGTATTATAGTGTGATGGCTCAAGCATCTGGTGGATACAAAAATATAAATGGGAGTAAAATTTGTCATTGGAATTTCTTTAAGCTCCCAAACAATGAGGCAGGCAAGAATAATTTTGAGTCAGTGTAATTGCTCTAATGTTTCTTTATAAACTATGATTAGTGAATTGCAGGAAGGTTGTTTCCTGTGCCGAGTTCTGAGGATACATCAGACTATACATCTGTCTTCCTTAGTGCTCTCTTAATGGTCTGTCACGTTAAGCACTGAGGGAAGAGTGAAGTCTAAATGTCGCTGATATTTAGTGTGTTTCAGCGTGGATAGCTGTGTGTGCCAAATGATGGAAAAGGCATTCTGTCTGTGTGGAGTATGACATTGTCGTCTTAGCATCTCTGAGGGTCTTTGATAGATTGGCAAGCTTGTTGCAGGCTGTGTGGAACAACGTGTCATCCTTCCTTGACACTGGTGCCAAATAAATGGAGTTCTGAACACCATTTACAAAGTTTTACCTAAAGGTGTTTATGTTGCAAATCCAGACTTTCTAGACATGTCCTTGATCAAATTTCCACTTTCCTACAAAAATATCCTCTTTGTCAGTCCTCCAGACTGCAGCATCTATCACACATCATGAGGGCTGCTCTGAAAGTAATGCCTCCTATTTTATGATGTTGGCCCACATCATCAGAGGTGAATGTTGGTGGGTTGGCAGCAGAGGTTGAACCTTCCTGCCAGTACTCTATTATATTTTGTTGCTGTACAAGTGATGGTGGTAGAGGGGCACTCTGACAAAGTGACATCTGACATGGAAGTGTGTATGAAGTAAAGATGCATCATTGAATTCATCCATGCAGAAAAATATGGCAACTATTGACACTTTTCAATGCTTTCTGAACATCTGTGGAGACCATACAGTAGGGATGTGAGCACAGTTGTGTTTCAGCACTGACAGTGCTCACCTGCACCTGTGCAGACTTTTATGAGCTCTTGTTCATCGCTAGCAAAAATGCACAGCTAATGGTGGTGGCTGTGTTGAAAAATAGCATTTTGTAGCTGAAAGTTTGCTCTGTCAAATAGTGTTACTGTGTTCTTTGTACCTGTTATTGTTTCCATGGAGATAAATGGAAAGCGTTACTTTTGGAGTAACCTATGCATATTGGTGTTAAATGCCACCTTCTGTGCAGGTTGTTCCTCTGCTGGGTGCTCTCCAAGTTTCATATGAGACAATAAAAGGAAGGCTTATGAAGTTCCCCCAGCTGGAAGTAAAAAGATGTGTACATAGTGTTGCACAGCTGCTGCTGCCTACTGCTGTGGGCTTCACGTTCTGTTTGTGTCTGCACTCACTTCTATGTGTACCTGTGGCTGTCAGAAATAAAGGCAGACCTGTTGTGTTCCTATTGAAAAGCAGACAGTTCTTTTTCCAGGTAACCCTTCTTCTGTTCCACTGACAGGCCACTTATCTTAACCCAGATCAGCAAACTGAAGTGATTAAAGGTAAAATGTGAATGAAGACAGGAAAACAGCTTCTTCAGATACAGCCCCTATGCCAAGTCATTAGCAAACTGTAAATCTCTTGTCTTTGCCAAAATCTTCCTCAGCCTGTGTAAACTGACTTTACCTACTTGAATTAAATGCATGCTTATTTTTTGTTGTTATTAGTGAGGCATATTGGCCACAGAGATTATTGAGAATGAATTCTTGTGTATGAGAAGTGCTTCCTTAACTGAATTATAAAACTTAACAGAACCTGTTTTTCTTTTTCTTTTCTAAAGCTGAAGAATTATGCGTCTAGAATCTTTCCTGGTTCTCTTTAAAGCTCCTGTATTTTTCTTTCTCTCTATCTTAATTTCCTCCCTTTCCTGCTCCTTAAGGCCTTGGAATATCTTTTCAAGTTCATTGTCCAATCTCGGATCCTTTACTCCAGAGCTACATGCGGAATGGAGGAGGAGCAGTTCCGCTCCAGCATCCAAGAGCTTTTCCAGTCCATCAGATTTGTGCTCAGCTTGGACAGCAGGAGTTCTGAGACTCTCATCTTCACACAGGTTTGCTGTTTCCTACACTTGAACTGACGAGCCAAAGGGCAGCTATTTTCTGCAATGATAGCATATGGGCGTGTGACAGCTGGGAGCAGATTAGTATAGTGTTCTTTCTCTAAGAATGTGATGATACTGAAAAACAGCATAGTCAGTCTTACTACAGAGTGTCTTTGCAGTTACAGGTGCTGAACTGTGGAGTCTCAAGAGGAAAGCAGCTCATCACACGATGATTCAGTTTCTCCTCTCACAAAAGTAAAATATATTGCCAAGTATCCCATGTGTCTTAAGTTGTCCTAAAGGAATTCTAAATCCTTGGTTACAGGAGCTCACATCGAATATAGAGGTCACAGCAACAGTGCTGTGGAAGAGTTCATTTGATGTACTCTCAATCTGGAAAATTCAATTCCAGCATAATCTAACATCAGAATGGCATGCACCCTGACTGCAAGCAGTCTGTGATACCTATACTCTCAATTAATACGTTATTTCAAATGTGGCCCAGATGAATTCACTGTCACTTCTGTGGGCTACAGATTCCACCCAAAGTGAGTGAGGATTTTGCAATGTCTCATTTCATATTTGAAAGATCACTGAGATACTTCTGTGTTTAAAAGATCTGAACAATAATGTTAAATATTATGTGTATGCCTCCGCTCAGGAAATCTCAGAAATGGATCACCTAGAACATCCTGGTAATATGAAGGTGATTTGTAATTACTAATTTACGATTTGAAGATGTTTTGAACACCTACTGAAACCTGTCAAAGCAGCAGTTGCTGTGAATGTCACAACAAAACAGAGTGACTCCAGTGGTTGGGGAAGCTGCCAGCAGCATGATCTCTTTCTTAAGAAGGTGTTCTGCGAGGTTTCGAGAAGAGTTGCTCTACTCTTTTATTTAATCACTCATTATATATGAGATATATATATGTATAATGAGATGACACAAGAGCATGAGAAATCAGTGCACAGATTCTTTCAGACGGTGAGTGGGAGCAGCATCTGGTGAACACAGGATGTTTAGGTTGGGTTGGTTTGGTTTCTAGTTGTAGTGATCACAGGTACAGAGAGAAACTGGCTTTGAGGATGGGGTTATTTTCCCTTTCTCTTTGCTTTTTTTTTTTTCTTCTTACTGTCTTTGCTCTAGACTTTTGTAATTTGGAAAGTTTGTCCTTGTTTAATCTTTGAAAAGTTTACTGTTTTGTTTTCCCCGTGCCATTGTGTTGCCCCTTGATCCCAATTGCCCCACAGGCCTCTCAGCCTGGAAGTCAGGTGAGCGGAGCTGGGACATGTGCTCCACAAAAAAGTGGTGGCACTTCAAGGCCGACATTTAATTTTGTAAGTAATGATCCTCAAAACTGCTCAAGTATTTCATCATGGATGTTCCCAGTGAATCCCTTTTCCTATCCCAATCCGTCTTTTCCTACATATAGACTGAAATTTAATGTTTAAGTGGCTGGTGCTTTAAAACTAGGAAATGTGGAATATTTCAGTAATTAATGGAATAGCTGATAGCATTAGCACTTCAGAAATACACTGTTGAGGGCATGTGCAAGACTGCATAAATCACACTGCTCAGGCAAACCGAGGAGACAGTGTATGAGCTTCAGAAACTTGGACAACTGTTACACAGAAATGTTTGAGGCCTTATTAAATATAATTCCCTCCACATTTCTTTTATCCAGGATATTAGATCTCAGTGCAGCCTTTTTCAGCAGTGAGATAAAAACTGCTCCTTACTTCCAGGCAAGTAGTTTGACAAGAACAGTGCTCCAGAGCACTTTAGGTTCTTACACTGAAAAGGGCCCTTCCAGGAACTGCTGCAACAATACAGCTGTTCTCGAGACAGATCCAAAGCTTCCTGAAGAGATCCCATGCATATCCTTAGATTGCTACTAGAAATTCTTGATGGCTACAGCAATCCTTCTGCATCATAGTAATAGAAATAAGTTAAGGAAAACTCCTGTAACAATTTGTTGGGCCAGTATTCTAATTCTGTTTGCATTATCCTAAAGATAAAGATGATTAATGGATTTGCAGCTGTTACAGCCTTCCAAAGTACCATGAACTATTTAAATCATTCATATTTGTTTATTTTGTTAGTACATTGTATCTATGTAGCAACAAATAGATGACAACACCCAGGAGGCTGTATGGGTTTTTGTGTAATCTGAATTGAGTGTAACAAAACAAGATGTTGAGAGAGATAACAAGCACGAAGAAGAAAGAGGTAAACTTATATTCAGAATAATTTAATGGGCTCTTCAGTGTTTGCCAAGTTAGTTATAAACATAACTTACACTTTGCTCAGAGACTATCAAATGCATAGAGCTGTTTGAAGGAGAAGATGCTTAGAAGAAAGACATGGTAAAAAGGAAGCTGTCTGTTATATGAAATTAGAAGGGTGTTCCGAGTGTTAGAGCCTCCATGAAAGATGTACAGAAGTGTTTGTGGAATAAGGGTACATAGAAATCTGAGGAGAAGATCTTGCAGAATAGAAGAAAATAATGATAGGTGGTACTATCATTAGGTAGGGCAAAGCTGAACAAAACCTAGTAGATTCAAACACTGCAGGATGGCAGTGTGGGTTGTGTGGAGAGCTTCAAAGAAATGAGGGGAAAACAGAAGTAAGCGTGCACAGTGGTGGCAGCTGGAAATAAGACAGCAAAATCAGAATCTTCCCTTTGGGGAGAGTTCTTCACTGGAGAAGGTTAGTCAAGCATTGGAGTGGGCTGCACAGGGTGAAGTCTCCAGCACTGGAGGTGTTCAGGAGATGTGTGGATGTGGCACATGTCCCTCAGTGGCAGGTCTGGTGATGGGATCCAGTAAGGCTGGTGGTTGGACTTGGTGATCTTGAAGGTCTTTTCCAACCAAGATTCTGTGAAAACCAGCCTTTGCAGCAACCATCGTGGATCTGTATTAGTTTTAAGGAAGAGGATGGGATGTCTGTTCGGTGGGACGTAAAGAAAGGAAGACAAGAAGTGTAAAATTTTGGAGTTATGGCACCATGTATGTGGAATTTGAGAATAGGAGATTAATTGAAGAGATGTGAAACAACAGATGAAGAATTTGTGGTGTGTTGTGATACTGTTTCTGCACTCCTATTGATTGGATAACTCCAGCTTACTGGAAGTATCCATTGTTGCAAGAATCACATGCACTCTCACTTGCATGATGTGTTGCCTCTTTCACATGAAGTTGCACCCTATCCCTGTTACAGAGATACTGTAATATCATGTGACAGTTATTGTCATGGTTAAGAGTCTGTCAACATGTTCTTCAGAATATTTTCTGAAGAGCTTTAACTGTCTTTTGTAGTTCCTCAGTACAAAAAGTCAATATGGAGTTAATGTAATCAGAAGCGCTTTTTATATTTATTCAAAAATGTAAACATGCAAAAAATTGACTATTTTCTGTTCTTCTGTACCTTTTTCTGTTTTATAAGCTATAATCTAAAATATGGCCTTTTGAAGTTCTACAGGAGCTGTGCTCAACTTACCATACGACTTAGTATTGCAACAGAGCTTGATTTTTGTATACTACTAGTAATTTGGTCACTATGAACTTGAGGTACTGCAAAACATTAACTCCAGCCGTAGTTCACTACGTAGTGGCTTTTTCCAGACCCTTAATTCAGTTTTACTGTTGTTTCTATTTCACTGCCTTTAGCTGCGCTTAAAGAGTTCAGAATTTTGAACTTTCTCATTTGCTTTTTACAGGCTGCTTTGCTGAACTCCTTCCCCGCTATCTTTGATGAGCTGTTGCAGATGTTCACTGTGCAGGAAGTAGCAGAGTTTGTGAGGGGCACTCTGGGCAGCATGCCCAGTACTGTACACATCGGGCAGTCAATGGACGTCGTTAAGCTGCAGTCCATTGCGCGTACTGTCGACAGCCGCCTGTTCTCCTTCTCAGGTAAGATGGTGGGATGAAGCCAAGGTTGGCTCTGAACTAAGAGTAAGAAGATATTCCATAGAGTTTGCTGTCACCTCGTTGCAGACAGTTCATTACTGAGAGCTAATAAACTTGGTAATTATTTATCTATCCAGCATCGTTGTTACATATCTTCACTGGGTATCGCTTTGTTTTTCTGTGGTAGGAAATATGAATAAATACATTGTAGATAAGTTGTATTGCTGAAGGCTGATAAAATTCTGTACCTTAACAAGTCTCATTTCGTACATTATGTTACTCTTTGATTGTTTGCCACTTTAGTTCCAAAGACATAGATAGGAAGACTAATCTACTTTCTAGCAAGCTAATTGGATGAGAAAGAAACAGGAAGACAGTTTCAAGAGAAGCCCACCATTCTTTTAAAGTGTATTTAATCCTTACATGGTAACTATCATACTTGTATAAATCAACATATTAGTAATTCTTTGTGACGGATTAAATGAATAAGGGCTGAAGATTGAGTTTATTTCAAATGAATGAAATTATGAATATAACAGAAGAAGATTAGAAGCACTGTAGGGCTTATCTACCCTAATCAGAAGTTAGTGCACTCAATACTCATCTCCCGAGTCAGCAATCTCCCATGTCCTTTCTATCTCTCAAAATATGATTCTATTTGCCAGACATCTTTTACCTACCAACCCTGCCTACTCTTCCAGTCTTGCAATTAAAGGAAGATCCACTCTCTTTTTCTTGGCTCCTTTACCTTCCATTTCTCCTATGAGTTCCTTGCCATCCTCCCACTTTTTTCCCTATTTTTTTCTGTTTTGGCTTCTGTCTTCAGCAGCTGCTGCCTGCTCTCCCTCTTTAAATACAGTTTAGGTTGGTAAGTCAGGTAAATGAGAAAAATCAGCCAGTTTCCAAGAGTCATATATTTGAGAAGCTCTCTTAGCTGTGACAACAGAGCTGAAAAGCACCTTGAAGTGAGGAAGGAGTCTGAACAGTAGGAAATCAAGGTCTGCATGTATCAATTCACAAATACTGCTGTCAATCTGGAACTGTATTGAAGAGTTTGTGTATTCCGCATTTACAAACTTTTGAAATGAGATGTTCTATTAGTTCTTTATATACAGTTCTTGCGTGTTCTGCTGCCATCTATATGATAGAATTTGCACCAATTAATTAAATACGCTATTTGTCAGCAAACAAGTTTGGATACCTAAAGGCTACTGAATGAAGATAATTGAAATTCAGGTCTCTTTTTTAAGAATTGTGATCCTATTTTCCTTCTTTCAGAGTCCCGACGCATCCTGCTTCCTGTGGTTCTTCACCACATTCACCTTCACCTACGACAGCAGAAGGAACTTCTCATCTGCTCTGGGATTCTGAGTAGTATCTTCTCCATAATCAAGACCAGCTCTTTGGTAATCTGCTCCTTGACTTTCTAATTCCATCACTCACTTGTTAAATTGAAGGCTGAGCGAGTTGTGTCAGTTAATAGAGGTTTTGCAAAGATCCTTCTGAAAATGAATTTCTGCTGATTTTCTGTCAGCAAAAGAACATTTGTAGTCTGGGTCTGCTTTTGTATGTGTGACTCAAAGCATTCTGGTTACACAGTGTTCTTGCTGTTAGGAGAGGAAAAAAAGGTATATTCATTTACCTGATTTGACACAGTTTAATTTTCCTTATCCAAGCCCAGAACTTAGATGTCAGTGAAGTTCAAAAGCCCTGTGCAGCTCTAGGATTTGTAGTTCTGCAAGGGACAGTAACTAGCAATTTATGATTCATGTTAAGTGAATACTCTAAAATTATCCAATCAATGAAATCACACGTACTTCTAGAAATTGCTGCTGAGTTTAAACACCCTGCTTCACTGATCATATAATAATCTGATCCAAACGATAACTTGATCATTTAAAGCAGTGCTCACAAACAGAGGGTGGTGAAGCTTCCACACCTGAGTCTAAAGGAGGAAGCTCATAGTGCTAAATATAAATTGTACCAGTGAGTACCTCTAATAACAAGTTACTGCTTTGTGTGAAAGGAATGAAATGAAAGGTATCAGGGTAATAAGCTAAATTAATGCTGCCATAGAATAAAGAGCACTGAACATAATCTGACCCCATTGTGTTCTAGAGTGTGTGCAGAACTTGGATTATAAATTTACATGTACATCCGTGACCCTGAATGTTTCTGTGAGAGGGAGGAGGTCACGCGCTGGCATCACAACAGCATCTGGTACCCATATTGAATTTGTTTGTACTTCTTTGAACCTCCACTGTGGAGGTCTCTACCAAAGCGGATGTTTGTGGTATGGCTGGCTCAAAGAATTCTCTGCCAATCTGTCTTCTCTGGTCTCTAACTGTCTGTTTGCTTACCACTTACTGTAGGAGGGAGATGTCGTGGAGGAGGTTGAGATGATGGTGGAAAGCCTCCTGGATGTGCTTTTACAAACTCTGCTAACAATCATGAGTAAATCGCAGTCTCAGGAGGCGGTAAGAGGGCAGCGTTGCCCGCAGTGCACAGCAGAAATCACTGTTAGTAACTAACAATCAGTTTCTATTTCCTGCTTCTCTGTAACCTTTGGTTCAGTCCCTCACCACCGCAAGCACCTCATCATCATTAATCCTGCATGAATGCCCAGGGCTTTGTCTCTTTCTCTTAGTAAGTCACTGATCCTTTCCTTCCTCTGTGCTAGCAATGTCTGCGAGGAGCAGTTGTGCTAAAGGAGGCTTTTGTGGATTTCCAGGTTATTTTCTTGTTTATCTTTTCAGCTGTGATTGAGAATTAGTGATTAGAAGGTGGGGTATATGCTAACTGGGTTGCTGCCCAGGGCTTCCTCCCTGAATGGGCTTTGGACTCTGATTCCTAAGGCTGACAATACCATACTTTCAAGTGGGCAAGTCCCTGAGCACCACCCTGGAGATCTTTCATTCATGTTCACTGATTATTTCTTAAAAATGAAACACAGCATATTTTGGAAAAAGAAATAGCAGAGGCTAAGACAAGCTGTTGGGAGAAGTGGGAAAAGCCAGCAGTTTGTATGGTGTGCCAGCGTACACCTAGGGAAAGAATCCTTTTCCTTGACATGTAGTGAATCAGGAGAAAAAGAACAGAAATGCTAATAAGCTTTTCTGGATTCATTGCCCTTGCTACTTTAGCCTATTCTAGTCTATTTGGTAGAGTCTCTAGCACAGCTTTTGCACAATGTGTGATGTTAAGCTGTTTTACAGAGCATCTCTTTTCTAGTCTTGCTTTTTTGTCAAATGGCTGAAACCTCAGAGGCAGGCAAACACCAAGGCACATTTTTCACACGAATGAAAAGATGGTATCTTTCTATTTTATAGAAAGAGTGAAGAAAAACCCTGATAAAGAACAAGACATTTAATAGATTTTACAGCATCTAGTGACATCTCGTCTTCCTTTGACTTCTGCTTTTTAACTTAATGTTATTTATCACACGATCCATACATGCAAGAGCATGCCTTTTTTCCTAATGAAGTTCAGCCCTGTAAAAGTTCACCCCATGTCAAAGCTTCCAGGTAGATGCTTGAGCATCTATTGATTTAAGAATCAATAAAAATGAAGAGGAAAGTCCCAAGTTCAGAATACCCCCATATTTGTTCCTGAGTTTGTATTTGACAGCATGGCAGTAGGTGTAGTCTTTTTTAGATACCGATTAGAAAGCAGCTTGCATGTTTCACAGGGAGTGACAGTTAGAAGACATGCTCCTTACTTTCCTGTCACTGCCATACTCAGTATCTTGGACAAATTGCTTAACTTCTCTGTGCTTTACTTTCAGATATGTAAAATGGGGGAGCCCATCTTTGGAAAACTCTTTGGGATACTGTGGTAACTTGTCAGGGTGCATCTGCTTTGCAGGCCAGAAATGTAATTGTAACTCACATAGGCTTACCCAAGCTACATTCAGAGTAGCTTAATGGAATACTGTTAATATTGTAGCTATTGACAGCAGGTAGCTTGGTGAGCACTAATAGCTAAATATTTACAGGATTCCAACACCTTTGGTAGCCTGTACTAATCCTGTGCTGTTATCACTATGCTGTTTTCAGTATCTCAGCAAATTTGTTTCAATTCTTCCTGGTACACCCGCATGAGCAGCAGTCACACCTTTGTTAGGCACGTAACTGAGAAGGTGACTGTCAAGAACTGCATGCTTGGAGAGAAATTCTTTAATGTCTGCATTAATGATTTGAAATGATTTTTGTTTAGACTACAATGCTTGTTAAAATCCATGTAAAAACAGCACTTGTGGTAGGTCTCTAAGAGATGTATTCCTGTATATAAAGAGTCATTCAAGAACTGTTAACATGCAGTATTTTTAATCTCTGTGCATGATAGCTTTCCCTCTCATAGGCATGGGGCCATTTCAGACCCCTCCCTTTATACCTTACCCCAAGTTGAGTTTTATATGCACAAAATTTCAGATTGTCTGATCTAAAGAATTTCTCATTTGGTCAACAGGGAGAATACGTGTCCTGTCTTTTATCTTTGCTTCGTCAGATGTCAGACACTCATTTCCAGCACTTGCTGGACAACTTCCAAAGCAAGGATGAACTAAAGGTACAGCAGAACATGATGTTGAATGAGAAAGCAGAGGGAATCCCTCAGGCTTTACTTGCTCTGCTAATCATTCCCATTCTCTGGCACTCTAGTTTTGTAAACCTTCCTTTCCCTCTTATGATAATAGATGTTGTGTCAAAAGAATGTTTCAAACCTGTTTTGGGATACGTATGTTTCTAGCAAATGGAGCCTTTCTTGGAAAAGCAGCAATCTTGCTACTTGATTTTATGCACCCTTGCCAAATTTGTGAGCTTTAACTTCAGTTATGGCTTTTGATGACCTTGTGGTTGATGAGGGGCTCAGATGGCTTTTTTGTCACTGTCATTTTGAAATGCACCTCTCAAAACAACAGAGACGAACTTTTTGTTTCATCTTCTGTAGGATAGAGGTATATCTCAGACAAAGGTCTATTTAAGAGGCTGAATAACTTTATTTATAAAGATAAGATTGCTTTTGATTAACATGGCACTTAATAAAATAGAGACAATGAGAAGAGTGTGGTGTGGCAGGAACTTATGTTGCCTTAACAAGTGTGAAGGAAAAGCAGTAAGAAGTCCTTCCTGAATAGTCTTTCTAGATCATATGCATATAGAGAGGCTGAATAAATCAGGAAGATAAATTTGTGATAGAGGAATTCTTGCCTCCTGGTAGCAGGGTTCAGTGTATCTCAGGTTGATAGTTACTTGAGATTATTACCTTTCAGATAGTTGAATTGCTCATAGGAAAATGATTTGATAAATTAAATCATATTAATTCTCGTTAAATATTTTTTAGAACTATCTACACTATCATTCTTACGTTAAACCAACACAAGGATTTGTGGTTGAATTAAAATCTGTCCTTATTGCCATAAGAATGAATGCTAAGGAAATGCTCAGCAGCATGACAGGCTGAAGGTATTATCCCCAACTTTTTTTTTCCAGCTATCAGTTCATCTGATATGCGTTATCTCCTTAGCTTTTCCTTCAGACATTGCCCTTTTACCACTGCCGTGCCTATCAAAATAGGTTACTTTACTTTCAGAGCAGCCTTCGCACATTATACTCATAAGGAAGATTTTTGTCTCACTGTGAAAGTTGAGATTTAAACAGCTACAACCCAATCAGTACATATTAGATGCAAATAAAGCAATATTTGTATTTGTTGTTACCATGTTTTCACGTGGATGGCCTAGTGCTCAAATGGAGCATGCTGAGCTGAAGAAGTGCTTGTAATCAAGAACACAGATCTTCAGCTGCTAATGACTTTTTTTTTCACCTATGCAATAGGAGTTCCTCCTGAAGATTTTCTGTGTATTTCGGAACCTCATGAAAATGAGTGTCTTTCCTCGAGACTGGATGGTGATGAGGTTGCTCACCAGCAAGTAAGTAGAGAAGCAGGTATAAACTTCTGTCATTCTATATCAGATTTTTTTTCTCCTGTGCACTCAAAACCTGTGATGCAGTGTGTTTCATCAGATTGAAATGTTGTGATCAAGACAGAATCCTGCAGTACTTATCCCAGTTCTTTCCTTCTTTTGACACATTGGACCAAACTGGGACTTACAGTTGTCGTTCTGTATGTTATAATCTACCAATATGCAAAGGTGTGAAAAATTAGAGGTTTAAACCCAAAGCTTGAAGTAGCTGCACTGGGGATAAGAGTGGCACAAACAGCCATCTTTACCCTCCCTAGAAGCACTCAGGTATGTTAGAAGAAGAGGATTAGACCTCAGCAATGATACCAGGCACATTGCACACATTTATTTTTCAGTTGAGTTGTCAGTGGCCTGCTTAATTTTTTTTATCATTCTTTCTTCAGTTAAGTGCCACACTCTGAAATGATAGCAGTGTGATGAACACTCAGTGGCTGAATTATTTGCTAGTTTCTTGTTGCGTTAGACAAACTAGCTGTGGAGTTACTACCAGATGAGGACTGGAGGGGTTCCCATAACAGGAATGTTGTCCTGGTCAGCGTGTCGTGCTCTGTGAGTTCACAACACAATGAAAAGTGAAAGAAGTGGATCTCAGTATTTCAGGATGTCAGATTAAATGGTGTTTGTAAGAAAAGATATTTTGTTCTAAATTCTTAGACTAAGATAAATACATTTAGCAGTGCTTTTGGAAGTATCGTGTGCATGTGGATCAGAGATTTGCTATTGTTTTTCAATGTTGCTGAAGCTGTATCTACATGCTATGAATTCCTGAATTTATTGCACGGCTTGATTGCTTTGCATTGAAGTGTCCTTATAGCTACCTTGTGTCCTAAGTAGTGGTGGGAGGGACGGAGGCAGTGTTGAGAAATGCAGAAATACTCAAAAAACGTGCTATTGTGTGACTGATAAAGTACTATTGTATAGCCAAGAATTAAAACAGCTCAAGTATCTTAAGTTGCTGTTTTTTGGGGAAAAAAACCCAACCATTTCTGTTAAAACAGAGGAAAAACAGATGTATTCTTCTGTTTCACTTCAGGTGATCTGGCCCAGCCATACAATAGATACCATTTTAAAAGCTCATGTGTAAATTCCCTAATAATGAATAAGGTTCTTTACCTTTTGTCACATACTACAGGCTGCTGATGAAAACATAGAAAGATAAGTGACTTCTAGCAAGTTTTACTTACAGAAATTCCATGAAGAATGCGTGCCCGTGTGTGTAGTGGAATCAACGCATGCAGTACTGTAGTGTGATTTATACTTCAGATTCAAATGTTTCCTCTTTTCTTGTCTTTTTTTGACTGCAGTATCATAGTTACAACAGTTCAGTACCTGTCTTCTGCACTGCACAAGAATTTCACAGAAACGGACTTTGACTTTAAAGTAAGGATTGATACTGAGAATATGTTGTGGCGTCTTCTTAAAGTAGTAGCACCAAAAGAACAAGAGCTGCTCTCTGTATTTACTGGTTAAATTTGCAGCACTTATTTGATTTTGAGGAAGATGATCTGATCAATAAAAGAACTTCTCTGGATTGAGGGAAGTACAGAACAGAACGCTCAGATCAGGCAAATGAAGCCCTTTGCAAAGGAAACAAATATTTACTTAAGCAGAGGAGCTAATGAAGCTGTTGTCTCACAAATCTGAGGATCGTAAAATATGGACTCAGGCAGTGCTTTCCCTGAAGTTGGGCTCTGCATAATCTTCTCCCAGGGGTCTCCCTCTTTGGCTGTAGACTTAAACCTTGGAGGAATGCACTATCTTAAGAGTGTTTTCCATATTGCCTGATAACAGATTCGCAGATTGCAGATAACAAGTTTGGTGTTACTAAGGAAGAGCAGCCAGATGTGTGCCTTCGCACATATGCACGCAGCATGATTGCATAGCCTCATTTCTTTGGGAAAAGACACTAAATTATAGGACTGTCATTCACATTATTATGTAATCTCCGTTTCTTGATGGATAAAATCTGTTTAGCCTTGAGACAGTGAACAATATAAACTTTGTTGTAGTAATCAGGTTTAGTCATTTTTGAACATTAGTGCTAAGAGTTAGCCTCTTTATTTCCTATCCATTGGAATCCTAATGTGTTTTGTATCCCAGAGTTTAAGCTATATATTGAATTACATTACATCTTGCTTTGAAAAAGGATCCTATCTACAAAGGAACATTGTATGGCAACAGTGATAAGAGAAGGGAGAACAGTGTGGAACTGAAGGAGTGAAGATATGAGTAGAAGTTAGGAGGAAAATCTTTAGGCAGGGGGCAGTGGGGCACTGGAACAGATTGCCCAGAGAAGCTTTGGGTGCCCATCCCTAGAGATTTTCAAGGCCAGGCTGGACGGAGCTTTCAGTAACCTGATGCAGTGGGTAGATGATCTCCAGGGTCCCTACCAGCCTAAATTATCCTATGGTGTCTTCCTATGCTTGTTAAAACTTATTCCTTTGGAGTGTAAGACTATAAAACTTCCTTCCTGTTTTACAGGTGTGGAACTCTTATTTCAGCCTGGCGGTGCTGTTCATAAACCAGCCAAGCCTCCAACTAGAAAATGCCACACCAGCTAAGAGAAAGAAGATAATAGATAAGTAAGAAAATCTCTTGTTGGCTTCCCAGTCTTTTCTGCCACCTGAAAAACTGAGACTTCTTTTTCTACCACAGGTCTCTTTGATTTATTCTGGAAGGTGGGATGTGGAAGTGCTCCACATAAGTAGATCTCCTAATATAGTGATCTGTGATAAGTCAGATGTTTGGTATTTTTATGTTGGCTTGAATGTGAATTTAATGTGAATGAAGTTGATGCCTCCAAGCGTCAGTATGTTGGAGGCGGTTGAATAATGCCCTATATTGTGCTGTAAGTTTCAGTTAGCCACGAAGTTGGACTTAATGATCTTTGTAAGTTCTTTCCAGTTAAACTACTGTAGTCTTTTTGAACATCACTGACTTTTGAGGTTTATTTTTTTCCTGTTAGGCAGTTATCTATCTCTTCTCTTTCAGATATGGTGATATGAGAGTGATGATGGCATATGAGCTCTTCAGCATGTGGCAGAACTTAGGTATGACTCTTCATTCTCTGTCCTAATAATTGAAGCTGAGGTAACTCCTGATTTCTGTTAGAATTTTGATGGTATTTTTAGCATCACACAATACTTTCTCTTAGCATCTGTAAAACCAGGAAGCATTTCTCTTCTCCTACCAAAAATCCTTTTCTGCACCATCTTCGTTTGAAGTAATGCATTCCTACCAATTTAAATACTTTCTACTCAAATACAACTGTGGAAGGCATTAGTTTGACATAATCAATGACAGTTTTTATGTATCTGCAAATATAAAATCAGCTTTCTCTGATCCCTTGAACTGTGCTGCAGTTTGCATCTTCATATGGAGATATTCTTTGACATCTCTCTCCCATTCTAGACTGTAGAGCAGATACTTACATTTTCATAGGTGTAATTAATTTTATACATGTGGAGATGATTCAAAGCTGAAGTTGTGGTAGGAAATTATAGCTGCAGATGTTTGGTTCTAATGCCTGGAAATGACATACAATAAAGGTTCTTTCTTTGAGTCTTCTTCTGCTATGTAATGCGCATATAGTAACGAATTATACATTACTGCTTAAAAATAACCCGAAACTGAAAATCTTTATCCACAATAATGCGAGATTGTGATAAAATTTCCACTTCTACAGTTCACCTTTTCGTTATGTATTTTGATAAAGAAGTTAAGTATGTTACACAGAAAATATGTGTCTCCACAAGTTTCAAAAGCTAAATGGAGAATTTCATCTAGGACTTCTGCTTTGAGAAGCGCCCTGTGGCAGTCTTGGGTTTAACTAGTTCAGGATTTTATTAATACAACATCCAAATAAAATCTTGACTAGGTGAGAGCAAGTCTGGCTAGGCCAGCATCCTGTCTGTATTGGGATGAAAATGAATACCTGTGGGAACATTGGAGGACAAAGGAAGCATATGGGATTGTACAGGACATGAGAAAAAGGTGCTGATAGAGGTGACAGATTATGCAAATGTTCATTATGCAATTATGTTCAAATAGCCAAATATTATCATTTTATATGTAGACCACAAATGTGATAATGAGCTGGATGGAAGCTACCTGTAAAATGCCATAAATAAAACCAGCAAAAAGCTTTTTGAGGAAATACAAAAGAATCTTCAGTAAGGGAGGGGGGTTTATATTAGGCTGCAAGTTTTCCGTACTTGTCCTTGGTTCTGGAGCAGCTGTTCTGGCCCCACTTTCTGCAGAACAACACAACAACATGATGATCAGGAAGTTAACTGTAGAAGTGAAAAGAAAAAAAACTTAATGTGAAAAACTGAATAAACCTGACCATCTCTCACAGCTAAGGTGATGCTGCCAGTTTTGAAACATCTGTGTAGGAATAAGGAGACTTTCCAATGTATTGGAGATTGAGAAACTGAAAAATTGTGGGGGAAAAATTCAAGTAGGAAGAAAGAACCCTCTTACAGATGTAGAGATATTTATCACTGAGAGTTCAAAATATGGCTGTTTGATTTGTTCTCTGCAACTGCACAGTAAGCAGACACAGAGTACATTGTGAGCAAAATGCCTTTTGTTCCTGTTGCTGAGAAGCAGTGCTGTTTCTATCTTAGTCAAGGTCAGTTACAGAACTGTGACTCCTATAGAACCAAAATGAAGAGCTCTGTGGTTCTTTGAAATCTAAATATGTTCTGTGAAATAGAGTAGTTCTCACCAACCTTTTCAAAATATTTTCCTTCATAAGTTGGAAATGCGTGTGGTCTCTTTTCCCCTGGCTAGTATGTTTTAATTTAGTTGGTTTTAACAATTTGAATTCCCCTGCAAGTGAGATGCACCGACAGTTTTTGCTGAAGGCTTTTGTAGTGAAATTAAAAACCCTGGGGGCTCTGCAGGGAACGGCATAAAGCAAATGCTGTTGTTTCAGTCCATTTAGGAAAAGTATTTAGCATTCTTCAAAGCTTCTTCAAAGCTTTAGCGTTCTTCATGTTTGTGCCTATGATTTTACATTGGGCCCGATATTGTCACTCTTGCAGAGGCACATCTTCATCTCAGCAACAGAGAACAAATGCTTTTATTTAATCACCATTGCTTTGTGTTGTACAGGGGAGCATAAGATTCACTTTATTCCGGGAATGATTGGCCCCTTTCTTGGTGTGACACTTGTCCCACAGCCAGAAGTCCGGAATATCATGATTCCCATCTTCCATGACATGATGGACTGGGAGCAGAGAAAGAATGGCAACTTCAAACAGGTGAGGCAGCTTCCCAGTCATGGGTAGCCATGGACAGTTCATGTGCTTGCTCTGTCTTTCTTGCAGCTCCCAGCTAGAAGCAAGGAATGCATATCTGTTGATCCACATCCAATAGGGACGAAGATGTTGTCATGCAGATACATGAAAATAATAAATTTGAAGCATGGCTCACAAAACTATTACAGGCCACTCACGATTATTTAAGCAGTGCATTTAACAGCAAGCTGCGTTTCCTCTGAATGTAGAGAAGAGCAATGAGAAAGGGATAAGAATTTCTGAAGTGCTGGGCTCACAATTCGTTGATTTCCACGCAGCTTGTCAGCTATGAAATGAATCACACTGCAAACTAGAAAAAAAGACTTAACAGTTCAGCCAGGATTGTTGGCCTTTACTTCTCTGTATTCAGTTTCCAGACAGAAGACAGTATTGTATAACTAAATAATTACACCGTGCTTTGAAACTGATTTTGTGACTGAATATTCTTGGAGAAATTATAGCCGCTCTGCTGGAATGGTTGAGCCCAACACAAGTTCCTTTGCTGGCACCTGCCATGAGCTGTGATTGCAGAGCAGCCAGGAGAGTGCTTGTTTGGTTGCCCAGTCATAATCAGAGATTGGTGTAAATTTTCCACTGTAAAACAGATCTTGGAAGTTCGAAGTGTGGATAATAAAGGATAAGCTTGGAATGGATCCTCAGGTGATGGGGCTTTCTTCTTGTTGTGTTTGGGGCCATGCAGGTGGCAAGGGCCTGCAGATAGGTGCTCTGACAGTTCTACCAGACAGTCACACAGTGCAAAGCATGTCCAGAAATTGTTTGACTTTGTATTTAAATTATCATAATGTGGTATTAAAATGTCAGTTACAGTCTGTCATCCCAGGAGAGAAACAGACCTTTTCCTTAACCTGAACCGTTAAAAACTATGTGGAAGAGTATTACCAAGGGCTTCTGTGGAGTTTTTTTTCTCTTCAGCTCCCTTGATTATTATTTCTACTGCTATTATTTTGGTGACATTTGATTGTGGTGCTCTTTTTGCTGTAGGTGCTGTATTAACATAACAATGGAACGGTTTCTGCTCTGGCATTTGCAGTTAGAAGTACCACAGTTGTCTTCTAGTTCCTGGATCTGATTATACTTTCTGCATCAAAGATGAACTCTTCATAACCATTTAATTTTTATACTCACTGATGTGTTCTACGCTACAGCCACAAAAATCTTTCTTAAACATAACAATCAGTACAAGATGCATTAAATCTTACTAGCAGCTCAAAGAAGTCATTTTTTGTCCAGTCTAAAGCTAAACAGCTGGACACATACACCAAAGTATTTGAATGAGTTATTGTAGCTCGTGAACAAAGAGAGTGCTTGTTTGTTTTAATTTTGAAGTTGGGTTGACTTTTCTAACAACCAATTTAGTATTCAAAAATACAAAAATCCAGGAAATCCATTTTTGTGCTTTTTCTTTCTTACTTTTTGTTTTCCCAGTAGTTTGTTTTATCAAGGTAATTTTTTTGTGCAGTGGGACATAGCAGTGCAGTCTGGTTTATGGACTAAATCATGACTCCTTTCATTGATTTCAGTAACAGGAGCACCAGTGCCATCTGTGTGTCTCTGGGTGATTTACTCTTCCTTCTCATCTTTCCTTCCTTTGCAGTTTGTCAGCTAAAAAACAGAGGAACTCAAACTATCTTAATGGTTAACTAAAAACATGCCGCATTTCTGCAAACCACATCAACCTTTAGAAACCTCTGTCTTCATTAGTATTGAAAGCATGTTTTCTCTCAGTCTTCCAAGAACACACAAAAAAACAAAAAAAAACCCTTTAATATTAGATATGTGGAATTCTGCACTTGAAGCAATTTTATTGGAATATCTGATATCAAACTTGACTATGGAGCATTAGAGTCCATGAATGTGTAAAATGGATGTGTATTCCTTACCTTTGTAAAGGAAGAGAGGCATAACAATGCTGTTCTGTCCCTGTACATGTGTGAAAAGGAAATGCATCATATGCTCATAGAGAAATCACTGAGTTTAATGAACAAATCTTGCAATGTAATTACGTCTCGGTGATTGAAAGTCAGTTACCTACCAGCAGAACCATCACAGCAGACTAGTGGTGATCATGCCATAAATAAGTTTCTCTGCATGGATATTATGATTTTGACACAGGATGTACTTTGTTTGATGTATTTGCTCAGAGAAATTGTTTTCAGAGTGATTTGTTTGATAAGAGAATGAACATCAGAAACTCCTGGGAAGAAGCAGCGTTACCTCCCCCGGGATGTTCATTTAGGCTCTGATAGGCAAATAGATAATTTTATTCTAGTCCTTCTATTTCACTGCAAAATAAGAAAAGTGTTTCCATTTAACTGAGCCACAGAGAAGTAAATTGCTCGTGCACAGAAGTGGGAAGGCTCCAGGGCATGAGAAATAAAATGTTCTTCCAGTCCTCTTAGTGTTTGGAACTCATCATGTACATGAGCAGCTGATTTGTAACCAATTTGGAACTTCTCATCCAGGTGGAAGCTGAGTTGATCGATAAGCTGGACAGCCTGGTATCCGAAGGAAAAGGTGATGAGAACTACAGAGAACTCTTCAGCCTGCTGTAAGCCATGCCAGTTTCTTCTCACTCTGTGTTGTGTGGGGTCACTGAAGCAGTCAAGGCAGTCATCTGTGCTGCAGTAGCAGCTCTAGTGCTGATCTTCAGGAAATGTAGTAAAGGGCACCCTGGCAGGTTTCCATGACATGGCTCTCAGTGAAACAGAGCTCTGTCAAGCTAGTTCTGAAAAGATAAAACTGTATCTTTCTGTGCCTTTCTTCCATACAATCCAATAGCAGGCTGCACAGGTAAGTTGTTGTCATTGTTCTGTAAAAATTGATTTGCTGGAGATGCCAATGCCTTTCTTTTCACTTAGCAGTATGCAAAATCGTGGCCTTAGGTCTGGTTTGAGGTCTAGCAGGTCAGCCTTGTTAGAGCAAGAGATTTTCCTCTGCATTGTCCTTTGCTGCTTCCAGTTTTTGAAGGCTGCGCTCTGAGTTGGCTTAGGAGATGTAAACTCCGCTTTTTGCATAGTCCATCACAACACTGTATTTCCACTGCCTTTCAGATGTGCAGTACTCGTAAGCATGAACAAAAGACTTAAAATCTGACTTTCAACTTAGTTATCTTTGATTACTCGGCTGTCTCTAAATTGTATTTCTAAAGGCCCTAGTTTATATCAGAAGGACTTTGAGAGTCCAAAGCAGTTAACACTAAGTCTTTTAATATTCCAGTGAGCCAAAGACATCATTAGCAAAATTTAGGCCATACGTTAAGGCCAATGAGGTAGATATTATGCTGGGAGTCTGTTATAGAACAGGCAAGGAGGATGAAGAGCTGGATGAAATCTTCTGCAGGAAGCTAGGAGAGATCTCACCGTCACTAGCCCTTAGTGAGGGGCCAGTCAGGGCAGACTTCAGATTCCCAGGTGTTTGCTAAAGCTCAGTAAAGCGGAGTGGAAATGGGTTAGGAAATTCCTGGAGTATTAGAAAAATAAATACATGAGGCTCTCTAGTGGGGACCAGAAAAGCAGAGAAGTCCTTACCCTTATGAAAGGGAGCTTGCATCAGAAATAGTATGGCCAGCAGGACTAGGAAAGGGGTTGTCCCTTGAGTGCTGTGTTCGGTTTTGGGCTTCTCACTGTGATAAGATACTGAGTTGCTGGAAGATATTCAGAGAAGAGCTAGTGGTGGGACTGGAAGGCAAGACTTAGGAGGAGCAGCTGAGGGAACTGAGGTTGTTTAACCTGCAGAAAGGGAGGCTGAGGGGGGACCACATCATTCTATAAACGTCTGAAAGGAGGTTGTAGCAAGGTGGGCGTCAGTCTCTCTTCTCAGGTGACAAGTGGTAGAACATGAGGAAAACTGCCTCGAGTTGCACCAGGAGAAGCTTAGGTTGGATTTTAGGGATAATTCCTTCACATAAAGGTTGGAAAGCACTGCAACGGGCTGCCTAGGGCAGTGGGGGGCCCCATGCCGGGAGGTGGTCACATCCCACTAAGCTCTGGATGTGGCGCTGAGGGGTGTGATTTGGTGGTGGGATTCAGTAGGTCAGGTTGGTGGCAGGTCAAGGCCGAGGTCACCTTGAAGGTGGTGACATTGAAGATCTTTTTCAACCTAGATGATTCCGTGATTCTGTATTCAGACCATCTCATGTGTCCCCCAGCAATGTGCAGGCAGTTTGAGGCATAAAGCTTTGCATTTCTTGGTTCACATTTGTTGACTCATTTACTGTCAGGACGGATAAGCCTGCCCATCTGTATGCTTTCCATAGAAAGCAAGTAAATATATTCACTTTTGGTTTGTGATATTCAGCCTTGGGAAGTCTGGCACTTCAAGTGTACAGAGAAAAAATATATGCTTTAGGAATAAAAAAGAAAATGTCTTGTTCTTTTATTCACTTGGCAAGGGGAATGTTCTGCTTTCCATTTGCTCCTCCTGAAGGCATGTGTAACCTGGAATGTTAAGAATTGGGGACTACAGTTTAATGTATTTTTAGGTGGTAGTGGTTGTGTTGCCAAGAAATACAACCTTGAAGTTGAAGTCCAGCAGCCTCTGAGTTTGTGTATGTACTGTATTTTCTGAGTACTGTGAGCTCTGAGGGAGATTTCAGCTCTTTTCTCACAAAGTTAAAAAACGCAGTGTGAAATAAACAGTTGACACTGACTTCCATGTCTCAGCTGTTCTGCTGAAATGGGAAACAGATCCCAGGGTGGAAATCATCCTCGGAGAACACACCCAACAGTTTCTCTTTCCTCTTGCCAGTACAGGTGGCAAGTTTTTTGACAAGAGATCTGTTTCAAGCTCAGGATACCAGCATCTGGCTTTGCTTTCCTTTACCATTTTTTGCAAACGATTTTCAGTGTTTTTACTTGGGCCTTTTCTCATTCTTCAGCCACCTCACTGAGATTCTCCATGTACTGCCTAGTTTGCTGATCAGAAAAAGATTGCTTTCATTTATGTACAGTTTAAATAAATTGTGATGTGATGTTGTTTGGTTGCTCATGACAGACTAAAATTTATGTGAGAATGAGCAGATTAATTTGCTTTAGGTTCAGACTCCCAACTTCTGTGTGCTGTTAGAGAAGCTGCAGGTAACAGCGCAGCAATCAGTTGTAGCTGCGAGCAGTGCTCTCTTTCACACATTTTATACAGCATTATGAGGGTATTTTTCCTTTTCCTGTCAATTCTGTAATTTCCTTCTCTTTGCTTCACGCTGCCTGGAGTAGAACCCAGCTCTTTGGGCCTTATCCCAGGTAAGACAGTCATTCTGTGCATTTGTTTCATGAGGAAGGAACCAAGTTGTCCATGACTGCCTGCATGCACAGCACTGGTTCTGCAGAAGCCTCATCTGCTGTCTTTTCATCTCTGCACAGTTTGCTGGAAAAGATTGAGCAGGAGACGTGGCGAGAGACTGGAATCTCTTTTGTTACATCGGTAACTCGCCTCATGGAGCGCCTGCTGGACTACAGGTATCTGACAGCAGTGTAATGTGTCCTCAGTGAGTGTATAAGAAGTTTGTGAAGAGGTAATACCAAATTTGTCATGTACAGAGAGCATTTCCATTGTCTATCAAGGTGCACCCATCAGGGAAGCGTTATATAAGTATGTGTAACTCAGTGCTGCAAGGCTCCAAGTGAAAAGCAAAGAGCCCTGGCTCTTCTTCTTGGCAGATCATTCCAGGTGAACAGCAGAGGTGAAGAAAGTTGTTCATTCTCACAAGTGTATATGCATACACATATAGGTATTGATGTATGTAGTATCATACATTATATGTAAAATATTATATACACCATGTTACATATACATACACTCAGAGTTGTTTTTATGGAACAGTTGGCAATTAGAAACTCTTAGAACCGACCCACGTGTTTCTATCTGTATCCTGCTGACAAGTTCCAATATTTATTTGGTTCTTCTGCTGCTCATTGGAGGTGAAAACACATGACTGGGTGTGGATATTGGGCAATCACAAATCCTTCACTGCACTGTTTAGTTTGTTCTTTTTGTTCTCCTGACCAGTTTGATCAGATTTGCTCTTTCTTTTCCTGACAGCAGCTGCCATAAAACTAAGCAAGACCAGATATCTGAGACACGTTAAAAGAGAATGCAAGGAAGCTGACTTTCTTTTTGATGCAACTGTCAGTGCAGCTTTGTTACACAGACACTCATTTTCATGCTTAGTACAGGAACAGATAACAGTTTTTTAGTATAGTTTCAATAAGCAGCAGAATATTTCAGTCCCAGAGCAGAAATAGAGAACGGCATCAAAATTTGGAAATGCCCAGACCAAATGTGTAATAATTGTTGGGGCAGTTGTGCAAGTCCCATACAGAACTGTGAAGTGGAGAGCTGTGCGGATCAGTTTTGACACCTTGTGGATCCCAGCCACCAACTAGCTGACAGTATGGCTCTCAGAAAAGTTTGCCATGTCTTCTTTGAAAGTTTTGTCTCTTTTTTTTTTTTTTTTTTCCGAAAGGAAATCTTTCAGATGTGTGTTGTAACATTCCTCTACCTTTTTAGGGACTGTATGAAAGGCGATGAAACAGAGAACAAGAAAATCGGTTGCACTGTTAATCTTATGGTAAAGATGTTTCCTTTATTTCGTTGTGCAGTGAAATTGACGCTGGGGTGAGGAAAATTGGGTAGGAATGTGTCAGACAAGGCGCAGGATCCAAGGGCAGGCAGGATGTAATGACAGAGCTTAGGAGCACCTCCTGGGAGCTGTGGTCCAGCTCTGCATGGAGCTGAGTGCTGTAAGTCTCACCTCCCCCCAGCTGCATTCTGAGGGTCTTTGTGACAGAGGTCTCACAAACTCTCTGGCCTTTTCTTTCCATGTTTGACTGCCCTCACTTTGAAAATAATTCTAACATTGGTGAGTTAGATCTGCATGAGCACAAAAAGAATGAGTCCTTTCCTTTTATGTTAATCTTTTTTCAGTACCTTTATACATACAGAGGCATCTCTGATTGTTGTGGAGGAAGGAACTTTCTCAGTGAGAGTGACTGTTCTCTTTCTCTTACAGAATTTCTATAAATCAGAAATTAACAAGGAAGAGATGTACATCCGCTACATCCACAAGCTGTGTGACATGCACTTACAGGCTGAGAACTACACAGGTTAGTCAGGCACCAAACAGGGGCTGTTTGAAGTCCCACTGAAAGGTTTTGATTCTCGTAATCTTATTCTCTATTATCTGTTGAATTTATTAGGAAAAAAATGTTGTTATAATCAGTTATTTAGAAAGATGAGAAGCTGAGGTCCACCTCATTCTGTCCAGTTAGTTTGCACCCTGAATTTTGTATTAAAGTGTTGTGCAAGGAAGGTTGATTGAAAAATCACAGCAGTAGAATGTAAATCACGAGCCCACTGTTGTATTACCATTCCCCAAATTTCTTTGCGTATGTAGGGAGCACTTTAAAGGTCTGCTGACTCTAATTCTGTGTTGTCCAAGCTGTGTTTACAGCTGCAGGCCCCATCTCAGTGTTACACAGCTCAGTTCAGCTGTGTGTTGCACATCTGAGTATCTGTGGATTTGAATCAAGTAGCTAAGGAGAAAGAGACTCGACAGATTTGTTCCTAAAAGTCAGGTTTATCAGAAGGAGCCACGTGCTGCTATTTTAAGCCACTGAGCAATGTAATGTTAACCTAATGCTTCTGAATTCTTTTCTCAAGTTGTACATCAGAACTTCCAGTGTGTTTTAGAAGCAGCTTGTGATCTTTTAACCTATTCGAGATTTGTCATCATTGATTCAGTGTTCAATGGTTGCATTTCCAACAGAGGCTGCATTTACTTTGCTTTTGTACTGTGAGTTACTTCAGTGGGAGGACAGACCTCTGAGAGAGTTCCTGCATTACCCATCTCAGTCAGAGTGGCAACGTAAGGAAGGTCTGTGCCGTAAGATTATCCATTACTTCAACAAAGGGAAGGTATGCCAACTTCTTCTCTCTTCCAGCAGCTTCCTTCCCTTTTCCTGACTTAGAGCTTGCAAGGCTATCATTTCAGTTCAGTAGCCTGGAAGTAAATTTATACTAAAAGGTTTAGTAACTTGACAGATTGCTTCTTGGCTCTTTGGAGCAAAAAAAAAAAAAAACAACCAAAACCAGATGAGAAAAATGGATGTGGGTATTTCATTATGCATAACATTTGGAACTGGTTTAGGTAGGCCACCAGGAGCCTACCTAAAGCAAAGCTCAGATCACCTGACATGGCAGAGACTGGTGAACACCAGTTCCTGAATTTATATATTAAAAAAATACAGTGTGTGCAAAGTGCTGTGTTATGGCTGCCTTTGCTGTTTAGGACTTGCTGTGTTTCTGACCTCCTGAAGTAAACATCCTGTAGGTAGAAGTAACTGTAGGAGATCCTACAGTTAAAAAAGATAAAGCCTTTTCAGCATCACTGTGATTTTAAAGTTTCTTTCACTTAATGTGCAGCTTCATCCATTGCACAAGAAAAGAGTGAATGCATTTCAGTTCCTTATATTTGGTATGCTTTTCCTGCCAGGAGTAACTGTTCGAAGCACTGCAGGCAGGTGCTGCAGCCGCTTGTATCTGTGTTCTGTTTTGGAGGGGAGTATTAGAAGTGAAATCATCTGTGAGAATGTTGTCAGAGTTATATTTTTTCCAGGAAAGTAAACCATCCAGCATGTATTACTGGGAGATAACATCTGTATGTGCACCTCAGGGTTGCTTTTTCCTATGATGACAGCGAAAGTGGCATTAAATAGAAATGGGATTTCATTTATATGGGGTTGACATTCCATTTTGCTTCTGGCAGAGGCATCCTGTGCAGAACATGGCAGAGAAGTCAGATTGTGCTTGTGAGAGGGAGTGGCCAATTTCTGAGGGAGTGATTCATTACCAGAGATCTTTTTTGGCTCAGAAATTGATCTTCTCTAATAATACTGTATGTGATTTTCTGTTTAGTTTCAGAAAATTTCACAGCTTTATAAGACTGCACTTTAAAAAATTAAGTTATTAACTTATATAAATATGGCAGTACTGTGCCACCTGATTTAGCCAAGCGTAATAAAGAGGCTATGTAGAAATTGAGCCTGTGTTTTTGACAAACAGGCCATCCATACAAGCGTTAAAGGTGAGTACAAACTTGATGGATCTAATTTTGCTATAAATCTCCTAACAGATTGGAGTGTTAATTAACCTCTTGGGGATTTTTTCCTGCTGGGCATTTCTGGAGTTACTTGGCTGTGCTTTAATCCTCCTTCATTTTAAATGGTAGCTGAATGACTAACTAATCCACATAAGCAGTGTGTATGTCATTTGGGCTCTGAAAAATAGAGAGAAGCCAGATCTGCTGCTGCTGTGTAACAGGGACCAGCTCAGGAGGCAGAAGTTCGTTTGCTTAGCTTGTGCCTGGCAGATTGTATTCTGCACTCCCTGGGTCCTGAAGAATGGAATGTGTTGCTCTTTGTCATACTGTTGCATATCTAGATAGTTTCTGATTCTGCTTCTGGTATCTTTCATTAAGTAAGAGGGTCAGAGCAGCATTGCAGAAGGTGTAAAAATTCTATGCTTGTTCATGGGAAGATCTCACAGCAGTGAGGGAGAAAAGCAGGGGGCACAAGGCATGCACAACAGAAGGGCGTGCAGGCTGAGCACATCAAGCACATGGTCAGGGCAGCTGGGCAGCTCTCATTCTCAGTATTGCTGGAAGCAGCCCTGTCAGGGCTCCAGGGCTCCAATAAGATGCTCCAGGACCCTTCTTCCCTTCACTCTGCGTGCTCCTTCCTGCTGCCTTCTCGCTGTGTTTCTCATCGGTTTGTGACCATGTGGAGGTGCATAACTTTAAATGTAGGGTTTTTTCTAATTCACAGATGTGAGCAGTCATTTTGTCCGTTAAGACTCAAGGTTTTCTAGTTGAAGGAAATTGAATGGGACAATTTGAACCTAACAGATCCTTTTTCTGGACAGCAGCAGCTTGAGAACTTCACAACTCTCTTCTACCCAGTTCAGAGCTAGTTTTTCTTGATAAGAATTGTGACCAGATCCCTTGCCAACACCACGGTGTGCATTCTCCTCAGTTTCAGACAGATGCTGTGAGAGACCCAATGCTGCACTTTCAAAGCATTTTTAGATCATGTGCTCTATCCCAAGCATTTGAACTAATTTATCTCGTGCACACTAATTTGAATCACACTTCCAAAAGAAATCTGCACATTGGGAAGTGAGTAAATAAAGGCTCCCATTCATAAATGGTGATTGTCTCTGTCTGTGCCTCCTGTGTGCAGTCAGCATCACAAATGAGAGTTGCTGGTGTCATAGGAGACAGCTGCAATAAATCTCTCATGAGCCTGCTTCAGAGTGAAGAATGTAATACAGAACATACCACCAGATCAGACAGCAAAAGAGAAAGCACTAATGAATGAAAGTAACAGTGGAGACCTTAGGAGATTATTTGAGAGGGGAAGGATGATGATGCTGTAGAGGAAAGTGGCATTTGTGCAGCACATGGAACTGCTGCATATTCCATTTCTGCACTGTGAAGGCAGTAGTCATTAACATCACCATTTTTAAAAAGGGGAATCCCAGTGAGTCAGATGTCCATTTGTTCTGCTTTACTGTTAAATATCTCTGACTCTCTTTCTAACAAGTTATCTGTATGTTGGGTTTCTTCCACTTACGCGCTGCATCATTATCAACAGAATATTCAGCTGGCATGTTAGAATTTCTCTGCATTGAAATCTGTTTGAAAGGAAGAGAGAAAGCCTGAGCTGGGATGACAGGAATAGTATGAGAGTACATGTGAAAGAGCTGGAGCTTCCTGAAAGGAAGCCAGTCAGCTTTCTGCTTCTATCCAGATGACAGATTAGAGAATTATGTAGGCTTTAGCAGCAGCATACCATTTGGGAGTTGGGAGTGAAACTGCTACTATGCAGTGTATCAAAAGCCATCTTTTCCTGGCCAGGTGACATAGGAGAGATTTGTCTTTTCTATTCTTTTGGGTAAATTTGGATCACCTGAAGACTTAAAGTCTATGTGCTGATACTGTAACTATTCTGAAACCCATTGGCATGCAGAGTGCTTGGGTAGTTGTGTTTGCATATAATGCACTTAGCTGGATAATGCTGCTGGTCACAATTTGGAGTATCTGTTTGTATGCCATGGACTGACAGCCACAGTGAAAATGCTGTTAATTTGAGATCACACAACCCCAAGTTAATTCTAAGCAGTCAGTGAGCTGCTCTTTCAGGTTGTTTCCTTGTTCCAAAGTTTCCTTGTTTCTAAGTGAAAGATACTCTGAAGGAATCTTTTACTTAGCAAGTTCTTATGTAAGCTTTTGTGATCCACAGAGGATAAAGAGTTGGGAACTTTGTTCTCCTTTTTGCTTTTTCCATTTATCCTTTCTTTTGAGATTGGAGTTCTTAGACTCACTGTTTTTGCTCTTCAGAGGACAACAAACCCATCTCTGCTATTAGGACAGGCTCTGTGTGTGTGTGCATAAAGGGAAGCGCTGCAAGGCACCCGTTGCACTTAATCAAATGGTGCAGAGATTCTCTTTTTGAAGTGAAGAAAGGGTACAGAGCACTATTATTTTACATCATTACTGTTAATTACCATTAACAATAATTTACAGTATTACTCTTTGTAAAACTGATGTTAATAATCTCACAGGTTAAGTTTGTTTTCTCTGCAACACAGTTGTAGTTAAAAAGAAAAGAGGCAAGTTAACCCAGTAATGCATAAAAATAATCTAATAAAGGTTCAGCTGAGACCAGGGGCTTCCAGGTCCTTTACATAAATGTGGTAAGAAACAGCCCCCAAGGCATTTCCAGTCTGTGCAGGAAGAGGAGATTTCAGTTGAAGGGCATAAAATGAGCTCTCTGAAAAGCTAACAGGTGACAAGGGAGTTCCTCTCCCTGTATGTGTTTGCATGCCCAAACTCAGCCTCTTTCTTCCTTACTACTGATGGCAGTGGCTGTGGCGTGCCAGAAAAGACTCACTGTATGCAGAATGTAAGATAAGTGAGTTTTACTTTCAGTTCTGGATACAAATACTCAGTGCAACAATGCGTGTCAGTTCTGAGCATGCTGTATCTCTGTGTTTGTTTCCCATTGCTTGAGGGTTTCATGTTCTCAGTAGGAAGGAGCAGCCTCAGGAGGGAACCCCAGTACAAGAAAGACAGGAAGCTGCTGGAGAAGGTCCAGAGGAGGGGCAACAAAGATGCTCAGAGGGCTGCAGCACCTTCCCTACAAAGACAGGCTGAGGGAGCTGGGCTTGGTCAGCCTGGAGAAGAGAAGGCTGTGGGGTGACCTCATTGCAGCCTTCAGTACCTAAAGGCAGCCTACAAACAGGAGGGGAATCAACTCTTGGAAAGGGGAGATAACTGCAGGACAAGGGGAAATGGTTTGAAGTTGAAGGAGGGAAGATTTAGGTTGAATGGCAGGGGGAAGTTCTTCACAGAGAATAGTGAGGTGCTGGAACAGCTGCCCAGAGAGGCTGTGGATGCCCCCATCCGTCCCTAGAGGTGTTCAAGGCTGGATGGGGCCCTGGGCAGCCTGGGCTGCTATGAAATGGGGAGGTTGGCAGCCATGCCTGTGGCAGGGGGATGGAGCTTCATGATCCTTGAGGTCCCTTCCAACCAAAGCCATTCTGTGATTCTATGAGGGGCCTCAGCTGTGAGGAGTCTGTACTTCAGGGAGTGAAGAAAACCGAGATGTTAGGTGGGAGGGGAATTTAACAGTAAGAAAACGTTAGCTGTATTTCTCCAGAGAAGTTCCCAGTCTGCTGAGTGAACTTTTAGCAAGAGCATGCGTGTAATTTTAGTGGGATATGTGCCTTCATTACCATCTCAAAGAGAATCAATCTGATGTTCATGGAAACTGTTTCATCACATTGCATTTTTGTACTTAAACCCTGGCATTTCATACCTAATGAATTGCCTAAAATGAGTTCCTGTATTCCTCTCAGCTGGCTGTTAGTTGATTCCAAGACACTGGTCGCTGTGAGTGTGATTTGCTTTGGTTTTGCAGAGCTGGGAGTTTGGAATCCCGCTGTGCAGAGAGCTGGCCATGCAGTACGAAAGTCTCTACGACTACCAGAGCCTCAGCTGGATTCGGGTATGTGGCAGCAGTTCCTCTCCTAGCACACTCTCATCCAGTAGGGAATTCTGCCAACTTCTCAGAAAACCTTCAGTTTAAGAAACAAACCAACCAACCAACCAACCCAGCACCACAAATAACTCCCTTGCCATGGGTTCTTTTCAGTGGTGTTGTGGGCCCACTGGGGTAATTCTTAGGTCTGTCAGCAGTGAACATGGACAACAGATGAGGAAATCTTGACTTGCTGCTGCAATTGCCTGTTTTACATATATTTTTTGCAAAAAACATCCTTTTTTTCTTCCTTTTCTTTTTAATGTATTGATATTTCATTTTAACTCCAAAAATATCCAGGACCCATCTGCCTCAGCTGACTTAAGAGGAGGGAAAGGGAAAAACAGAATGGAAAAGGCAAACATTTATGGCATTCTTGTGAGTTTTCAAAGATGTGATGCCCTGGTAAAACCAAGTTGGGAGAGATTTGTGGCACTGTTGCTGTAATCAGAAAAGTTTTGCTGTGTATAACCTTTATGAATTTGCAAAGACATCTAAAATAGGACAGCTTGAGCATTTCTTCTGGTGTGCAGGAAACACTGACACATCAGTAAATTAGCTGTTTGTTTTGCCTCTTTTTTAATTGGCTTTAATCAGTGGGCTAGTATGATTGTTTCAGCTCAGCAATGGAACCTGTTCAACTCATCATTTTGTTCACAGGTACATGATCTATTTTCTGTTCAGAATCCCTAAATCTGTGTTGACCTGAACTGGATTGAATTTCTCCCCATTGCACAAAGTTTTCCTTATTCTGTCCATCTCACTTAACACGTTCCCACAGTGACTTCAGGTCTTTCTCCATATTACAAAAGAGGTAATGTGTGTGAAGCCAAGAAGAAAGCCTTGGCACAGTGTTCTGAGTCAAAGCTGCTGTGAGGATTCCCTGCAGTGGAAGCAATGACATCAAACTGGTGCTTCTCTTTAGAAAGCTATCTTTTTGGATATAATGAAATCCTTGTGAGCGTTTCAGAGACTCGATTTGGCAAGAGGGTTTGAAATCCCACTCCTGATGCAGTGCCAGCACAGTGCCATAGAAATAATAATTGGGGCTGAATAAAAGTCCTCCTTCCAAACTCCTTTTTTCTTCCGTGTTAAACTTACCGGTGTACGGAGCTGGAGTAGATTTAATTATGCTTTGCCCTTTTTCACTCTCCTCAACTCAGTTAAGGCAAACCCAATTGAATTGGTACAATTTTTCAGACAGCAGTATAGATTCTGAGCTGTGGGGAGTGGGGTGTTAAAGCACAGGCCTGAGTCTCAGCTTGGCCCTTAGTTCTGCAGTGCACAGAAGATTACGTGCAAGACTTGTTTTATTTAAAATGAAATGCAACAGAAAAAAGACATACATCATCTCCCAAAATGTAGAATGAGCTGGGTGATTTTATGGTCTGCTCCACCACATGGACCATTTAATTAATAATCTTAATTGTTAAAACAATATCACTATTCTCATTAAAAGAAAAAGTGTGTACGCACAAGAGCAGCGTTTTGTTGTAATGCACCTTGAGAGTCTCATGTTTTAAGTGCAGTTTTAAGAGTCTGATAGCAGCTGTCATTTTCCTCCGCAGAAAATGGAAGCCACCTATTATGATAATATCATGGAACAGCAGCGCCTGGAACCGGAATTCTTCAGAGTTGGTTTTTATGGTCGAAAATTCCCATTCTTCCTGCGGGTAAGCCAGAGCTATACAAAATGTGACAGCAGGACTGGGCTCCGAGTAGCTGTCACAGCTCTGAATTTTGGTTGTGGAGATACGACATCTGCTGTTCATTTTATATTTTACACTTGCGTAAGCAGAAGCAGCTTTCTGATAGGTCTGAAGGGTATCGTTGGTTGGGAATATTCTTAGGAACACGGATCAGAAATTTGACGGACGCCTATGTGTATTTCTGGCAATCTCACGTCAGCAAAATTTACCTCTGTAATTAAGCAAAATTCTTTATTGCAGTGATGATGGGTCATTATTTCAACTAACTTTCATTATCTCAAATTATCACACTTTTAAAAACATCTCACATGACAGAATGATTCTAGTAAGAGACTGATGACACTCTTCTGCTCTCTACAGCAAAAGTTCTCCTGTATTAAGTAGAAAGCCCATCAGCTTCTCTGTGCACGTCCTCACTTTGAGCTTACTGTCTGCTGCTGTGCGCAGGGTCAGCAGGCTCTGAGATCCACTGAAAAAGTGAAAATGTTTTATCTTCCTAATGAGGCATTTGTTCATACGGCTTCTTGTTTCTGGTTCAGAGTAAGGAGGGAATATAATCTGACACCTGGAAAAGCTGCCTGAAAATTGATCATAGAATCATAGAATCACAAGGTTGGAAACGACCTATAAGATCATCTAGTCCAACCATTGATGGCAGATGCCATCTGGTCTGACAGGCCAAGCTAACCTGCAGCATGCTTTCAGGGGCTGGAGCAGCATGTTTTTTTGTTTTCTTTAAAGATAGAGTTTGACAAGAGATGGCACCACTCTTGAGTAATACAGTAATAAGTTACAAAAAGCAAAGCAAAACTGTTTGCCATTTTTGTTTCATAAGGTACACATTCTGAAAATTGCCTTCTTAAACTTCCCTCTGCTTTGTTATAGCTGAGATTAAAATATTGGTGTTTAATTACGTTACTTTAGTGGAGGCATGCTGTAAATAATCAAGGTGGGATATCAATGGACAATGGGTGGCATTATTATACTCAAAGGTGAAGCAAGAGCCTCAATCAGCATTTTAGATCAGCACGCGAAAGAATGCAGAGTGTTGCAGTGTGAAGATCCCCTTTTCCGAAGAGCTCCCAAGAAAACATGATTTCTTTTTTAGTAACAACAGATGTTGCAGAAAATAAACGACAAGCAAGTCATGATGGCACATAAGTGTTCCTGTGTTAGAAGTACTGTCAGTGAATCCTTGTGCATCCTCGTTCTGTCGTGGACCCTGCCTGGCCTTACACTGCACCATTGTGAAGTGCTGTATGGAAACTTGGCTGGAGATGTTAACAGCAAACATTAGCATATACAGTTATAATCCTTGTTAGTTCTGCAATTGCAGTTAGTAGCAGTGCTTCTGATAGCAGATTACTAACATAGCAGTCTCGTTAGAATGCACCCTCCTCCTTCCTCTCCCTGATGATCCATGCAGTGCTCACATTGCGAAGCACAGTCTAAGCCCATTAGCAGTTGCATCTGCATGGATCACACTATAAAGAGATCCACAGCATCTATTCTGGAGAAGAAGAAGATTTATGTGGATTTAAAATTTTCAAATGGATACAAGAGCGATTTAAAGTGATGAAATAACTTCATGTACTTTTTAATTTTTCTACTGTTGTATAGTTTAAGACAGAAAATAGCTACTTCCTTCCACATCTGCAGTTTTGTAGACCCTTTGTCTAGAAAAATCGCTTATGTCACTGTGGAACCTGCATCTCTTTCTATCCTCCCTACACAAATATATTAGAACGCTCATGTCTTTTCCTACCAAAAGTTCAAGTAAGGACTAACAAGCTGTGTGCTGAGATCTTGTATTGCCTTCTATGTGAAGAGTCTATTAAATCTGGCCTGATGTGTTTTCAGGACATTATTGTTAGAACTTTATTTATAGCCTTTACCGTTTCCTTAGTTGCTGCAATCAAAAATTAAAACAGAATGCAGTAAGTGCCATGAAGAGATTCACCTTCAGATATCAATAATAGCTGCAAAGCTGGGCCATTACGGACTGAACTGTGTTTTCATCACAGCTTCCACCATGAGATCTCATCTCTAGAGATGAAGCACAAGCCCAAAGGCTAAACTTCTTGGCTAAACTTTATGAACAGGTTTTGCCAGTTTCTCTTTCATTCTGCTAATAGCAAGAAATCACAGCATATGCTGCAGCTGTTTGACTGCAAGAAATAGAATGGGGGCAACTTTCTTGCTTGATGGAATTTTTTTTGTTGTTGTTTTATTAAGAAGGAGAAAAATCTCCCTGTATAGCATACACAATAGCTATTGTGATGAGTCAGAACGCCCAGGATTAGAGATTTGCCTGCTGTGATAAGTCTCACGTCAGGCAATGCTATCACCAGTCGAAGTTGTATTATGTGGTAATATAGTTAAGGCACTTTATGACACTCAGCACTATAGAGACGCTGTCACCTGCTGGTCAGAGTTCAAGATGGTTCAAAAGCATCCAAGAACTCTAAGCAAGTGATTTAATGCCTCAGGAGGTATATTTTAAGTGCAAACTTTACATCACTGGCAGAGAGGAAATGTTGTCCATCAAGAGGAAAGTGCTTTTAGAGTTGAAGTGGAATGTGCTAAGTGGCCATTCTTGGGGAGGCTCTCCTTGTTATTCCACTGTAGACAGCAGTGTTCCAGCAACGTGATCAGAGCTGATTGTATGGGTGTGACAGTGCAATAGTGACTAAACAATGATGTTTGCGAGGTTTGTTATCACGCCTTTCTGAAGATAGCTGGTAAATTGTTAAATATGTCTTTCTCCCTGTTCTGTGAAATCCTCAGACTTTTGCCCAGCTCATGGAAATTGCATTTGATGGCAGTTTTTGCAGCGCAGAACAAGGTTTGTGACCCAGTCTTAAGTTTTGCTTGATGCATTTCGTTACAGTCTGATTAAATAGTACTCCCTGTTCGGTTATCCGAAAAGCAAATAAGACAAAACTATAGGACTTGTAGGATGCTTGCTTGTAGGGAGCAAAGGTATCTTTTGTTGAGGGAGCAGTAGAATGGTCTCCTTATTCATCAATTAATGAAATGAAAAAGAAAGAAATAGAATATATCATCCATGTTATCTGCACATTTTATTGTGACGTCAGATTGTTGACTTTGTCACTTCTGAAGCAGTAAAATTTAAAGTGAGGTAACAGTCAACTGCATTTAACCTGACTTTAACGGAGATTCATTTATGCTTGTCCTTGCAGAACAAAGAATATGTGTGTCGGGGCCACGACTATGAGAGGCTGGAAGCCTTTCAGCAGAGGATGCTGAGCGAGTTCCCACAAGCCATTGCAATGCAGCATCCGAACCACCCAGACGACTCTATATTACAGTGCGATGCCCAGTGTATCCTTCAGTGAGATCTTTGGTACTGATTGTCTTGCATATCTCAGACATCGACTGATTCTTTGTATTGTTGGAGTGAATTGTTGCCTTTTATTCTGCAGGGAGTATTGCAGGCCATGCTCGAGAGATTGGCGAGAGATTGATCACATCCAGCCTTTCACCTTTACCAGCAGCATTGGCATAAGGGATGTTTTACTTCACTAAATGTACATTCCAATACCTTCTCTTGGAGAATGTGTTGTTGGGAACAGATATAAAAGTATTCTTTTCCACTGTCTTTTTAACTGCAGCTTTTTTTTTCTTGTAGTCTCCTTTTCTTTTAAGTTGTGGAACTCCCTTATAACTATGGCTCTAAATTTCTTTCTTCTCGTTGTTAATGAGTACTGCAGTTTAATGGACCCAATACAACGCTTTGTGCATTCAAGGATGGAACTATCCTAAGGATGGAACTATGGAACTATGACTGATGAGGCTGCAGAGACCCGGGGAGATTTTAGTTATGAAAACACTGCCATTTGGCTTGTGCCACACCAGTGAGGGCACTGCACAGGACTGCAGGACTTTAACCTTAAGAATACTGTCATTAAGTGTTTGATGTTTCCCACTCATTTTCCATATGATATGCTTTTCACTCTCCAATGTTATGTATCACTGATAGTTTTACAGACAGAAAGGGTTGTTTATATATTTACTTTCATTAGTTTCTTTGCACTTGTTGCACAAGAGACCTTGTCTGTAACAGTAAGACTACAGCAGTTAAACTGCCCTGATGAACATAGGACAATGTCTGCCTGCAGACAAAGGATGAAATTTACCAAAAGTAAATATTAAAAATTTAGGTTTCTGTATACCTGGAGACACAAAGATTTATTGAAGTGCCTGCAGAAGTGAAGCACCTAGCTTGAGTGAGAACTAATAGGGTCTGGCTCGTTTGGCTGATCTAGATAGAATGTAGTAAGACATCTGAAAATATGTGCATCCTCAGGTGTCTTGCTTTGTTTGATTTGGCTTTAAGGTACTACAGCTTTGTAGGCACCCTGAGGATTTCTGGTGTTGTGTCCTCTTGTTTCGTGTGCAAAAGAAGGGTGTTGGTAAACAAAGAGAAGCATATGCTGTTTCTTTCTGCAGCAGAGGCAGCTTTCTTGTTCAGTGTCCCATGGCTTTCTTTGACAAGGCAATGTGCAGATTTACAGATCTATGCCGTGACTCCCATCCCCGACAGCATCGATGTGCTGCAGATGGACCGCGTCCCTGACCGCATAAAGAGCTTCTACCGAGTCAATAACATCCGGAAGTTCCGCTATGACAGGCCTTTCCACAAGGGCCCCAAGGACAAGGACAACGAGTTTAAGGTACAGGCAGGCAGAAAACTGCGTTAAGTGTTAATAAGGCAAATACTGTCTTGTTAGCTTATGCTAATGTAGCCTTTCAAGTAATCCTGATTTGGTGGCCAGACATCAGTAACAAGTGGCTGTTGAATCTGGTGGCTTCACATCTGAGCATTTTGCAGTTTAAAGGTAAGTCACTGGAGTGCCAGGAGAAATGCATTTCAAAGTAAGATGTTTTTTTGATTGGCTGGATTTCTTGTTTTATGATCGTAGATGTTCACAATGTCTTCTTGGTTCCCATGACAGAACTAGTATCCAAACTCAACCTCTGAGAGTTGACTGAAATGCTGAGTGTGTTGCTTTAGAACATATTGAATTATTTTCTGGCATTTAAGTGATTATCAGCATGGCATACTGCTGTATGTTACTGTTATGTGTATGTTATGAGGTTATGTTATGCTGTATGTTATGAGGTTGATATATTCTTCTTTTACATTTGCCCTCCCTTGTAGCTAAGAGTATAGATGATGTGATTGTGATTCATTCTGTGTCTCACATCCCTCAATTTCTTTCTGCAGAGCTTGTGGATTGAACGCACCACTCTGACCTTGACTCACAGCTTACCTGGGATCTCCCGTTGGTTTGAAGTGGAAAGAAGAGAACTGGTAACATTCATAATTCTGTCACTGAGGTCTGAAACAATGACTTACTAAGGGTGCAGGGCAGATGACTGAAAACTCCTTTGGCTGAAATTTTACCATTTAAAATGATACAGTTTAGCAGCAATTAAGTATGTACTTTCTATATCACCTAGTCTAAATAATTGCTGAATGTAACCAGGGGAATTATTCAGGTGAACGTGACAGTGTAAAGGAGAATGTGCCAAAAAGATTAAATAATTGCATTGTCACCATGTCTTCAACAACTCCATGACCTGAAATAGAATATTACTGACAATGAAATTTGTTAACTTAGCTGATTTTCTAGCAGTGAAAACTCAGTGAAAATCAGTGAACCATCTAAGAGTATTTCTTTACAAGGAACACAATGAATCACAATGAAGCATCCGTGGAATTAAAGTATGTTTAATTGCTTTTAAGGTTGAAGTAAGTCCTTTGGAAAATGCCATTCAGGTGGTTGAGAACAAAAACCAGGAATTGAGAACGCTGATAAGCCAGTACCAGCATAAACAAATGCATGGTAATATTAATCTTCTCAGCATGTGTCTGAATGGAGTGATTGATGCAGCTGTGAATGGGGGAATTGCGAGATACCAGGAGGTAAGTGAGGCTTCTGAATATAGGATCAATATTTTTCAATCTTATTTTCATTTTTGTTGCAAGGAGCCTGTCACAGAATATGATAAGAAATTATCATGCACTTTATCTGAATGTGAGGTTAAAACCCCATGCTTGATTATTCTGCAACAGTGCTTCAGGGTGTCAACAGGAGGCTCCAGAGATGGAGCTGGGATACTGCATTAAAGTAGGTGCAGTTGGCAGTAGAGTTCTTAAGAACGAAGCTTGGGTTACATGGAAAACCTGAGCTGGCAGGTACAGGAGTGAAGCAGCAGTACAAAAAAACCCCATTTCTTATGTTATAAATCCATTTTGCAGTGATATCAGAGTGTGATTGGGCCTGTAATCAGGAAAAGCTGCTAATTCCTGCTACCTAACCATTATCTTTGCTAGCCCAATTTCAGACTCACTGAGACCCTAAAATTATCTGATGTTATCTGCTACACTATCTGATACATTCTTTGGCAAGCTGTTAATTAAATTCCACATTATGAAGGGTAAGTCTAGAGTGAAATAGTAAGAAATGGCAGCAGTGGTCCAGGGGTCTGGGATATGTCTTTCCTATTGAGCCATACAGAGAATGCTCTTCACTCTTTTGCATTAGTTACCATCTTACTCTTTAATTCCATTAACCTGAGGAGATTTTGTGAAGGAAATGATATAAAATTCAAATAACTGAATAATATAGGGATTGGTGGTATTGCCCATCATTATTGCATAGAGAAAGCCCATCAGATTCATGCCTTATGCTATTCAGCGCTGGTTCCTTTAAAGTAGGAACAGAATGATCTAGGTTGCTAAAACCTTACTGTAGCTTTACCTGAACCCCAGAGTGCCAAAAGCAGTAAAATTGAGCTTCTGCTGTAGGCTTAAAATACTTAGTTTTCCTGAGATTTCTGAACTTTTTCTTCTTGTCTTTCGACACCAAGTCATTATAAATATCTTCCATTAAACAGAAGGCTTTTTTTTCTTTTTTTTTTTCCCTACAGGCCTTTTTTGATAAAGATTATATCACAAAGCACCCTGGAGATGCAGAGAAGATCACACAGCTTAAGGAGCTCATGCAGGAACAGGTACTACTCTTCTGTAGTTTCTGGATTAATCAGTGGTCTGAACATACCAGGTCCAGTTCATCCATTCACAAGCAAGGAATTTCAGTACAGGAGATTTAAAGTACATTTAAACAAAAAGGGGAGCAGGTAGTCAAGTGTTTCTGAACAAGCCGATCACCCTAGGCAATGTTAGGTGAAGCTCTGCTAACAGTGCTTAAATTTTGTTGTCACCATTTAGTATCCAATAGGTGTTGTGCCATGCTTCAAGCCTGCTGTTCATTTCTGGCATTTTGAGTTATGTCTTCCTAGTAAATTTCGACGGTAAAATCAGGACAGGACAGGCTCCATGTAAAACTGGCAGAGCCGCATGGGAAAACTTAATGTCTATTTATATTATCTACAGTTGAGATTTTCTTTAATATCTCCACAAAACATCTTAGTAGATAAAGCTTGCTGGATGCTTTGCTGGGAGTGAAATCAGACAATCACATCCTTGCTAATGGAAAGTTTGGCAAAATAAGCCCCAGTAAGCAATGCGGCCAAGTCTGAGCAGAGCTACTAGGCCTGCTTTGTCAACAGATCGCTTAACAGATTTCCCATCTGTAAGATAAAGATAATGTTTATCTCCCCTCCATCCTCAAGAAGATGTTTGAAGATTAATTAGCTATTGTTTGTACACAGTTTTGATCATGTGTGAAATCATATGCATATGCTATCATGACTGTCTTTCATCTGAGAGTTGATATAATCTCTTTCAGTGACTAATATTGTATGTTTGACCTTTGAAAATCTGACCTTTATAAATAAGTAATGAGCAGCAGAAAGAATGAACGTAGGTGGCAATGCTGCCATGCTCAGGTAGGTTATCAGAACATCCTTTTTCATTTTTATTTTTTTGGTCACAGTGAATTATGAGGACTCTGTGCTGCTAACTCTGGAGAGAGAATCAATCTTTTGTTTCTTTTTACAGTTGTCTTTAAGAAATGTAATCTACTGTGACATAAATGTACTTCTTTCACATTTGAAATACTTGCTGAAGTAATATGAGCTTGCCAGGTCTTCTAGACTTGATTGTCAGCAGTCCTCAGTTGAACAGTGGAATATTTTGCAGTACTCCCTTACACACTGACAGACTGAGGATAAGGCTTCTGTTCTCTCTCTTAGTCTTTATTTAGTTTTGTTGTGTTGTTTTCTTCTTAACAGGTGCATGTCTTAGGAGTGGGGCTGGCAGTCCATGAGAAATTTGTCCATCCAGAAATGCGTCCTCTGCATAAGAAACTGATAGACCAGTTCCAGATGATGAGATCTAGTTTGTACCACGTAAGCTGGTCTTCAGTTTTCCTATTCTGAATCATTCAGAATTCTGAGCATCTGTTGCAGTAGCTTTCACACAAGAACTGGGCAGATATGGCACTGACCAAATCTACTGGATTGCCAGATTATCACAAGAATTCTTGATTATATATATCTTTCTCTGATATAAAACAGAAAGAAAGATTAACAGACAGTATTTGATGTTCAGCTTTTAGAACTGTCATCATTTGGAGTAGCATGGCATGGATTAGGCCCTCCAGAAGTATTTTTTTTTTAATATATATATAGACAGTAACAGAAATTCTTGTTGCTTAATTCAGGCACCCAACTCTGATGATCTGTACACGCAATATTATAGGTCTGCATTTCCTATGTGAGTCAGGAGAACTGCCTCCAGAGGATAGTTCATAGTGTCTGTTAAATACCAGAAGTACACATGGCATCCCCTCGGACTTTGTACCTTCCACCCATTTGTGCTCTGCTGTACATCAGTGTTCTGTGACAGATATGTTTCAGACTTTTGTGGATATCTTGACACTATATTGTATGTTATCACAACCAAACTGAAGGACTTCTTTCTGTGAAACAGAAAAGAATTTTTTTAAATGTGTTAGCACTTTACTTCAAACTCAAGTACGTATTTTCTAAAAGCTTCTAACTTGAAGACATTTTCCCCATTCCTGGGAGTGAATGCAGGGATGGCCAGAAATTAGAGCATCAGAATTTTAAAATACAGCCTTTCTCTTTCAGAGCAGATGCGATCCATACAGGTCACAGTTGTCAGCCCAAATTCACTGCCTATCTTTAAGAGTTTCTAAAAGATCTCTGTTTTCAAATTCACCTATCCTTTCGGAAAAATGTAGATGTTTGCAGTTTGGTCAACAGCGTGCCCCTGTTTTTCTCCAGAATTCTTGAAATGGTGGCTGGGAAGTATTGCTGGAAGTAGATAATAAAACACTGAAGCTCTTCCTACTGTGGAAGCACAGGATAACTGCAGATGATTACAGAGAACATGGAAAGAAATCAGAATTTTTTTCTGAGACAACTGCTGTAATTTTCTCATTACTGACTTAGCTAAAATAGTTACAGTTAAGTGACTCTGTGTCTCCTGTGCAGGAGTTGCCTGGTTTGGATAAGCTGAGCCCAGCGTGTTCTGGCAGTAGTACACCTCGCAGCAATATTCTAGTTTCCCATGGACCTATGAGCCCAGAGAGCATAAAGCTGCTTCATCGACACAGGTACCGTGTGGTTTGCTGCTGGAATATGTAGGATCTCTGCACACTGCTGCATTAAGATTCAAGGGGTAGAAAAGCAGTGAACACTACTGGTGGAGTAGGAGGAGGGTGAATTTTGGCAGCAGTGTCCTTTATCTTCATTCAGGGCTAGCTATTAAAGCTTGAATGTTGATTGGAATCAAGAAGTTGAGAAATCTGGTTTGCAGCGAATGGTAAATACCTCCAGATGTTACATTGCTTTGCTTACACATCTCCATGTCTGACTTGCGAGGTTCCAACTTCTCCTGTTATGCAGATGGCAAGTAAATAGGTCCTTACCTGCAGTAACAGGGAAACTCTGCTGTTTTGCTTTAGAAATGTGCCCATTTTTAAGACACCAAAGTTGTTTTATCAGAAAGTAGCTCAGACTTCAGAGAAACATCTCAAAATGTGAAATCCTTATTGAGACAGAATGCCCTCCTATAGAAGCTGAGGACCAATCCCAAATTGGGATTTTCAGGTCAAAGCAGAGCTGTTATACCCAGCCAGAATTGCTTACTAGAAAATGCCAGTCTGAGAAACAGTGACAAGAACGGCACCCAAATGATGCAGTGTTAGATGTTCTACCTCTTCTAGATGTTAGATGTTCTGTCCTCTTGGTAGGTCTGCACAGTTCAGCTGTTTTTAAAGCCTAGCAGTAAAAAATGTGGATCCTTGCTCCTGGGTACAGGATTGTGAGATTCTTTTTATAATTAAAATGGAGTGACTCTTATACCACTTCTGTGCCTTGGCACTTTGGGATCTGGGCAAGAGAATTTTTTCCTCAGAATTCATCACTTTGCAAAGCATTCTTTAGCTCTTGGGGTAAGCTAGGGAGATTGTGTAGTGTACAAAAGATGTGTTTGTGTATGTGATTCACAAAAAAAAAAAAAAAAAAAAAAAACAGAATGCATCTTTGCATGCAGAATACACTCTTTGCACTGTATTAATGTATTGTCAGGTAGAAAGTTGCCTTCACCTGTAATGCAGAAGACCAAAGATGCAGTGAGGATGTCTGTGTTTTGACCTGTGTCCTTTGCCTGGACTCTCTCGGAAAGGTTTTTAAGTTGCTTCCCCCATCATTCTGCAGCAGTGAGAATGAGAATGATTTCATAATGTTCAGTTACTAAAGACAGCATTGTGACTTGTTAACCTGGCTTTGGATTCTGAAATTTGTTGTCCCACATACTATGTTATCTTTAGTCTTATTAGCACTTCTTTCAAATTTATGGACTTGATTGTTTGGCCTGATTTTTTCAGGAGTGTTTGACTTGTAGAGGTGACCTAAAGCAAGTGCTAAACCAGAAAAAAATCAGGCTTCACAAATTAAAATGCAAATTCAAAAACTAATTCAAAAACTAACAGCAGCCCTGTTGTGTCTCTGTTCTCATTGCAGCCCACTGAACTTACTTGGCTCAGTCCGACACTCATCATCCTCTTTGTCATCCCACACCTCCAGCGAAACAGGGAACCTGGTTATCCTAACAGACAGCTCAGTGGGGGAGGCTGCGGAGGAGATGTACCACATGCAGGTAGGCTCCAGCGTGCCACGAGATAGTGATAGAAGCAGCACTGAGCACGCTCAGAGGGCTGTGCTTCCAAGTGCAGTTTGCGTGTCTGAACTCATGGTTCTTTTCTGCTAGGTTATCTATGAAGAACTGAATAGCTAGAATCTGCCATTGTTCAAGAAGGATGACAGATTAATTCAGCCAGGTTTACTTTGGGAAGAAATTTTGAGAGCTGCTGTCCAGGATGATAACATTGCTTTCAAAACATGAGATTTCAGTCAGCATGTTGTGTATCTGACCTGTTCAACATATGCAGTTAATGTTGTTCCCAAAATGAGTCCCACACTCAAGTGCAGGTTAACAATGACCTACACTGAAGCTGTTTCCTAGACTGAGGTCACCCTGGGTGATTAAGACAGGTAAAAGTCCAATGCAGTGAACCACTTCATTCTCCTCTGATGGTTTCTCTGCTTTCTGCAGCTTGTTGACCCTCACTGCAGGTATCAAGGCTCAGTCACCAAAGTGTCTGTTTTATCCTTATGCCAGGCCAGCCCATCCACCTCCAGCCTGAGCTCCACACACTCAGCGCCATCCCAGATGATTAACTCTGCTCCTTCCAGTGCACGAGGTAAGAATGGATGGACCTAAATGGGAGTTAATGGGAACTACAGGCATCCATAATTCTTCCAACTTTGTCAACTTATTGGGTAAAACACCACCTGCACTGAAATACACCATTTTTCCAGAGTGTGGGTCTTCAAAAATGATTTTTTTCAAAATGTTCTACATTTTTCAAAAATTGATTGATTTATTTTTTTTTAAGCAGCATTTGGAGTGTATCTGATGTGTGCTGGTTTCAGGCAACTGGATTTTATAATAGTTTCTATTATTCTGCCACAAGTTGTGACAGGCAATGTAGAGGAAAATAAGAATATTCTTTGGTACAGTGCTTAAAGGAGAGAGATCATGGAGACAAACACAAAGATTCCATTTTAGATATATCATGAAATCATGGCACAAAGAACTTAAGGCAGTTTAGGAGAAAGTCATGTATGCACAAGCGTATGTACATGATGAGTGTTGAAAGATGTGAACAGAGACAAGGAAGGATTTCCCTGATAGGAAGATCTTGAAGAAGGGAAGAACACAGTGACAGACTCTAATGGTACTGTTACTGCCTTTGCTGTTACGGTAGCTAGATAAAGCTAACCATTTTCTTCCCAAGCCTCACAGCTGAAGCAAAAATACTGTATGCCATCGCCCAATTTTCGTTACTTCTGTTTGAGTTTTCTTTTCTCATTTTGGATTCTTAATTGCAGGCTCATGAATTTCTTTCTACACTTCTTTTCACAGGAATATGAAGAAAGTACGAGAGATGCAGTCAGAGACAGAGGCTGTTATTTAAATCCTATCCCTTTTTTCTGTATAGGGGAACTGTGTGTCTCCTTATGGATAGAGTACAGAGCAGGCAGGGGAAGGTTTCTGTTGCTTGTTAACAAGTAAATACTTTTCTCTCAGGCCAGCTTGGGGCTTTTTTGCTCGATCTTGCAATAAAGTCTCAATTGACTGGCTGTTGTAAGACACAGACACATCTATCAAAGTGATTTAATTGGAGGATCAGATGGAGTAGGAAAGTGAGAAGTGGATGTCTTCAAATAAAGGCATATAGCTCCACTGATTGCCAAGAGCTGGAAGGAAAATAATAAGAATTGAAGTAACAAATTAGCAAGATGAAACTGGCATAACAGAAAGGGGAAGATGAAACTGAGTACAGAGCCATCATGCCAGAAAATCACCCCTGAGTGGATGTGCTTCAACTGGCATGTGAGGTCTGAATCTTCTGGGGAATCAGGGCTTTGGTGATCACAGTATTTCCATGTAGCTTTCATTTTAAAAAGCCAACACTTCCAGTGATGGGCTGCACCATTCTTTCTGAGCTTGGTGACTTCTCAGCAGCACCAGCTTCCATCTTAACTGTATTGTTCGTTGTTCCTTAGAAACCAAAGGGATGAACGCTGCAGAGAGCATGGTGCTGACAGTTAGTCAACAGCACCTCCCAAAGATGAGAGCTGGCCAATGTAAATGACCACTAATGAGGGAATAACCGTTTTGAAAAATACCTCAGTGTATATCTTAACATTATTCTTCACCCTTACTAAAAGGTTTTGACAGCCTTACATAATGCATTTCTTCTCTGCTTTGTTCACTTTCAAGTTAGGTGAGCGTAGCATTCAGACATTACCCACTTACTGTGAGACTGCATTTTAAAGTCCTAGATTCTCTGTTTCACAGTGTGCAGGTCACCACACTGGTTATTGCAACTCTGCTCTTTGGAATGAAGTCGTTTGTAGCCACGAAAACCCTACAGTATGCTCCACTGTGGTAATACAGCTTTGATTTTCTCGTTGGTGATTTTTCCTTTTGTTTTGTTTTTGAATTGGGTGAATTTGATGCTTATGAAAATGAAGGTCAAGTGTCACTGGCCAGAGCAAGGTACTTCACAACCATTACATGTGCAGCTCTGCCAATGCACTTCTATTCCTTTTTTTCTTTTTTTTTTTTCTTTTTTCTTCTGTATTTATTTATACTCTTTTTAATTTAGTGCTGGTGAAAGGTGGTGGATTGACAACACTGGAGGCTGAAGCCCTCTATTTACCCACAGAACAGATACAGCATGGGCGGCAGCCGTGCAAGCTTCCCCACACTGCCCCCACCAATGTGCCTCATCTCTGTCCTGGAGGGACCACCTCTAGAGGTGAGAGGATAGTTTGGTCTCCATGACCCATCCAATCCTTGACCTTTCTGCTGAGACTGCCAACAAAGCTATGTAGTCACAGTGCTGGAGTGCTAGAGCTAACTGCTGTTCAGACAGGAATTACATGAAGACCCATAATTTGTTTCATGCAGGCCACCTAAATTTACCAAGTTAGCAACTTTGCTACCCGTGACCTTTAGCAGAGCATGGCTTTTGTTAGACACGTTTTTCATTGATTGACATGTTAATGTAGAGGTTAGAAACCAAACCAAACTGCTATCCCATTATCTGGATTTTTTACCAGCTTTTATACTGCAGAGTTCTTTCTGGATCTCTGCTGGTAACGCTGTTTTGAGGAGTTGGGTATATTTTAATACAGATTTGTAGTACACTAGTGACCATAAAAAGCCATGGCCATTTGCATTAACAATTTAACAGGAAATTAATTTGTATTTTGATTCTTCACTTCCAAACAAAGCCCTTTCATTGGTGTTTAAAATGACAACAAAAGCAGATGATTTGGTTTGTCCAGTGAAAATAATAAAGCCATTAATCCAACATCTTGTTTAAAAGATTTGTAACTAATGACGATGTGGTTTTACCACTGGAGAGTAGGTTAAAGCAGCAAACCTTGTACTGAAGTTATAGTGTATACTGCTTAGAGCAGAAGTCTTAAATAAAACTGTAATCAGAAGATAGCCAGAATTCTCTAACTGTGCAGTTAGAAGAAGATTATTACTAGCTATTTTTCAGGTTAATGTACACATCTTTCAGTTTTTCCCCTATTTCCCCCTTGTGTAACTTCTTTCCTGTCAAGAACACAGCATGTTTTTGTATGCAGCATAAGTAAGGAATTCATTTGAGGTGACTCATACAAGGCAGTGCTCTAACCCTACTTGAGTTAAAAGATTATGCAGAGCAACGTTTCCTAAATCGATATTGTAATGCAAAAACACTTGGGAAGGGCATTGCCTGGCTGACACTTGATGACTGACCTCCCAGGGTGCCCCTGCTTCCCCAGCACGGTTTCCAGGGGCAGGAAGTGAGTCCCTGTACCCCTTACTCAGCACTTTGCAAGAACCCAGATATTTGCATAAAAACTTTCCTCATTAATTCAAGAAGTGGTAGTTTGGTGCAAGAGCCAACTGATTTCATGACAGTAAAGAAAATGATTCATCAGAACCAAAAAGATGTGTTGAGTTTGGAGCTCAACTGTGTTAATTTTCAGTTTTTTTCCTTAAAGCTAATACTTGTAACAAAGTAGATTAACATATTATTTTTATTTTTTTTTTTTTTTTTTTTTAATTTTAAAATGCTACCTCTGCCTTCAGCACAGGTTTTCCTTTCTCATTAATAGTATGCACAGTGCTGCGCACATGCAATGTAGTGAGCTGCAGGCTGCAGAGGATAAGCCCTGGTACACGCTGCATTTCAGGTGGCCACTATGGCTGTCCTGAAAGCTTCTGGATTTGATGTTGTTTTCTACAGTTTGCCAGTCCCTGAAAAGAGCCTTAGTGATTGTGTTCTCTGCCTTTTGAAAGCAGCAGGCCTGATTATTAACAAATAAATGCTTCAGTTATAGCCACTCCTTTCATGGCACTCAATTTTTGGAGGTGTCAGTGCTTAATTTGCTAGCAGGCTGGACATATGGCATAATCTGCCACACTCTTTGTGGCCCTAGTCATTTCCAAATTTAGGGTACCAAATGCCAGGGTGAAACTACCTCCATGTTTAGCACATGTGGAATTTTTCAGGTCACGCATGCAAGGTCTGGTGGAAGCTAGAATCCCATATTAACCAATGGCACATTGGGGTGGTTTGCATCTTGGACAAAAAAGCACAAGATAAATAAAATGGCAAAGCTGACATTGTTGGGTTGTGCTGTGATGCAGTTCTGGGCACACCTAAGAGTTTGATACATCTACATTTGTCAGGCAGAAGTAGGACTATCTGTGACGTGTGAGTAAAAGAGACTCAGCATAAAGCATAACACTGTGTTTTCCAAGCTGATGCTTGTACATGAGAGCAAAGAATGTTGTGTAATTATGTTTCTGTTTTATGTCTGGGGAGAAAATGAGTTCGGAACTGGAATGCAGATACTTTGTGGCTGTCCATGTCAGGGTGGGGGTGTGGATTAATTGGGGATCTGCCTCCCCTATTGTAGGAGGTTATCCTGCATTCTGCTGGACACATTGTTCCTTCCACTGTGTGCTGAATATCAGTCCCAAAAAATGCATGTTTGCTTTTGCTGGGATAAAAGCTGCATTAACCAGTACCAGTGCCTTTGCTCATATGTTGCAGTGCTGTTCAGGTAATGTGTGTGGTTGTGGAAAGTCTGCAAGAGGGGGCATGTATTCCCCAAAAGCCAGCATGGCTCTGTAATGCGCTGTGTGCTGTCATCTGTTCAGTGCGTGTCTGTGATGCAGTGAAATTAGCAGTGCAAATGAAAGCTCACTCTAGCAGCTTCTGATCATCAGTTCCTGCCTAATACCATGCATCCCAATGGATGTGTCTGTCAGCAGTATCAGACTTTAGGAAGTCACTGATAGGAATCGTTCTGCTAACAAATCCCTTGTCAGCTCTTGTATATCAGAAGAATATTGTTGTGTGGCACTCACCTTGAAGGATACAAATCCCAAATAATTGCAAACTCCAGGAAGCTATCTGTGTGCATACCGCTACTTCTTAAATGGGAGCTATGCAGATAGCTAAGCTAACTTAATTAGTCTACCAAGTCAAGTATATTCCAGCTATAAGCACTGGTAAACATTCTGGTGTCATACAATGGCTCAGTATACCAGTACTCAATAGAAACCATAGCTTACCTAGAGGCCTTATGAGCAAAATGCCACCCACGTTTAGCAAATTCTGTTCATTAGTGATTTTTGTGCTCTTATAAGAAAAAGCCAAACGTGGTATCACCAACTACACGGCAGCACCTCAGTCTCTCTCTACCAGAACTGAAGAATAAAGTAGCTTTCTGCTTGATCTGAATGGTGCACCTCAGGCTTTTATCCCTTTCTGCCACATTCAGTCCCGAATTACAAGGCTTTACAGCATTTGTATGACTGCAGTACTTTATTCACACAGTTGCCCTTTCTTCTGTATTTATTTATATATATTCAGCTCTTTGCACCACTCCAGGAGGAAGGAGCACATCTTACACGCCTTACATGCTGTGTCCCTAATCATACATAACGTGCCAGTTCTTCATCCTGTGCCACACACCCCACCAGCAGTGAGCTGCTTGTTGTGCTGGGCCCCGTGTTCCTTGAGTCCTGTTTGACCATCGTCTGAACGCACCACACAGGAGGACTGGCTCTGGGCATGCGGAGTCGTGGCTGTTGTTTGTCACGTGTATGTGATTGCTCTCACTTGTTCACAGGCTCTCCCTCTCTACCAGATAAGTACCGCCACACAAGGGAGCTGATGATGTTGTTGCCAACCCACCGGGACCGGCCCAGCAGTGCCATGTACCCCGCAGCTATCATGGAAAACGGACAGGTAGCAGACCTGATTTCTCTTACGTTAGCTCAACCATACTGAAAAGGACGGGCTCATCTTTACTCTTTTGTCTGCTTTAAAGCTTCTCTTAATATTTTTGGGAAGCACAAGAGCTTAGGATTTTCACTGCGGTCCAAGAAATAGCATAGACCTGCTGATACTAATCGCACACTAGACCCACCCACTTTGGTAGTTGGGTGATGTAAATTGTAACGACTGTTAAAACTGTAGTTGGTTGTCCCTTGAGCCCTGGTCCTCTGTAAGCATCACATCACTTAATTTACTCGCTCTTCCATCCTTCTGGTAAGCCTCAAAGTTGAATCTAAGTAGGTTTATGGTGATTGCCAGAGGTAACAAAATACACAGGAGGCTGAAGTAATGTATACAGGGTCTCCAAACAGTGTACTGCTTTCTCTGGGCAAACTGAGAAATTCACTGTGTGCTTACGTATGAGCATTTTAATTCAGCTCTGGCATGCACATTTGAAGGGAATCTCCTGACCATGCCCACTTCAGTTCACATCAGAGAACTGTCTCAGAGCACACAAACTCTATTATTTCAAATGAAGCCAAAGCAAAAGATGAGCTTCAGAAGAGCATGGGGTGCATTCAAGCTGCTAATGGGCACAAGACCAGGCAGAGCTGCTCTGATATAACTCCTTCAGAGAGCACAGCAGGGTCCTCACTGCTGTTACCCTCCGGAGATCTTCTAGGATTGCACTGCATTACTTGCTAATGTAGACAGTCTAAGGTTCCCATGAGTTTTTTTTTTAAAAAAAAGTCTCTTTGCCTGAAAACCTGAACAGAAATCCATAGGTTCTGTGCTTTCTTCTCCCTTAGCCTCCAAATTTTCAGCGCGCCTTGATGCAGCAAATGATTGGACCGTGTAAACCTTGCAGTGATCCCAACCTCTCCGTGGCTGACAAAGGTATTCTTTTTCCTAGTTAACATGCATGCTTTCTAAAATATTATTACTCTGATCCTGCAAGTAGTGAATGGGCTTCTACATTTTCTGGCAGAGTGCATTCTCTTATTTTTAAAATTAACAGTTTAATTAATGGGGCTTCCTGCCAAATGTATAGTCACTTCAGAAGGGTGGAGTTGCACAAAGCTCTCTGTTTCAAAAAGCCTTCTGAGTTTAGCATGTTGTTATTGAAACAAATCAGGCAGCTTTCATCAGGCAGAATTCCCAAACAAACAAAAGGGGAAATATCTGAAAGAACACTGAAGGATTTGTACCATTTCCAAAAAAAAAAAAAAAAAGAAGAGGTATACTGCTGCTTTTCTTCAGACCGTATAAATTGTGTTGGTTTTGTTTTTAATGAGCACTTACTCTTCAAAATAGTGACATTTCTTCTCTTTCTGAGCTAGTTTTATGCTTAATTAAGTTTCTCATTAGGAACTTATACTTAACTCACTGCATTGAAGAAGTATGAGCGGAGCCCATGGAAGTAAGAGATTTCTAAGGAAAAGTCTGAAGAAAAGCAGTGAGGTGACTATAAGGTCATGGATAAATGGGAAAGATCAGAGGCTTATGTGAGAATTTCCCAAATGAACCCATTGAACGGCGTGACAGGTCTGCACATAGGTGGGAAATGATTCTGGCAGTATCTAGCAAAGGGTGTTAAGTAGCCAAGCAGAAAAAAAGACTATGAGAGAAGAAAAGGAGCTTGTTTTGTTTAATGCAGGGGAGGAGGAGGAGCTTGTCAATGGGGTGCCATGGACAAAGTGATGGGCTCACAAAATGACCTGAGGAACAGCATTCTGAAAAAAGCGGAAGAGAGCAAAATTCTTGAGTCAAAACCTGAAACAAGGGTGCTGCCATTAGAAAGCAGTGGTCTTACGTATGACTGGGAGAAACAGCATCTGAAAGTCAAACATTTTAAGGCCAGGAAAGACCACCACAGTCCTCTAGTCTGAGCTGCGCAATGCGCTTCATTACACTTCTGTCAGTGTTCTTGTTTCAGCAGCTGTGAACTAAACGGTATCTTTGAAAAACAAAAAGCCAGATGCTATTCCAGAACTTCTAATAAATCAGAATCCATTACTTTAACAGTGTGGCAGCATTACAGAGCAGTCGAGATTGAAAACAGAAGCCAACCTGCATTTCAGAACAGATTATTCTGATGACGCTAATAGTGACAACAGTTGAGGCTAGGGAGTGAGGAATTAAGAGTTCTGCCTTAGCCATGTTGCATTTGAATTGAACATGACAGACTTGGTATGATTTTTATACTGGACAGGAGAAAGAATTGGAAAAAGGTACGTACATGATGTGTTGCCTGTTGAGAAATAATTCTTGAATTTGTACTTGTGGGCAATATCTATGCAAGAGCATGTCTACAGCACAAAGAGAAGGGAACCCAAGACAGAGTGTCCCAGAGTCCAAAGGAGCCATAAAAGACAGGTGGTGCTCTTAGGGATAGTGTAGGAGGAACCCCAGCTCTGCTGCTAGGTCAGCGGCTGCAGGCGTTTCTGCAGCCCTGGAGCCAACATCACTCTGTAGTCAGGATGACGTCTGCCTTGTTTTTGTCAGCTGTCGTGCTCCGTGAATTTTTCCACCCCCCTCCATGCCAAGTCAGAAGTACTGTTCAATAATTCCCATTGACAACAGGGTGACATCAGCTGCACAGAGCAGAATTAAACATGGCCACTGAGACTGCTGAGAAGGGAGAGATGGGCTAGGGCATCACTGGAGCTCCCTGGGTAGGTTTCTCCCTGAAGCATTTTAGATCCAGCTCCAGTTTTAACAGGCAGCAGCCATGCTCCAGAATCGTCTGATCTTAGGATGATTTCCAGCACTTAGCTCAGAAGGCAGTGAATGAGAGAACACTGAGAAAGTATAAATGGATTACACACTGGAACGCGGTACGTTCTGTTCTTACAGTCTTCTGCTCATCTCAGTATTAAAAAGAAATAGACAAAAAAAAAAACAATCATTTTACAAGCCAAGAAAACCAGGTATTGTTGAGTCCTTTTCACCTGATGCTGGAATCCTGCAGGAGAGCACCGTGTGGCTGGCATCATTCTGTATTTTGTCCCTCTTCATTTTAACCTTTTAGCACCAATTGCAGTAATGCAGATTACGGCACTCTGACGTGTAGAGCATGAGCAGGGCTGCTCAGAACGCTCATCTGAAGCCACTTACCTGTGTTGAGATGTATGCATCCCTTTGTTTGAACCTGTTCTCTGTCAAGATTCTTGGCATCTTCTTTGTACTTCATTCTTGCTTTGAGGGTCTCTCTTTAAAGCCAACATTTTTGTGGGTTTTCGGCTGTCTTTTGAGGCTGTCATTTTCTGATCCTTTTTACCCTGGGGAGTTTTAGATCTTGGGGAGTCTGTTCATGAGCTAAGGAAAAACAATAATAAACCTTTCAGAGTCATTTTAGAGAAGAAACACATCTGAAAAATGGTTGCAGGCATTTTAATTAGGGAAAAATTCTCTTCATATGTCAAACTCTCTGTTTATTTCTCCAGGCTTCTGTTTTACATGTTTCAAACTGAAGATGGCAAAAGCTGTCTTTAATCTCACCTTTCTGTGGTAGACCTACTGAAGTACTTTGTTCCTCTTCCCCCTTTTCTTTTCTGCCTGAGCTGATGAAACGCACCGATTGTTTATAAACACATACACAGTTATTGCATTTCTATCTCCTCAGAACAAATTGAGTCTTAGAGTGCGTTTGGAAGAGGTGAAGATGCATTTTAATAATGTCTGTTGGCAAAATTCTTGAGATCCTGACACATTCTCATCGTTAGAAGCAACTGTTATGATGTAAACACAAAGTCACGTAGAATCATTCTCAATACCTGTTATATGAGGAAAGCACTCTTGCTTCTGTCTTTCCCAGTTAACAAAGGCTCAGTCTCATTGCTGACTTTGTAAATCAAGGAGCCTGGGCTGTTATCTTTAAGTACTTGGGGATCAGATTAATCAATCAGCTCTGGAGCAAATGGGATCTTTGAAGTCCTGGTTTCTTCTGTACCAGATTATGGTCATTGCCCTCACATCCTTCACTCACTCTTTGCTTAGCCACTGTAATACAACTGCAGCCATCCTGTGTCTCACAGGAGTTCTGCCCGTGTTTCTTCCTGCTCTGGAGTTGTTCCCTGCCAGGCAGAACAGCTCATAGCTGAGATCCAGCTGCTGCTTCACCATTAAAAAAGATTTCATCATAAAAAAGATTTCATTTTTACTTACCGGCTCATAAAACAAACAAACAAACAAAAAAACTTCACAGAATTCTACTGCTCTTCATAGTTCATAGAAGTGAGCCTGGAGGGTCAGCAGAGGGGAGATGGGCTGACTAACAAGCACTGATCACCTAACTCTCGCTTCTTTAACAAAGCACCCTATAAACTAAACATGCTGTAGACTAGATACCTTTGTATGCCTCCAATCCTACCACACCCCAAGTTCTTCAAATCTCACCTCTCTTTACTACTACAGAGTACACTGGCAAGCCAGTCCTTCTGGCCGCATCACCCCATTACCCAAGTTAAATCTGTTTCAATCCTTCAGCTGTGCCAGCAGCGCCCAGTAGCTGGAGCCTAGACAGCGGAACCAGAGAGGCCCTGCCATTCCTGTCTGTCCACGTTGGGAGCATCTTGGCCCCACCAGTACCTCCCCGAAGCCTGCCCCATGGTAAGGAAAAGCCCAGTAGATCTGCTGCATAAGTCATGCAGTCATGCCAAATGACTAGGCCAGATGAAAACTGGCCATAGTTCTTGTTTTCCCTCGTAGAAAGCATCGGAAACAAGAAGTCAAAGTCTTTCCTGGTCTGCTAGGTTAGCAGTGGACATTTTCAGTTTTGTTCAAGATCTTCAAATTTCGCAGTTGTTACAAATAACATGGACTTGTGTGGGCTAGAATTGTGGGCTAGGTGTGTGTGTGTGTTGGAAGTCTGACTTGGCTTTTTGCCAGCGGCTATCTTCAGCAATAACTTACGGTTACATAGCTACTAAATAAACCTTCAGTCATTCGTTGTTTACGAGCCTGTTGCCTTGCCATGAAATCCTTGATAAAGGGGGTGGGTGGGAATCTATCACTGCACTGAACTTCTTGTAAGCATTTTGTGATGTGACAGATGCACTCCACGGTACTGATCGGAAGGGAAGCCTCAGGCTGGATCGGTCTCGTCAGTGATTGGAGCTGTTACTTGGCTTGCAGAATCTAAAACCCCAACTCTCTTACAGCGTTGAGGCTCTACAGGTCCGTATTTCTGACCCTTGTCTCATTCCAGGACACTACTCGCTGCACTTTGATGCCTTCCATCACCAGCTCAATGATGCTCCTCCGGCACTGCCTGCACGAACATTGCGCAAGGTAAAAAAGAAGTGTCAGGGAGAGAAAAACAGAAGAAAAAGTATAGGCTCTAGAAGGACACCCTTGTCCACTGTCACCTCCAAGTAGTTCTTGAATACAGATTCACTATTTTTAAAATGCTATTGACTTAATTGAGAGAAAATTCATTCCAAGTTTATAAACTGCTGAACTTAAATTTAGGCCCTCCCACTTCCCTTTTGCTTATGTTGTGATTTCAGGCCCCCTCAGTACAGAGGGAGAGAGGGATTTTATCACTTCAGCTGCTGTGTTAAGTGCACTGATTTGTCCACAAGAGGTGTTTCCATACAAATCAGGGGAATATATATACAAACTGCCAATGGCTGACATTTTGAACAAAACCAGAACTGCACTGTTGTTAACATCACTGTTAAAAGCTGAAATGTTAGCGAGCTGCAGTGTTGCCTCCCATGTCGATTTTAACAAGATTTCTGTTTTTCTGCAAACAGTCCCCTCTTCATCCCATCCCTGCATCACCCACCAGTCCACAGTCTGGTCTAGATGGAAGCAACTCCACTTTATCCGGCAGTGCAAGCAGTGGCGTCTCCTCCTTGAGCGAGAGTAATTTTGGACATTCCTCCGAACCACCTCCTCGCACTGACACCATGGATTCTGTCCCCAGCCAGGCCTGGAACACTGATGAAGATCTAGAGACACCCTACCTCCCTGTGAGGTACAGTCTCTCTGAGCCTGACGTCCTTGAGTCACTCAAATCCCAGCCATGCCGAAGCCACTCAGCTCCGTCAGGAGTCATTCCTCAGGACACCCTGGACCCTCCTGCTCTACCCCCCAAACCTTACCACTCCCGGCTGCCAAACACAGAGAATGAGGAAGGAATGATAATTGAAGATGACGACAAACACCGCCAGTTGCATCGTAAAGTGTCCCAGCCTGTGAGTGGTGGAAAGGAAGAGCAGGCCAGGGTAGCATGGGAGCACGGCATCAGTGAGCAGTAGGAACAACTGCTGGTAAGCAGCTTGCGTTGTCATTCCAGGTGTGACCAGAGCGCAGAGCTGAGGACTCGGAAAACAACAAGCTGACTTCTACTGCCACAAGCTTGGCTGGAGCCCGCATACGCAACTGGGCCAGCAAGGGAAGTTGCTGCTTTCCTTTCAAGTTTCCTTTTACACCTTTCCGTTACGTTTTTTTAACTTTCTGTGCAGTGGATGGTTATTCCTTCTGCAGTTTCTTAACTGCACCGCATGGCACACAAGCCATAGAGACTTGCAGAAGCTGAAAAATACAGTCTTAAGTGGAGGAGGAAGGAGGAAAGGTGGAAAGCTGATTTTGAAACTGGTTTCCTCTCAGCTCTGGGACACACTTGAGTAGAAGCAGTTGCACTAGGGACACATTTTATTGCTGTACAGAAGTGAAAGCTCATTGCTGAAATCAGGGATTTTATGAACTGTCAGTCTGGAAGGTGCATGAGGAGCAGGCAGTGGAAAGATGGCAATTCTAAGAAGATATTGGCTCTTTTGAGAGCAGGATTGTACATATCTGTGCAGTGATCTCCCTGCATTGGTTCATAGGTGCTGAGGCAATTAACCAGTGCTGATGCACTGATTTCCAAGATACCATTTCCAACAAACTCTGCCTCCTTTGTTTTTTATGTACTGTTTGATTTCTTAAAATTTGCTTTCACTGGCTAAACCAACCTGCTTTCTCATTGGAGTCATGCTGTTCATCTGTGTTACAGGATGAGGGGGAGGTTAGTAGCCACTGGAGCTGTGACTTGATTGTAGGCCTTTCCCATGCCCAGCTTTGGGCAGGCTGTCAACACCAGCATTTCTATTCCAGTTAAAAGAAAATAAAAAGTTCTTCATGCCACAGCTGGTTGATGACTCACCAGTAAAGAAAAAGTGGCTAAATGCATGACATCCACTATTCCTTGCCTCAGGGCTGAACGTCACAATTCTCACTAACTTCCATCACCCAGGAGCTGAGATCCATTACCCAAAAACATCATTCCTCAGCCCCCCTCCAAAAGTCACTGCAGCTGGCGTGGAGGATGTCCATCTCTCACAGTAGGCAGATGCAAGAAATGCCCAGTGTAGTGTGTGCCCTAGAGTCAGAAATCTTAAAGGCAGCCTGTAAAGAAGGAACATTTATTTCCTCTTTTGCTCTTTAGAAGGTATGAAGAAGTTGTAAGAGCTCCTTCTCTCTTTTTGAAGGTTTTGGTTCTTTTCTCTTCATGTGGCGATACAGCCTTCCCCCCCTAGCTTTTTTTATGGTCAGGCTCCAGAAAGGGATGAAGAATTCAGTGCAGGTGGGAGATCTAGAAAAAAAGAAAAAAGAAAAAAAAAATCAAACTAAAACAAGAAACAGAACTATGCAGAAGTGGAGTCAGTACATATGTTGCGAAACAAGCCTTTTAATCAGTATTTGCTTAGTTGAGTTACATTACAGGAAAAAGTTCTGTGGTAACAGAGGCAAGACCTGTGGTGTAAAAAGAACTAGAAGAAACCCTCTATTCCTATTTTCATATTTTTCAAGAAACTGGATCAAAAAAAGCAAGTATCTAGTGTTTTTATATAGAGAAGTAATGCTCTTTCCTGCTGCCATGCCAGCACACATTTTGGCCTTTCCTTACATTCATTTCCACCTGCAGACTGCAAAGCACACTCCAGAAGATGGTAAGTTACCAGTGAAAAACCTGAAGCACATTCAAACAAGACTTACCTCCAGCATGTAAATTAGTGTCAGAAACAGGAGTAGCATCAACGTGTCCCGTTCTTCCCCTAGCCACTCAGTTTCTCCTGCTACAATCAGCATAAAGAAGCAAAAAAGGATACACATCTTTTACAGGTCACCTTTAGCACTACCTCTAAATACAGTGACTGGGCAGAGAATGTTGCTTCTAAACTCTCCTAAAGATGAGACCATCTCATCTGTACAAAGTCTGGGCTCGGTCAGCTGTCGTACGAAGGGGATTTTCAGAGGATGTCTTTCTTTTCTTTCTCAAGCCCGTACAAAAGTAATAAATTATGGTTCTGTTTCTTAAATGGTCCATTTGGCTGGAACAAAGTCTCTTGTGCTTCCTCTATTTTGTTACTAACATAGGCTGCTTGTAATCCCAGCAACCTTCCCAATTAAGAAGAGAACAGTATTAAAATTCGGCTTAAGATGGACAGGAGTAGAGTTTTCCAGTAGCGGAATTAGCCCTAGCTGCTAATGAACCAAGCTGGGTCTCTGGTATAGCACACAGGTATGAAAGCTCAATTCAGAGTTATGTTTTCAATGAAGGTAAGTCAAGGTAATTCCTTAGAAGTGAGTGAAATATTTTCATGTTATTCTCTAATTTGAGGTTCTTAGAAATTTTAAAGAGAATTAAGTACTCAATTCCATCTCCCTAATCACATTTGGTTTGGGGTTTTTTGGTTTTTTTGCTTTTTTCTGTGGGAAAATTTACTTCTGAAAGTAGTAAATGTACTGATATACTGAATTCCTTCATTGTAAAAACAAAACAGAAAAACAGCAGATCTTGCAAATAAAACTGCAAAAGCAAGAATGCAGACAACATGGGCAGACTCCCTTTCTGCTGGAAGACCTCCCTGAGGTTTGCTCTCACAGTGCACCACCTTGCTCTGATTAGAGGGGCTGTACAACAGCAGTCTGATCATTCTGAATGTCTGTCATTACTGTGTATTCATAAGGGGTTGAAGATAATCAAATGGTGTACACAGATACCCGATTTATGGCAGGTGCACACAGAGGAGGACAGAATAAATTCCTGAATTTACTGAATTTGAGCCTCTGTGGAGTTAACTTTCTGTTGTTCTGATATCTACTGCACATTCTGTTGCCCTTTTCAGTGCTTAACTTAAAAGGTGCAGAAGGTAGACTGCCGTTAGGTTTTGTGAATGCTGGAACAAGTACTTTGTGGAACTCATATTTCTCTGGAGGGTGGGGTGGCTTTCTGGCATAGTGCAATTCCGTCAGCAAACTCAGTCCTGGAGCAGGCAGAAGCAGCAGCAGTTGTTTCCCTGGTGCAACAGGATTTGGAGATTCTTTGTATAGAGTGCAGTAACGGGATGTTTTGAGCAGGACCCCTTTGTTCTGTGTGTCGATGATTCAGACGTAATGCATTCCTTGGGTTTCTTTGCGTAACAGAGTAGCACGTGCATTCCTGAAACAGTTGGTGGAATTCCGCAGCGCATCTCTCCATTGTGAGCGTACCTGCTGGCCCCATCTGAAGCAAAACTGAGAAGAAACCACAGTAATAGGAGAAAAGCAATTAGAATTGTCCGAATCCCACACGTTTTTCCAACGGCTGGGTTGGTTTTATTGCTGCGTGCAAAACTATGATTCTTATCCATCCTTTCCTTCATTTACTTTTTAGCCTGCTTACCATTTTTCAGGTAAGGGATATTCCATATCCCTGTTTTGGGAGAATCAGCCAAAACTAGGGAGGCTGGAGAGGGCAAGAGCCTTTGGGGAACAAATTAAGCGATATTTAGAATTTCCTCTATTCATGCTTCTTGTAAATACCCCCATTTGAATGCTGTGTATTTGTACAGGAAATTGAGCAAAAAATGTATAGATTGTGATGTCCAACTGGTATTCTGCCCTGTAAATGTGTTTTTAACCTCTGGCATTCTGTGCTTATTTAAAAGAGGCAAAAACCTCTACCACTTCTCTTTTGTGTATTCATGTTTAAAATAAAATCAGAACAGCTATCTTATCTATAATGGAAATCAAATTGAAAAGGAAAAAAATAATTTGTACAAGTGTCCTACAGGTACTTCATTGTATATATTGTGATAGCATGTTTCCAGAATCAACAAATAAGTGGTGTGAATTTTAGATGTAAATATCTGCTGTTTGTTTTGGATCTCTTTCCCTTACCCATTCACTCGACTGCTATGATGTGAAATTAAAGATTAATACCTGATATTAAAGTGCTACAGCTGTACATTCATTGCTGTCCTCCTGACAGGGCAATCCTCAGTGTGCTCCAGACATCCACAGATATGGCTGTCAAAGAGAAGCAGCACAGCATTAATCCCTGCACGCTGTGCTGGAGGGATACCTGACATCCACAATTCAGAGGAACAGCCACCGCTTCCCGTCTTGCTTTGATGGAAGAGGGCTGGGAGGAGGCAACCAGAAGGTCCTTGTGGCTGTTAGGTGTAGTCAGAGAAGAGTTGCCAAGGCGTTCTCTCACAGCCAGTCTTCTATTTCTTTTAATAACTCCTCAAAGTGAGCATCAGGCATATCTGGCAGCTAGACTGGTTTACCTGATGCGCAGCAGACTGAGACACCTGTTCATCTGTCACAAACATTTACCAGGTCTGAGGCAGTACTTCCAAATAGCAGAATCCGTGGTTCGTTCTTTGTTGGATACCTCGCTGCTCCAAGCAGTGCTCACGGGGTGACTGCTGAGTTCATCAGTTTATTGCAATGGCAAGATGTCTTGGCAGTAACTTCATTTCTCAGTTTTAAGTGTGTGCATACCAATCATTTTAACAGAATGGATATGAAAGACTGGTAATTAAAACCAGGAAAATAGGATTTGGAAATTAAAATCTGTACTCACTGCTACATATGATTAATCTCAAAGACGGACACCTTCTTCCATTACAACTAATAAGTCAGGTCAGGCTGCAGGAGACAGAAGCAGCCTATCTACCCCACCTTGTCAAGACAAAACAACAGAAAAATCTTCATTCCAGAAGACATTTAGCTGTAAAATATAACAAAAGCGTAATGTAAGCTGGTCCTGAGCTGTACACACTGCCAGTCCACCTTCTTGCTTCATTACATAGCCCATGAACCATGTAGGAACTACTAAAAAGGTACTTGTCTATGGTAGTTCACCTAAGATACCAAAATGTGGCTTAGCTGACACTTGGAAGATGTCTGTGCAAAGCAAACCCTGAGTCACTTCTAACCCAACCTAGCAAATCTCAGTTTATATATGTTTATTATTATTCAGCTAAAAGCATTTGTTAGTGAATTGTGGAAAATGAAAACAGTTCAACACAAAAAGCCTTCAGATTTTAATTAGAGTTTTTTTTAAGTTTCCATTAAAGCCAAAAGATGCAGCATTTGAGTGCAAGCCAAACACTCTAAGCTAAGCCATGCTAACGCCTTCAAATGTAGATACCCCAGCCAAATCTTCACCTGATCCAAGGAAGAAAGTTTCTGTATCTGATTGTAATGAAATTGATACTGAGTTATACAAAAGTTGTTAAGAGGAGAAATCAAACCTCTAGCAAAAAAGTCTGTAAAGATTCAGCCACCCTTGCCTCTGTACAAATATGCCTTTATTCCTAGAGCCAGCTTAAGAAAAAAATCAGACCCAGAAGCACCTATCTCTGACATTCAGGCAGCTGGATTTGAGCTACTGAGCAGAACCAGCCATCAGAAATACCAGCTTCTTTGCTGTCTGTGTGAATACAGATGCTCACCTGTAGCACAACTCACTGCTCGAGACTTCGTACTGTACCTGTACAATAGCTATAGCTTTGGGAGAGTTAGGCCACTGCCTTCCAGCAATTAACCCCCAAATAGGGCACAATTAGTATGTTACAGAATATTCTCAGCCTTTTTTTCCCTACTGCTGGCCTTCCCCAGGACTGATAAAAGAGCAGGTGCCCCCAACCAGTCTCCCACCAGCGGGCAGCTGAGCCCAGCCAGGGTCCTCGCATGCCCAGAGCAGTTCACTCCTTAGCACTTAAGCAGGAGTATCAGCATCCAAGAGATTTACACTAAATCCTGCAGATTACCTTTATCCCTACAGCCATTAAAGCAACCTTCACGCTGTCTCATCACAAGAACCACACTAAAGTGATCACGTCACTATCAATCTCTATTTAGCTGGAAGAGAATACTATACTCCATACCAACAACCACTCGGCTTCTTCAGCTACTGACTTGGTAGTCACACGCTACAGACAATCTGAAGCAAGGGTTTCTTTGAATGTGTGAATTCCTAGACTTCATTCACATATTTGCCACCAGTATCGGCACAGACACACAGGTTTACTTTACGCTATCTATTATAGCCATAGTACTAGCCTTACAGCAATTGCACAGACCATTGCACAGCTAACGAACTTCAGGCACACAGTGAGCTCCTCGTTTTATTTTCCTATTGAGGTCTGTAGGTACATTAACATTGCTAGGCAGCGCATGGACAGTGTTTGGAAGGATAAATGCATTTTTCATACACACATACAAATCATAGCCCGATTCCAAAAGATCTACAGGTTTTCTCTTTATGGCTATCATTCATATACCCCTTCTCCCTTTTTACAAGCTTTGCTACTCACTTCACACAAATCAAATTCTAACTAATATTCCCACCGCAGCTTCTATTCCACAGCCATTGACGACAGTCCTGCGTTACATTGTGTAACACACAGACGCGACCTGGCTTCACCTCCCCCCCGGACCAACACAATTCCCTGTCCCCTCGGACTGAGAGCAGCCCCTTCTGGTCCCTTCAGGTGTCTCCACACACATCTGCCTCTCCACCGCCCGTCCTGCAGGGCAGCCTCCCTGTGAGCACACACGGCTCCTCCGCGCGCACGGCGGTGCCTCACCAGCACACCCGCAGCCCCGCTCCGGTCCGGCTCACTCCTAACCCCACGTTTGTCCCCTTGGCTTATAGGGTTGATCCCTTCTTAGGGAACAGCATCCCTGAGACGACCGCTTTCCGGCTCTTCTATCAGCCCTACCTTGCTCACCTTTTCCCTTTGCTCTATTAGCCCACCAAAACCATACATCGCAAAAACAAAAATCAAAAAAAAAAAAAAAAAAAAAACAAAAAACAAACAAACAAAAAAAAAATCCCATTCACTGTTGTGTTTTCCCTCCTTTTTTCTTTTCTTTTTTTTTCTTTTTTTCCACGTCAAGGACTTTGACGTGGGCTTAGAAACAAGCTCAATCCCAGCTTTGGTGGTTATCAATGAAGAAAACAAGCAAACAATTTAAATACTGCAATCGACATCTGTGCCTCTGTAACGGCTCCTGCCTCTAACCACGAGCCATTTCTACGTGCAAAGCGAAACGCTGCAGTGAACCTGAGGTGCATCTCAAACTACTCATCCTCCAAACCCCCACCTGCGCTCTGTCCATCTCAAATTCTCCCGCTCAAGAACGCCTCGCCTTGCTAAGGATCTGCCCACCTACAAGATGGCGTCCGCAAGGGCAACTTTCCCTTAACAAAAATGGCGGCCCGGGGAGGAGGAGAAACCCGCCTCTCGCCATCTCCTCCAATCAGCGGCCGCCAACTCTCCCGTGGAGGCCGCGGGTTGGCCAATGGAAGGAGGCGGCGTGGAAGCCGGGCGGGGGAGCGGGCCAATGGGAGCAGCGGAGGGGGGGAACCGGCCCAGCGCGGGGGCGGCGGTGCCGGTACCGGTGTGGTGGGCGCCGAGCGAGGCGGGATGCGGGCGGCCCACGGGCTCTGGGCGACGCTGGCCCTGCTCCTGCTGCCGGCCGGCAGCCGGGCGCTGCGGAACGGGGAGTGCGAGGGTGAGTGGGGCCGGGCCGGAGAAGGGGCTGCCCCACGGCGAGGCGAGGCCGCGCCCGCACGCTGCCGCTGGGGGCTGGAGCGCGGGCCGGGCCGCCGAGAGCGGCTCGTGGAGGGGCGCGGGAGTCCCCCCTTGCCCGGGCGGGAGGCTGCGGCTGGGCCGCGGCGCTCCCGAAGCCCATCCTGTGCCGACCGGCGCCGCCCCGCCCCGCCCGTCCCGCGCCTGGCTGCGCCGCGCCGTCCCGGCGGTGCCGCTTTGCTTGCAGAAGTCGCGGTGCGGCTGCAGCAGCTTCGCGCTGGGCCGGTCTGAACGCGGGACGGGACGGCTCGAGGCGGAGCCGGGGAGCTCCGGGGTTCCGCGGTGCCGCCGCTCGGCTCGAGGAAGGCACGGCGCTCCGCTGTACCGCGGCCGCCGGCGGCACTGCCTGCAGCGTCTCTGTTCTTCCCGAAGGTTTTCACTCGCAGACAGCGGACATCAGTGTGTGTCTGTGACTGGAGACAGACTGATGTGAAGTAAATGATGGCGCTGTGTGCGTAAGAAAAGGCTTTCCCGACCGGCACGGTTTGTGATTACTGCCAACTTCGAGCGATGGCAGTCGGTGTTCGGTTGGCTGCAGGCGGTCCCGTTGATTTCCTGCGTCTGCCCGCGTTCTGTGCTCATGTCCGGAGTTGAACGCAAGTTGATGATGAGGCTTGCTCACCCTTTTCCATTGGGACGCACACACGCACGGAGGGCTGGGCCAGCGGGAGAGGTGGGAACCCCCGGCTCCTGCTGCAGGAACTGGTGGGGCACGCACCTCCAGCGGTGCTGCCGGTGCTTGCAGACCACTTGTGTGAGCAGCGGGAGTGAAACCTGACTGCGAGCTTGCAGGGTCACATGGTGCTGTGCTGCACGGATCCTGCTGGGTGCTGCAGCTGCCTCCCTCCCTGTGCTGTGCTTTCTCTGGAGCGCAATCTGTTGCCTGGGGGGCTGAGTGAGGACTGTGCTGACCTTCCTATCGGCAGGGCTTGGCTCTGTCCACTTTGCTGCTGGTGTGCTTGTGGAAGTTTTGTTATCTTTCAGTCTCTCTGAAACTGGTGCAGAAGTTTGTGGGAAGTGAGGAGAGAAACGTGCCAAGTTGGTGCATCATGTGATCGTGTTACGGCTTTTTCTCTTGGAAACAACTGTACGCAAGCCCATTACAGACTCTTGTGTATATTGTCGTTAGTAATGTCATATCACTGATTATTCAGCTTACTCGCTTCCTAGATGAGTTGGTTACCAGTCAGAACTGGTTTTGAAGCCTATAGTCTGACAAGCGGTTTATCAAAGCAGCAAGAATAGGGCATCTAGTTTCTGTTTTTACCTCAGCACTGTTTTGTGCCGCACCCCACAGCTGAATCCCACTGCTCACTCAGCCCATATGCAGAACTCACTGGACA